TCTTAGGCTCCATAGGTTTCTTAGGTTTTTAAGGTTATTCTTAGGTCTCCAAGGTTATTCTTAGGTTTCTGAAGTTGTTCTTAGGTTTCTTAGGCTTTTCTTAGGTTTGTTAGGTTTCTTATCTTTCTTATGTTTCTTAAAATTACCTAAGAACCTAAGAAACCTAAGAATAACCGAAGAAACATTAGAATAACTTAAGAATTACCTTAGAAAAAAAATTATTAGTCCAGTTTAGGAAAGCCAAGTTAAGTAATCCAGTTAATTAATCCCATTTAAGTAATCCAAGGTTAGTATTCCAAGTTAAGTAATCCAAGTTAAGTAATCCAACTTTTGTAATCCAAGTTGAGGGATCCAAGTCCAAGTTTGAGTAATCCGACTCCGAATCCAAGTCCAAGTTTGAGTAATCCAAGTCCAAGTTTGAGTAATCCGACTCCGAATCCAAGTCCGAGCTTCAGCGCGGGCCGGCACGGCTCGTGCAGTGGACTGCGTTTGGCAATTTACTAGTGCTAAGCAGATGCTGAATTCTTACGAGATTATGATAAATTTTATGGGATTAATTATGGGATCTTATGGGATTATATGGCCTGACCGGTGATTGTCTACACATTGATAAAGTAATCCTGAATGTAGGCAAACGAATAGTGACATAGTTTGTTATTCCTAGCGGTGGTTGCGAACCACATTATTGCACGAGCGCGAGCGCCCGTACCACTGGGAAATGGTACTGGGATTGTGGAATTGGAAAAGCGTGACGTAATCTTTTCGTGGCGTCAGAAAAATTTCATTGCTCTTGACAAAGACTTATTGCAGCACCTCGCGCTTCGCGCTCGGTGCAAAAATAGACTGGCTTAAAGGCTATTTTGCCCCAGTGTTCTATAGTGGGGCAAGATAGCCTTTTGCGCTACAGTACTCTTTGCCCCAGTATGCGCGGCACTATAGCTTTTTGCTGTTTTATCGCAGTCTGCGTTATTGACGGGAATGCGAAAACAAGCTGTCGTTTGCGGCAAATTTCAAGTTGCACCGTTAATTCAATATCCGCACAGCTTTTCCAAAGCAGCTTCAGTATTGTAAAAGCAGGCAATTGAGTCAATTGAGTCGCAATTCTGCATAAAAAAAGCCCTGTGCGTAGGAGAAAAGCCAAAGGAATACGCACAGTAAAGTTGTAAATCCAAACGGCGATGTTTGTAATTGCAAGACGATAGTAGGTGAGCAATGACAAAAACAAGCTGAATTTCGGCGAGTCCGATCATTTCGGCCGCAGAGGATCACTTCGGCTAACGTTCAATTCGGCCGAAGCTCATTTCGGCATTAGAAAGCGATCTGAAGACTACGAATGCGGTTCCGAATACGAATCCCCGCCTCTTTTGCATACGTCATAGCCCTATTCGTTTTGTCTCCAGATAGCTGTCGATTCTGCCTGTCTTGATGGAATTCCGTTTGCTTTGGATTTTAAGTAGAGAAAACATTCCTCTTTTTTATGAGCTAAAAAAGTTTTTGAATACTCTTTTCACAATTTAAAAACAAATTTTTGATTGACATGAGGTATCGCGATTGAAATTACGTTAAAAAATGCTTGTACGAGTCGTACAGGCGTATGCATCGAGCTCTTCCGACCAATAGGAAAATTCAAAAAGCAGTTGGATCGAGTGCAGCTAGTTAGCTGGCAGTCGCCGACTTGGGCGGTTGAGCGCTTCCGGTCTAAAGCAGTTTTAACCTGACCACTTCGGCCGCGCTACGTTTCGGGCATTTGTTATCACTTCGGCAACATACAATTCGCCTTGCTCACTTCGGTCCGCCCTCTTTTCGGCCACGGTTATTTTGGCTACATGACATTTTAGCTTTGATTTTCCTTGTGTCAAGTTGTTACTTAGTGTTTGTTGTAAATTGTATGCTGCTTACTTACAATTTACAAGAAAACCCGGGTCCCCGAGGTCGCCACAACAATACGGACCATACCTGCACAGCTTGACCTGAGACTTTCTAGTTTTTTTAAAAGAGGAACTATTTGTTTTTCTCAGTTTTTTTAGGTATCTTTGGTTTCTTAGATCATACGTTTTGGTTTTCTTCTGTTACATTAATTTTGAAGATTTTGAATATTATTATGAGATATACGCTTAGGTTATTAGATAATAGCTTTATTTCTTGCCTACTTTCCTAATAAAAGTAAGTATTGATCAAATTTTATAGAAACAGATAAAAGTTGGCAACAATGCATCGACGCATTCTTTTAATCTTCTTTGTAGACTGCAAGTTTGCAAATTTTTTAATTATTGATAATTATAATTAACACTGGTGGAATTTTGCTTAAATATACATAATGTGGTTGAATGTGAGTGGTGGCCGAATAAGCGTAACCGAAGTGTAAATGGCCGAAATCATCGGTACCAACCGTTTCGACATCTGTTTCGGTCCGAATGCATTGTCAGATCTCGGACGCGGTTACGAACACCATTTCAATCCGTGTTCGTATTCGGTTCCGTATTCGTAGTGTTTAGATTACTTTCTATTATCGCATTTCGGCCAATTTCGATTTTTTTCAAATTTATAACACTTTTTAAGTTTTTAAGGTATCCTTAGGTTTCTTTTGTTTTCTTGGGGTTTCTTAGGTTATTCTTAGATTTTTTGTGCTTTAGCCTTCGTCCTCGTAACGGTTGGCTTCATGCGACTATCCTTGGTTTCTTAGTCTGTTTTATAATTATGGTGGTGTAATTGGTAAGGATTTTTGTCGTTTGGGTGTTTTTTGAGAGTTTTCACGCTATAGGTTTGGAACTTCCTGCGATAAAGCGTTGTGTTTCTAAAGCCAGCTTTCCCAGTTTATTCAACTTTCAGAAGTTCCACGATGGGATGTTGATACAAGGTCATTTGCTAAGTTTTTTTCTATTTAAATATCGGACAAATTTATCGACCGGAGCGTAGCGAAGGTCCTCTTAATTCAGCACCAATACAAAAATTTATCTGTGTCCGCTACGAAAGGTTGTAGGAAAGGTCATTACGAAAATATTGCTAGCTGGTTATGATGCAAAGATAAAATTATTGATTGATGTTAATTATTCAGAGTGCTACTGGTAGCAGGTTACAAAATAATCATTCGCACAAGCAAAAAGCTGCTGCGCTCCGGTCTGCCAATGCACGCCAACGTGCATTTTCCCTAGTAAACTTTTATAAATACCGGAGCCGGAGCCGTAACGTTTTCTTGTGGAAATCAAACGAAAACCAGCGTCGGCCGAAATGTACTGTGGCCGAAATGAACGGCGGCCGAAAAACTTTTGGCCGAAATGAACGTAGCCGAAATGAAAACGGCCGAAAAGATCGGTAACCGAATTTCGGACATATTCGGCAACAGCCCCTATACCCACCCCACACCCCAAAACCATGTTGCCAAAATTTTAAATTTTTGGCACCATCACAAGCTGCCTGGCAGAGCCATGCTCCCGAGCACGACATAATTCCCAACAGGTCGAAAAAGGTCAGCCAATCACTGTCGATCAGTGACGTCATGAATTTTTAATTTTCGACGGCAGCATCAAGAAAGCTTATCTCGGGCAGCACGCCCCGATTTTGCGCATCCGTTCCATTATAGCCCTTTACTATTTTGCCGCAGTGTATTATACTCGGTGCTCCGCTCATAAGATAGCTGACTTGCTATGCTGCGGCTACCGATACCCTGCGACTACCGACTACCGATACCTGACGGAGAGATCAGTACGATAGGAATAATTACCGTAATAATCTATCCTACCGACCTACCCAACGACAGAGTATGAGCTAATATCTCAATGTGGCATAGCTAAGTCTACGAATCTACGCGAAGCGAGAACTGCATCTCCGACGATAATTTTATTAGAAACTCCGAAACTGCCAAACTCGTAATGCGAGAACTGATGATGTAAAATACTGCCACTCACGGACTTATATAGACACCGCGCATCCGTGTAGAAACAACCCAAAGTAAATCCGAACACAAAAGAGAAAGATCGAGAAGGTACAGCGAATAATAGAAAGTACGAGTAAAGCCGTCACTTTACGTACGTATCGCTACAGTACTGCTATATTCCGTCACCGATACTCTGCGACTACCGATACCTTGCCAAAAAAAAGAATTTTTTTTAATTCAATGTGACCGTCAGTTTTATTGTCAGAACGCTTTTACCGACACACGCACTTTCGACTTCGTTCACTTTTCCAGAAAACAACACAATTTTCGCTTTACATCGGCTGCCATAGCGACTGGCCCAACACTTTGTGATTACAACAAGCAGGCGCCAATCGGTAAATTGTTTCCCTGAATTATTACAGCTATCGGGGTTCAACTGAATTAACTGAATAACTGATTGTAACTTTATGGTGGTTCTCTTATTGGTATCCTTGAAAATAAGGACGAAACGTTTTAGCACCGCGTTAATTTCGCGTGCCGGGTATCGGAATGGCTGGAGCATAATATTCGGTTTGCCAGTCATGAGTAGACCAAGCGCAACTTTGACTTTTTCCGGAATTTGCTGGGAATCTCAAGCATAAGTGACCATCAGGTTGGAACGCCAGTTCGCGCCCTGCAAAAAACAACCGCTGAATTAAAATCTGAAATGTAGTAGCCCGTTTTCATCTCTTTGTCCATTGCCAAAATCGCCGACGGACGCTTTAACGGACATTTCTTTAGATAGCGCAAGAAAGGACAACACGAACTTACTAGTCATTAACGCGAACTTACTAGTCGCGAAGTTCCCAGCCGTTATTCATTTTGGGTTTATAGCTCATTGCAAAGCATGAATTCTCCTATCAGAATATGGCGCTATTATGAATGTAAAAGAGTTGTTTACATTGAAGAAACAAATTTCCGATATGAGTGTCGAAGGGGGAAGTGCAGTTCAACAGAGAGAAAGCGAATAGCGCTGCTTTGCGACAATCCAGGTTATAACCGTCTTTCATGGTCAAGAGCGATGGATACAATTCTGATTTATTAAGCTTAAGTACAGTGGACAGCGTCACGAAAACAATATCAACAAATCAAAATAGAAAAGTTATCCCAGTTCGAATGTGAGGGGATGGTAGCCAAAACCAACTTGAGCACTGCCACGCCAAATCTCTAGACTTAAACGTTGAAACAGAAAGGAAATTTATCGAGGCTCGCCGGTTCGACTCGCAACTTCTTCCCGATTTCTTTAAACACAAGAGTAGCACCTTCACACCATGGGCCAAAACATTCGCATGCCCAAAGAACAAAAAGACATCTGTGATCTGTCCAAAATGGTGCGGTATTTGTTCTTCTTTCTCTCAGTTCTGATGTGAAGCTGATGTTAGAAAAGTAAAGTAATCACTAATCAGCCGTTCCAAAGAAATGCTGACTGCTGAGCCGAAGCAATTAGTGAAAGGATGGTGCGATAACTTAGTTGACCGACGGCTATTGTCTTTGGTTGCGGCGTGTGCGTCTGCCGCCTCCAGCCCTTCTATCCTTTCCCTTGCTTTACTCGTCGTTCTTGCTGAAGATTTTTTGTACTGAACATAGCGCAAAAATCACGGTAGAATTTAAACGTGTTCTGTGACAAATCATACTTGATTTCACAACAAATCAACGAGTTAAAAATGGTCAAAATATGTCAGTAAATCGAATACTACTTGCTGAGCTTGTTACACATACCGTTTTTTTTGATATCACGTGAACTTTAAGAGTTATACCAGAAGTTGTTAGGGGGCGGCATCGCCCCTGTATCGGTTTTTTACACTTTAAATTTTTTATAGCAATGAAGTTGGAATTTCCAATGTGAGATAAGCTTTTGCACTGTGTTTCCGCACCGAATAGCGTTTCCAGAAATTTTTTTGGTTAAAGCATACGCAATAAATTTCATCCTGAAATTTTTGACTCTAAAACTTCATAATTAATTAATAAGATTAAAATAAACTTTTTGCTAACGCTATAGGGTAGTATAATCATTTTCCTGATCATAATATGTCGTTAAGTGCCTTTGAAGTAAAGTCGTGTTATGACCGTGTTATATGAGTAACCGCAAAGGGATCGAACCACTGGGAACCACGCGTTAAGACATTCTGCAGCTGTGGAAAAGGAGCGATACCTCTCACGTCCCGTCCCTCCTTAATGTCCGCACTACCAGCTGACCAAATTCGAGCGCCTCTAATGTAGAGGACCACCTCTCCGCTCGGTTCCACTTTAACGCTTGATTCACAAGAGCGTCCGAAAATGATTCGAGAATTCCATAAGGTTCGGTACAAGATTGTATCATATAACACTAGGTTTCCGGAATCATGAAGAAACAAGCAAAATTTTCCGTCTTCAGAACAAAATTTCTCGTTTGCAAAAAATTCCCAATTTGGATGCATAATTCCCACTAAAAAATTAAAACAACCTTTTCAAGCGACATTATACTTTGGATTCTCAAAATGAACCGGTAAAACAGAAAATAAAGAAAAAAAGGACTAATATACATATACTTAGCCAGCGAGGGTGAACTAAACTGGATGGTAAAATAAATTAGATACGTAAAAATGCAAATGATTGGACATTTGGACTAATGGATTGGCCCCGTACATGACACCAAATTCGTGCATACTGGTATGCACGAAAACTTTCACTTTCCCGCACACTGAAACACTTGTGCTTTACTTATAACATTTTGTAGCCAGATGATCTGTATTTGTACGATTTGTACAAGAAAAACTTCGATGTCTAACGATGAGCATCTTTCAATAAGGACATTATTTCTGCTCCAATATTTCCGGCTCCAAATTCCAAAAAAATCTGATCATTTCTAAAAAAGTTAAAAACTATCCTAGTATGCTTAAAAGTATACAGATAACTGATTTTCCTGAGTAAACAGATTACTTATCCTTGAGTAAATAAAAAATGAATGACTGCGCAGCATTTTTATATACTAAAACACTTAAAGACAGTACTATGTAACAGCTCTTCCCGTAGTTTTATTTGTACGCTGGGAGAAATGCGGATTTATCCGTAGACCATTCCTTTTGTTAACCGGCTTACCGGAAGCAAGAGTGCGTTGGGGCAGCTCACAAATTTCAGAAGATTTGTTACTGGCATATTTAAAACACAAATTGCAAAACCTAACAAAATTCTTAAACAAATTGGCAAATACCGATTCTGAAAGTTACTTTCAGAATCGGTATTGCCAAAATAATATCGATTCTGAAACTAATAACTATAAACTGGTAACGGTGGCATGAGACACCGCACCGTCCGCACGCAGGCTTCAGCTGCTTACTTCGGGATTCGACAAAGTGGAACTGCCAGCGGCTACTCCAGTTCCCGCAGAAGTCTACAACTCAAACTTGGAAAAAGTATGTGTTAGCGCGTAGTGGGTATAGTATAATACACAGTATTGTTCTGGCATTGTACGCAGTGCGGCGTTATCATTTGTTTTGGTTCAGCCACGCCTTGCAAACTTTGGCGGATGAAAATATTTATTAACATAACCGGATAGTATTAAACCATTTTACAATTTGAATTTGATTTTTATTATCTGTAGCCGAAAATCTGAATTTGCAGCCGGAAAAAAGTCCATGGTGAGTGCAAATAAACGATTTGGAGAGATAGCAATTTAACTTGCACTAAGTTCAAGGTCATATCTCTGAGTCAGTACATTTGTCTTCTCGCGACGCTTTTGATAGATAAAACAGTACCTGGCCATAGCGATGAGCTGCGTCTTGGTCCACACAGCAGAACATCGACCTTGACCGCGTCCAACCCAGTAGACACATTTCTGATGCTCGCATTTAGATGAGCAAATTTGTTGGTTATGTCAGTCCGCAGAGATTGTAGTTCTTTTCTTACATCCATCAGTGGGTCAGCTAGCGTATTCGTTATGTCGCTCCGCAGAAGTTGCAAGTCATTTCTTACATCTATCAGCGGGTCAGACAAAGCACTCCCATTTCCCAGTATCAGAAATACATTATTTGAAATATTTTGCCGAGCCAGAAGCGGCACTGGCGCGTTTGCATCACCCGGTACATTGGAAGCTAAACAAAGACATTTTATTATAACTAATCAATCAGGCTCAGTGCAACTGCATGGACGAAGTTCCGCTGTTGTTACTGTAATTCAACGTGCACAAACAAACAATATTTAATTACAGCAGTTTGGTGTTATTAGTTCAAGAATTATTTGCCTTACTTATTGCACGATGGGGGCAATACAGCGCCACGATAATCCCGCCCGCAAATATCCACTTTGCCATTTCCAAAAGAAACCGCTTTGTTCTTGGTTCGCAAAATCTGTTAAGAAGTCAATACCACAGAGATACTTTGTTCAGGTAGTATGTGTAGGAACGATAAGTGGTGAAAAACAAATTTGCGTTTTTGCTTGCATTTGCTTAAGACAAAACTGCCATCGACATAAGTCTACTGCTGTGCCCTCTTGCCAACCAGTTTCATATCTAAGAGTTGTTGTCAAGGCAAGACGATTAAGAAATAGAGACATTACGTACATGGTTTTCAATCCTGAGAGCAACGGTGTGCCATGGCTCTCTATTCTGTGAGCACATACAAATAATACAAGTACTTCTATATTTACAGTTACTGTTCAAAACTGCACATTGTTCTATTACGTACCGTAATTATCGAATTTGTGGCTCCCCCTGCAATAATAGCCCCCCCCTGAAATAAGTCCCCCTCCCCGACCCTGTTTGAAAAATAATGCCACCCCCCGAAATTACGCCCCAGGGGGCCGTTATTAAATGTCAAGCGCTGCAAAATGATAATACGCGGGAATTTCTTCTTAACAATTATTGTTAATTTGATGGGTAAACAGCAAACGGACATCAACATATTGTGGTGTTTGTTGAGAAAGTGTTGCTTAGGTAAGAATATGCTCCAAAATGTGTGTTCGTAAGGTCGTGTAGTTGGATAAACCGGTGTCAACGACGGTTGATCTTAAAGTCTTATTTTCTGCCTAGTTCTTGCAGTCTTTCTTGCTTCCCTACTAAACCTCACTTAACCCTCAGTATTCCGTTTTTATACTGATAACAGCTGGTGTTGTAATTCTGCTAGTTTTTATCTCCGGCCTTGAGGAGATAATTTTTGTTTTTGGTCTCCGCCTTCCTTTGTTAAGTCATAAAACCAATAAATCAAGGGTCGTCGATGCGACGATGCCATATCGATAGCCTACCCGAAATACTTGCACCTGATTACAAATCTTAAGCAGGACAAAGATTCTGCCAAAAAAAAGGTTTAGTTAAATACCAAATTAATATTACTAAGTAAAAAGCAGGCACCCGTCCCACACCAGCCATTCAGCCAGCCATTTACCGGAAACCGAAGGTTTGCAACTGCCGATGTCAAAATCGTCATTCAAGCAACTTTTGAGCACTACCATTTTTGCCGCGTGGCAGAAAAAATGGGATGCATCACCAAGAGTAAGAGCACTACAGGATGTCCAACCAAATGGCAAATGTGTCTTTTTCGATCTGGAGAAAATCGGTACCGATCACTCGAAACACACAAGCAATTTTAAGCCAGCTTTGAATGGATCACTCCAGGCTTAATGCCTCCCGACTTTCTCAGATTTATGGGAATTCACTTGTGTTGTTGTGGTCATGCACTGGAAACAACAAGCCATTTTTTCTACTATTGTTCCCTGTATAAGCATTCATCCTTCATTGTGTTGCGAAAATTCCTGGAACATGCTGGCAGTAAGGATTTGAGTTTCCTTAACAGAAAGTGGCTGTTGCCGCTGCTTTCTAAAGTTTTGGAGTTTTCGAAAAGATTTCGGTGATTTAGAATAATCGACCTGTTGTCACTGTTATATACTTACTTTGTTACCATGACGATTCTGATGCTTTACATTTGTTGGAGCAATGGTCCTTCTAAGAACTACAGAGTACGCTGTATACTTACGCAACAACAACAACAACAACACCAGCCAAAATCGAGGCAAAAGCATGCTTAAATACAGTAAATAAAACAAGCACCATAAACATAAAAGAAAAGGCATTTAACTGACTTTCACCAGCGTTCTGCGCTCTCCGTCGTAGAATGCCGGTATCGAAGCTTTATCCACACACTGGAAATTATAACACAAATGCCCGTTAGGGTTACAAACGGTTCCAGTTGGAGCTGGGCCAAACACAAAAGAGATAACTTCATCGGTAGAAGCAGAACTATCTCGTCCATTGCACACTAATGACTGGCAGATGCCTGGAATATTTCCCTCTTCAACCGTAATGATTGGGTGCTTCCATTTGTGTGTTTTCAGGAATAGTGGTCCACCCCGCAATTTGCAAATTTCTTCGGCACTGAGCGGTCGATGCAGTATTTCTACAATACCAAACATGTGGACAATTTTTAGAATACAAAATCTCAACTGAATTAAGCGCACCATTGAGAGCTTTTCTGAATTCCAAACCTTCGCCTGGCGGTGACGGGTCTTTTAGTAAACATTTTCCATCTCCTTTCAGAAAGGTCGCCATTTCCTTTATGGCGCAAGTTGATATAATAGGTACTTGTGCAAACTGCGTCCAGCCGTTTTGCTTTCCGGCGGGAGATAGCAGAAACGAAGAAGGATTCTCAGCAGCTGCACATCCGTTTGCCCCTTCATGATTAGCCCCCATGGAATGTGCCAGTTCATCAGCGGCTGACAAGCTCGGCGTAAACGATGCCATCTCCACAATGGAACAGTGCATAGCTTTATTACATGCTGAGCCCAGCAAAGCCATGCCAACAGAATCCCTCGCGTTCTGGTTTACTGCATGTTGACCATCTTTGGAAGTATTAGGCAGAAATGGACCGTTTTTCCTCCGAGGCGGTTTTCGTATCTTGGTGTCCAACCGTATAGCAGACCTGGTATTGCTGATCGGGTTGGTTTTTACCGGCGCATCAAAAAGGTCAAGCATGGTCAGAGCCTGTAAATGGTCGTACTCATCGAGATTATACGGTCCTTGGCACAGGTTCTCGAAATACTTAGGGACATAAGGATCCGCTCCGAGATCATTCTGTTCTTCCGTCATAAATCCAACCGACTTTAACGATAAAGTGAGTTTGATTTTTTCTGCTAAGGAAGGTTCTTTATAAAAGACTTGAATTTCGTTGTAAAGGGATAAAATATAAAACAGCTGCTGTTCTTCTTCAACAAGTCCGAACCTCAGCATGGAAGAGTACAAGCTGTAGTCAACGATAACACCCAGGAGAACGGAAGCCTGCAACGGGGTCGACTTTGATCCGTGAAATGTTTTCACAAACGGAAGGTTATTTTCTTTTACTGGTAGAAGCTCAGCACTGGATGCATCAGTTTTTGTACTGGGGAATATTTTTGAATCCGATTCCTTACCGCTAGACTGCATGGAATGCGTTGTTGCTTGAAAGTTTTTGAATTTCTGAACATGCCTTCGTCCGATGGCCTCACCCCTTCGAAAAGCCGTCGAAACACGGTCTTCTCTATGGTTAGGAAAGTTCTGGACATCCTTTGGTAAGGATCTTTCCCGATTTGGGAACTTTTGTACATGATTTCGTCTTCTAACGTGCGGATCTGGCGATGGTTGTCTAAATTTTACAAGATGCTGCCTGCCGCGTTCGTCGGTGCCAGTAGTGGGCTGCCGCTCCTTCTGAACACGAAGCGGGAATTTCTGCACATGTAGCCTTTTAGGCAAGGATGTTGGTCCAAATTTCTGAACATGTGCTCGCATGGCATCGCTGTTTGTTTTCGGCTCCACCATCGCGTTCGAGGTGTGTGAACCGGCTTTTTGTCGAAATTCTGGTTTCGAGAATTTCTGAACATGGGAACGAAATTTTTGAACATGCGAACGGAATTTCGGTGGACGTAACTGCAAATTATTTCCATACCGCTGCTTTGGGTCATCATCTGCCGCATGAGAAAATTTTTGGACGTGCTGCCTCGAAATATCATCCAATCGAGCAAACTTTTGAACATGCTGCCGAGGAAGAACTTTAGCATCGTCCAGAGAGCGAGAGTTCTCCGTTTGGTAATAAGTGGATTTCCCAGGTATCAAACTTTGTATTGACCCCAAATCAGTATCTGCGTCTTCATCAGGTTTAGTCGACAACAGAATGGGATTCAGATGAACTCCTGCATGAATTGGCTTAAGCGAGGGTAGGGATTGTGCGCGCTTATGGTCTGTTTTACCTTCATAGATCGAGACAACGGATCTGGTCGCCCGTCTTGTGAAACGTGGTCGTTTGTTCCCACTTGCATCAAATTCATGCAGCCTTCTTGTGACGTTTCGCAAGAAAGTTGAATGCGAGTCATTTTCTTGATATACTATGTGGAGACGGAGATCTGTTTTGCCTTTTGTATTTAAAGACCGTTTGTGAATCTTTCTGCGAAGAGGCTTCACTCTTAACCATCGCCCATGTAATCGAAATGAGCCCCATACTCCATCAGAATGAACTGAAAACGCACCATTTAAGAGATTGTTGTTACTGGGTACATCCATGTCCACGACCTTTCCCAGATAGTGTCCATTTAATAAACACTTTTCAACGGATGTTTTGGTAAAATTGCGCCGAGAATTCCCAAAGTAAATAACGTCAAATTGTTGAGCCGTTAGGAGAGCATTCCGTATTGCACGGATTTTGTAACGCTTTTGCATGACCTCAAGCATAAATTCTACTTCTGCAGGAGGGGTCCAGTTAGCACGACTGATATCATAGGGAAAATACTCTGACTTTTCGATGTATCTTGGAATCACCGTGTCGTACACTGGGACTTGGCTAGAATTGTCGACATTAAAATAATACCGCAGATCCGTTTGATCCATATTCAAATGAAGGCGGGAATGTCGTGCTCTTACTTGATTAAAACAACAGAGTGCTGCGAATGGGATTATGAGGCTCAAGACAGCAGTATGTCTCATAGCAAATCACCCTGCCACAGTTCCATGGCAGAAACGTTAATCGGGATTTTTTATTGTCTTCAGAATAAAGGATCCGAGGATGCATTTATGGATAAGCAATAAGTAATGAGCCGTATTAACTATATGTCCGACATCCAGCAGAATTAAAATCTACATAACGTAGCGGCAAAAAAAGTTTTATCCTCACTGTAATTGACGGTGAAATCGCCATCATCAAAACTGAAACTCAAAATTCCACCCCAAATAAATCTGTGTGATACAATTTAAGTGTTATTAGACGATCAGCAAACAGTAATGCACCTAGTGCAGAAAAGATACAACCGCCCGATGCCGAATTTGCTGAGTCATAGTCGTACAAACAATGTTTTATCTTCTTTTCTTGAAAAGGTGCAGAATTCTTTCGTCTAATGTGAGATCATTGCACCCGAAAACATTATTATGGTGTTAGTTATTAAAGTAAGCACTAAGCACTTATTGTTCTGAGACTGCCATAATAACAAGACTGGTATTAGGGTATCCATTATATGTTTTCCACCTTTATCGTTTTTATTTTCAAAACCGGTAAGGTAATTAGGTAAACATCCGAAAAACCACAATTTTATTAAAATAAAAATGTCCAACAGAACAGCAAAGCTTTAACTTATACAAGCCTTATTGCCACCCAGGCGTTACATCGACAGGATGAAGTGCTCTTAAACACCGGTGTTTTAAAAAAAGCCCAAACGCTAGCAAAAGCAATACGCGCCTCAGTGTCCCCATACTTCCACTTCGCATAGCGTCAGCTTGGACGCGAGCCCGTCCACCACTTCAATCGAAATTTTATCACCAACGGCAGCATTTCCGTTCTCATCCACACAGGAAATAGTGAAGGCCTTGATTCCAGTCGAGTGATTGTCAATAGTACCACACTTTTTATTAGTTCGCCAGTGCGCGGAATAGCCCACCCGGATCTCCTTGTTGGAGTCCTGCTTAGCTACTACCCTAATTGTGAAGACCTTTCGGGCGGTTGGCAGTTCAATCACCCAGTACGGTCGGTGCTGAACCTTGGTGGAGAAACACAAGTGCTGCATATGCTCGTGGTAGCCATCGGTTGTCACTTCTGGGCGATACTGAACTGTATCCCGCGAACTGACTAGCGGATAAATGCCGTAGGCGACATTGTGATAGTGTTCTGTCGGGCAATAACGGTCGCGAGCAATTGTTAAATTGCAGACACATAAGGATTGTAAGCCTCCCGTAGGCATCAAGTGGATGGAAAGATAACGACCAGCTAATGGTGGCCAGTTGCGGGTGACGACGGAGTAGTTTGTCTGAGAAAGAAGGCTGGTGATCTTTACTTTAGTCGCCATAACACGATTTAAATCTGGATCGGCGTTATCGCCGACTCTGAGTTCCAGATGGCCGGATGAGACATGATCGCATAAAGTGAAGTTAGCCGTTGTAATTTCCGTGGGAAAAGCCATGTCTAAAGACACCCATGGGGAGTTTTCTCTATCTGAAAACAAGTAATAAGTATCGAGAACATACAATACTCGTACACACGTCTTTCTTAAAATTTATTCATTTTACTAGATATACCTCACCTGTTTCAAAACAAGCCACATCGTCGTTAATTAGGACCCAGATATCACTTCCTGGGGCGTAGGAGCTGGCCGCAAGCGGTCTCATGTGGACCTGTAATGAATGCGGCATATAAGAACTCACCGTCAGCAGGATTCGACAACTACGCGTATGAAAACGTACTGCATCTAATCGTGCATCACAAAGCTTCCCCCAAATGCTAACTTTGCACAAAGACAAATAGCTTCTGTTGACATCAGTGACCATAATGATAACGTAACTTCCATATAATGGCCTCTCGCATTTGATGACCTCCTTCTGTCCCGCTATCACATATCCCCGTTTTCGATGGCATAAACCATTTTTCATAAAGTCTTCCTTTCGTGGATATTCTCCCACCCTGACTTCATAATCATGCAGCTCGTAAGGCTTACGATCGGTTTCAATCGTGAGACCGGTGACGTACACCTGACCACCCGGACTGTATATGACGTACGGTTGATCGTCCAGTTGATGGCGACTTTGCGCATGAGTGCATCCGAGGTCGTCATCTATACCGACTGAGCTTGTGTCATCTGGCAGACCTTCAGGTCGTTGTTCTTGGGCAACTTGGGTGAGTACACTTTTCATGTCGGCAATGTTGCTTACGCTGCGATAAATGGCGGCGAATTCGGCCTGATCTTGAACGTCGTTTGTCAGGCACGGTTTTGCCAACACCTTGACCTACGAGGAGCGGATAATGTCGCAAATGAAGTTGATGTTGTATATTACTAACTCAGCCGGAATGCTGTTTAACACCTCGCATAACGACAGTGTGGTTGGAATTGACGAGAGAACCTGTATAGACACGAAACGACCAAATACGGGAGAATTTCCAAATTCCTGATCGCTGATGGGATTGCCCGATTTGCATTCGATACTCGCGGTGTTAGTTGTGTCGTTGCCTACATGCAGCGGGTAATCGGCACTGAAACATATCGGATTGACGGTGAAATCCAGTGCACCTTTCGCATTCCATGGGTTACGAGGGCCGATCCTACAAAACCCAAGTATCGTGAACATGTTCGAATGTTAACCCATGTACTGCTTGTATGCTAATAACTTGCTCCGTATAACGGCAACGAAGATAGTATTATTCGATACAAAATTTTTCGCTGCGAAAAGTTCCTGCTTTTAATCAAGCGCCTTATTCAGTGTTTGTGACCGGATATGTAACAATTAACAATGGTTACGGTGATATTATATTTTTAAATCAGAGTCCATGGGTACCTGATCTCGGCCTTGTAAGTCGTGAACCCAAGGGTAATGTTGAGACTTTGTATCTCATACAACTGCTTCAGATCCACATACCACCACGGATTGATCTCCTCGTTGGTAAACGTGCAAGTCCGCATGTTCTGCAGCTCATCCCCGTCAACGGCGTACGCGGCATGTTGAAAACCGGGAACTTTAGAAGTCGAACTTTGGTTGGCGGACTTTAGAAGGGCCACATTCTCAACAACATTCTTCACGCATGAGCGGCCGGCTGATGTCCAAAATCCCGAGTCTTTGCACTGAATGATCTGCTTGCTCCCATCATAACACTCATAGGTCACCTGATGCGGGGCGAAGAAATGTATTCCCGATCGTTTTCCACAGGCACGGTGTCCCGGATCACCGCAATGAGTGACGCACTGTGGTCGCACGGATGTGTTAAAATTGCAGTGAATGTCGTTCGGATCGGACATTTCGTGGGGGCAATCGGCTGTACGTTGTTCGTTGCCGGAGCACTTGATTTCGTTGAAGCCCATCGGATATGAGAGATCGGTTTCCTGTAGTTGGCAGCCAGTCAGTTCAAACTGAAATGCCGATAGTCCGTCTTGTCCATAGCTAACAGGATAAAGCCGAATGATGGAAGCACGTGGCTGAAATTCCGCTGGTATCCAGGTTGTATTGACGTTAAACGGGTCGCTGTTACCTAACCAAAAATTATTCACGTTTCCCGCAAGAAAGACAAGTCACGGAAAAAACCGTACCGTCAAAATATCCATCCTCCGCTGAATCTGTCGCGTTTTTACAAAATGCCCACGCGGTACCGTTAAATGCTTCAATTTTAAGTTCTCGAACAAAGTTGTCTGTCCCATCACCGTTGATGTGAAACCCCGTGATAAGATATAATCCCGGCAATGTCACTTGAATGTAGGGATTGAAATCGGTTTTCCGCGGCACCCACCCTTTCTCGTACACACCATCAGCCCGGAATGAGAGGCGAGCAGAAGAAGCGCGATTTCTGTTGGAAGAAGCCGTAAACGCAGAATCAGCAATTACTTTCGGATTGGTGAGTCCCAGACTAGAGAGACATCGTGGCTCCCGTTGGTTGAATATCGTCTCATCCATGCTGACGTTGTGACCCTTTACATCCCAGGATCGAAGATTTGCAACCGTTAGGATGCACGTGTGGGAGTCTTTGATGTAATATCCCTGGCACAGAAATCCTTTCTCTTGCAAACACTTATCAGCGCATTCCGTATCGTTTAGTTCATAAAAGTATGAGTCAAAATGCTTGTCTGGATGCAAGATGGTGTTGTAATGGCGTGTAAATTCCGGTCTAAGTGGATGATCTAAAACCATAACATGACCTTAATTATCTTCGTAATACAAAACTGTAGTTTGTTGGATTCATGTCGCGAAGACAGCTTACAGTCAGCAGGGATCGTACATCCTAAAAGCTCAAATTTGACGTTTCTCTCCACAGGTACCGCACCGAAAGAGTTGAATTGCAATGGAAGAATTTTAATATGCCGGGCGTAAATAGGTGGTGTCAGGTAGACCAAGAACGAAGGCAGGCGAAACGATCCGAGGCGATCGGTTTCGTCGATTTGCCACTGCAAAACACGTTAGAATACTTTCATAATCTTAATCAGGCACGAATGGCTTTTCGCCGGTCGGTAGAATTTTACCTCTGTTGCCCGGTACCAAGTGTCACCATTGTTGGAATATTGCATAGAAAAGCTAGACATGTAACTCAAGTTGGATGACTGGACAATGACGGCTGTCAACTGTGTCTGAGCTAGCAGATCAGCTTGAATCCAGGGTGCTATATCGTTCACTGCCGGTCTCCAGGCTCCAGCACCGCGCAAATCATGGCGTCGGGTGCCGGTAGAGTAGCGTGCACGCTCCGGGCCGTAAGAATACCGACGACAGGTGGTCTTGCGGCTTGAACAAGGGTCGACATACTGGCTACTGGCAGTTAACTGAAAATCCGCTATGTTTCCCGAGTTCATACCTAACGGCATGGTACATGTGTCGGTGAGGGGGCGTCCAATCAGCTCCAGGCGAACGTAACACGGAGTTCCACGTGGCTCAAGGACAACGAAACGCAGAAGTCGCGCAGACCAAGGATACTTAAAATTGATGTACAGTGGCGTGGAGCCATCTTGCGGACCTAGGAAGATTCGTGGTTGATCTTGCTCCAGTATGTTTAACTCATCCATGTTTGCGCCATACCTGCAGTCATTATGCCTTTGATGTAATTTTTTCTGCACGATTTGGCTGGATTTGGTGTTTGTAACAATTCGTTCATCACAGCCGCTGAGTATTCTGTCTACTAATCTCACCATTTATAGTGATGACTAGATCCGGTTCTACTGAACAGCAGCTTAAACTTGCCAATGACCTCTCGACGGTTAGGGTGTCCAGATACAACGATGCTTTTAATAAGATACGTTTCTGGCAATCGAATTTCAAAATTTTCACTGCTGCACGCTGGAGAGTACCATATATCTCTCGCTGGTGCTCCTAGACGATAGTTTCGCCGGCTGCTGTTCATGCCTAGGGCTTCGTTGGTCATTGCCTCCAGAATGAACGCATCTTCACTTCGGGGCACCCGTGAACAACCTATTAGTTCCCATCGCAAGCCAACTGGAGGGATCTCTGGTTGCGTGTTCAATGGAACCAGCCGCAGCATTCTGATATCATCATGCGCCACGGCCTGTCGGAGCGTGTTGGTGGTAATGTTAGAAGCATCGTGATTGCCAGAAAACCAGTTTTTACCCATGCTATTGAAAATTGGCTGTACTTCCGCTTTGCTGGCTGAACTTTCGGATCCCAAAACAATCTAAAAGAATTAAAATGCGGTAAGCAGTTTCACTTTGTTACATGGTATTCGGTGGTTTGTAATTACTAAAGAAGTTTGCATTTCAAACGTACTAGTACCTTTTGCAATGAGAAATCCTTGACCCAGCGCTCTTCGAAGTTTGGCTGCGCAGTAACTCCTCGTACAAGCACTTTTTCAATTTTGTGTGGTGTGAGCAAATCAATCCCGATCCAGCTGCCTTCGACTGTACTGGCGGAATCGGATATCCATCCATGGGGACCCTCAGTACCGGATACTCCTGTTTCAGGTGAGAGAAAGCTCATGAAGCCGTCATGCAGACTACTGTCTTCTGCTTCTTCCCGAACCGAAGAAGTCGAGAACTGGGCGTTCTGTACTCGAAAATTCCCATCCAACAGATAATCCATGCCGTTGCAGTCAATTTCTGGAGGCTCTTTGATTCTATAGTTTCGTGTTCTCACGTATAATTCGAAACGGAATGGAATGTCGCTTGAATTAAGTGACCGGTCTTCGTTGTTTGACGCAAGCAACACACCTAGAATGATATCGCAGTTTTTCCTGAACATGAAATTCTGTTTTTTGATTTATTTAATTGGCCGCTTGTGTCTATAAAGGGTAAAATTTCAAAAAGGCAAAAACAATATTATGTCTAAAACCTTTAGAATTAATTAAAAGCTTACCTAACAATTTCGTTCCATTTGTTTGATTGCTCAGAGTATACATAAAGCCGTTGCCGTCCTGCATTATGAACCACGGAACCATAAAATCCTTCAGAGTTGAATCTATGAAAAATGTACGGTTGTTGATGATTTCGGCTCGTTGTGGCTCTTCCTCACTTCCGTTAGAAGACACACACGGAGCGTCTGCAATGAGGCTGCACAGTGCAGGATAACGGACTTGGAAAAGGTCATGTCTACCAGTTACATAGTGAATGTGCATTAAATATTCCGGCTTCCCTTCATCTAAGCCCGCTTTGTGATCGACCACTTGCAAAGAATCGGCTATTTCCAGGATTGAATAATTGAAATCTAATTGTGGCTGATAGGCATTGCGAGACAAGACGTTTACCGAGTCCCACTCTTCATCGCTGATCGAATAGTGCGTGGCGATAACCCGTGTCCATCCGCCGCCATCGTACAACATACTACAATACACCGGAATGATCCGTTTCCATTTGGTGCTGTAAATACGGTAAATACCGCTACTGGCCGGACGCTCGTGTAGGATGTTGTTAAATCGATGCTCCCAGCATGACTGCGCTTGAGCATTGGCAAATGGGTCTAATTTACCAGCCCCCTCGCATGCCAGTGAATTATCAAACGGAGTCCAATTCTTCCGGCAAACTGTTGACCATTTACCGATATGCGGCATGAATACGAGGAGCTCGATGTCGGCTATGGCTGGACTACCAGAAATGCTGCGGTTGTCGAAGCGAGTACTAGTAGCGTCATTACAATAGATTGTCACCGGGGCGGTGCAATTGTACTGCAGATAATTCAGTTTTTTGAACTTGCATTGTGAAAGCTTTGTTTCGTTTCCCGTGCAGATCGTCTTGTATGGGAGATAAGTGATGTCATCGTCGCGGTCGATTGATGGCAAGCCGGCCTTTTGTATTTCAAAACCTAAAGTCAACAGTGCGGCTGTAAAATGCTCGATATCACAGCAAGCAGATGCGGCAACAGCTCGTACTTGAATAGTGATGATGGCTATACTGCAATTGATTGCATACAACACTGGCGCCCTCTTCCGAGAAATCATCTTGACAGAAGTCTAGCCATCGCCACTGGGCGTGAAAACTATGAGGGTCAGCTCTGCCATGTCCTTGCCGAGGATCAGAAATCTGTTGCGAAGCGGTCTTGTTCCCCGATGTTGTGCCATTACCAGCTACCGGTAGTGTAGTGTCATTGGCAGATACGGTAGTGCTTCCCTGTAAGACGGTGCAATGCCTGTTTAGCATAATTATTTTTTTGTTGTGCACGTTTTGGTCAACAGTTGGCTCATACGATGAGCGTAGATAGTGTAATACCGATAGACCGTTGTTGGGGTCGTCTGATGTGACTGCGGTTCCATTATCGTCAGTCAAGGAAGTCACACTGTTGCCTGAAATCCCAAAGTGTGGTCAACAATCGGCGAGCATCGCTTCGCTAATTAAGATTAAACTCATAAACCTGCCGCGACAGTTTTACTATGTTTTGGCAGTTCTTTTACGTTATAAAAGCATTGCCACACCACGTTTGACTACTTGCGACAGCTGCAGACATACTTAAGATTATTAAATGCATGGATACAAGGCACTTGTTCAGACCTGCAAAATTACACCCAACGCTCTGACCCAGGCGAGTCCGTTCTTTCGCATTTCACTCGTACCTGGTCCCGTGGAACTTGGTTGTGGCGTTGTCGTCGGGTCACTCGATGCTGAGGACTCCCTGACTTTTAAAATTCGTGGAGTATCTTTTTTAGGAATGAATGGTGTACTATATGGAATCCAAAGGGTTCCGAAGCGCCCAGAACTGCTTCCTACTATTACCGTGTCTCCTGAAACACATACTCACATTCTAAACGATAATCTTTTCTCTTTTTTGGGCTAAGGTTAGGCACCTATGCACTGCACCGATTCACATTCACACTTGTAGAAATCTACTCCTGGACATATCTCTCCATTGGAATCCATGCCAAAGTGTATGAAGTTAGACCATTCTGCTAAACTGCATTTTTTGTTACAGATAGACAGGTCATCGTGAAGAATGAGGCTTTGCCCGTGACGGGCTACAACTGGCACAGTGACTGGATTGAATGGATTCTGGGTTAGCTTGTCGTTTGTTCGCCATCCTGGTTCATCCTTTACGCAGTGAAGAGAGATGTTGACAAAAAATGGAAAGAGAAGGAAATCGTCAAATTTGAGCATTTCTCCCAGTTGCGCGTTATGGTGCACAAACGATGACTCGTAAAAGTGGTTTTGCAGGTGATCATTGCGGTGCAATCAGCTTCCAAGAGTTTCAGTTTTTAGCTGTCGCGGTCGGTATAAAATGAACGGGACCTCATCTCAGTAATGTGCAGGGCAGCACGGGGTAAGCACTTGCATTCCACACTGGTCAAAAACTTCCGACTGCGTCATCAGATTAGACTAATTCTCCGATTATTTATAACCCAAAGCGAGCCCATTAGATAAAACCAGCGCGGTTTTATGTGTATTAAGTTAGCGCATAACAGAGCCGTGCTTCGTAGCGGTATATAATATACAAACATTAACCATAAGCAACCACTTTCCAGGCGCATGCTTACGTGCTTTATTACAGTAATTTTATTAACACGCATAAGATCAAGACGCGGCAGGCTCAATGCTAACACGCCTTGCGGTACCTTCGACACAATCACCTTCTCAACGTAACCTGTATGGAATGCAACGCTATATAATGCAATGCTATTCAGTATTGGAAGAGGACCAAACTGTGAAAGTAGGAACAAAAAAATTATTCCGATTCGGTATTATTATTTTGACAAAACTGTGTTTTTCATTAGCTTTGACAGCGGTTTCTGCGGGAGTGGGCAACTGGTAAGGAAATAAGGTGAAGTATCATTAATTTTTGTTGCTGCAAACTGCGGTTTGCATGTAATGATGATTCAAAATTTTTAGTTCATTAATGAATTCAAAGTGGTAACCATTGACCGTTAGCGGCATTTTTTCTTTATTAGTCATTTGCGGTGCCTTCTTAGTCTTTCGAATAAAGTGAGTAAGCGTGGTAATATCGCTGTTCTCCGTAACCCATATGCGCGTTCGCTTTACTAGCCCATTGTGTCCTGTAGTCCTTATGCTGCGATCGTGTAGGTTGCAGAAAGCGCACTATGAATGAACAATAAAGCATCTGAATAAGTGCAGTACTTGATTGTTAGTTCTGTGTGACGAAAGACAGCATCCGTTGCTCGGTGACGAGTGCAACCAACTTTTGAGCCATACTTTTTTCAACTAGATATTTGACACTTCTTTCGTCGATTACACATTCACGTGTGCTACTGTACAATTCGGATCTATGGACATATTACGTGTAATACGAGTATATATGCAGGGCGCCGGAAGTTGAAAATGCTTCCTCTTTAAAGAGCCTTCATTTCAATCGACGTATTTACGACTCCGTTTCATGGAGGTTAAAAACTGACTGAGTAGAATTTTGATTTGCTTGGCATAAGCCAGTCCGTAAACACAACAGTGACCTTTATCTTCTTTACCAAACGTTCGCGCCAATATAAGCCCAGTGGTCAGTAATCACATAAAAAGCAACAGACTGCAGAAGTATAATACAATATTGGAGAAATCTTTCGTTTGTAAGTTGTGGGCGTCGTGAATTAAGTCTACACAGTAAAAGACATTGCTGCACAATTCTGATTTCGACATGAATTTACAACCGTTACTATCCCAATCCGGCGTATCGGTTAAGTTGAACGTCGTTACTTTTTGCGGCTGGGTAAAACTCTGATCTTGTGTTTCGAAACACGATCTCCACCGTTACTCTGGCAATAAGCAGCAGTACCGAGTAAATGTGCAGTCCAATCGCAAATCGCTTGACATGCGGCAGTATGATGTACAACCGACAAAAATGTCGATAATGGTAACAGCCCATAGTGTAGAAAACCAAAATGGTCTGGGCGTAAAGAAGAGGCACCGTTATCGCCTGGGTTGTATTCTGAATATTTCGGGTCCCCAGATACTGGATTAAATCGTTGATGAGGATTGCTGTGAAAAGGAGTGACCAAAGAAGTGAAAACAACAGGTCACGAAACTTTGTGGACCACAGCTGATTGGCTACTACAAGCAGGGTAGTCTGAACATCAAAAATAATTCGCCCGGTAAAATCCCTGAATCGTGCTGGCAAACTGGGTTGGGCTGGTGGTGCAAAATTTACCGTGCTACTATACGAGTCTTTCAACTTTTGGTTAATCAGGGCGTTCTTTTTCTGGGATTCCGTCAAAGAATGAGGGTGCAAAACATCTTTCGATTTGAAGCTTTCTGTAGTGTCCATTCTGCCTAATTCAAGTTCAATATCCTCAGTAAAGGGTCCTTTGCTGATGTTACAATTATCGTTATTGCGTTAGTCTCATTCTAAATTAATACGTGCATAAAACTGAAAACAGCAACCCGTGCACGCGTTACATGCATAGCATCTGTTGCCAAGTTTAATTTGCGGAATCTCGTACCAGTGTGAGTACAGTATGGCTAATACATTACCTTAATACATTACCTTAATACATTCTGCTCGTACTATGCTGGTGTAGAAATAATCAACAAAAAATCAGTCAGTGCTGCCAAATATACGAAAGGAAACGCCACCACTTGATTGGCTGTCAGAATACTGAAGTGGGGCACACTTCCTTTAAAAGCAATCGCAACAGCTCTGATTTGGTTATCACAGCAGAAATCAGAGAACATTTGTCCAATTCAAACTAAGAAACATCAAGATTAAAAATTTTAGTATTAAAAGGCCAAATCCAATGGATGCTTTATGGAGACTCAAAGCGTGACTCTGGGTCACATTACCCTGGTCACCTCCCGTCCGTAATGATAACTGGTCAACTACACTGGGCTCCCAGAACGATCGCGGACGCTTTTGTGGTTCCAAGAGCGGAACAGAAGTATCAGCAAACCATCCCCACATTCCATTGGCATATAGAGTGTTAATCAAAAATGGAAGAAGTCTGCGCCCATCAGCAAAAACGCCCGGCAAACCGGACGCGCAGCCCCTACGAATACATCAGTATTACTGTAGAATGTTACAAGTAAATAAGAACGGTCAGCGCACTTACCGCCCAAAGGATGTTATCCCAGACAACTGGTATTGCTTCGGTATATTTGGAGCGGGGCCTTTGCATACGAATGGCCCGCCGCTATCTCCTTGACAGCTATTGTCAAAAGAAAACTAAAACCCTTTTGACGGTTTTATCAGTATACTGTATACTATACTGTCTATACATACGTGTCTTTGTCAGGTTTCGCTGCACATAACATCTCTGCTGTGATGGTGGAAAATTGCTTGGAACAGTCAGCATTAGACAGGGTTGATAAGTTCACCACTTGGAGGTTTACGGGAAGTTTTGGAGGTGGCATGATGCCTTCTCCACTCCACTGAACCATGTTGCCACATCCCGTCGCCGTACAGGTTTGCTTATTTAGCGGCCCGGAGTATGGTCGCGGCAGACATATCGGCTTTATTTTCGGCGAGAAAGTCAGGTTCTGCAGCAAGACAATCGTCTGTTACGAACAAAGAACAGCAACTGTCGTCCGTCGGTTACCGTTGAAAGTTTAAGCAGGCAGTAATCGTAATTTGCTCCCCAACCCGAAACGCTGTAGTTTGGATGTATGACGACCTTGTCAAGAGTCAGCGTAGTACCGTCGTCCCAACTGTCGCATCTCTGGAAGCCAACCTTCACTTTGAAGTTCTCGATGGGTACCGGTCTGGTAACAATAAAGTTATTACAAAACGCGAAGCTTCATTTTCAGAACAATCGAAATGTATAATCTAACCTACTCGCCACGCTGTTGACAGCAGTGTCCAGCTGTTGCAACCCACCCGGGTCCAATCTGCGACGAGAAATCATTATGCAAGCGAGTACTAAGATTAAGGCACAAATTTACAATAGATCCTCCACAAATTGACGACGAAATTGACACCAAAACTTGCCACGGCCAGGCATATGGTACTGCCTATAATTCCCACACACAATTAACAAACGCTTCAGTGCAACTTATTTTTACGTACATCTACACCGCCCACAATCCGCGTGTCGGTACCGCTCGATGAAGCATCATCTGGAATGCCGCACGTCTGAGTACACACCTCGTCTTCACCGGCAGCGCAGTCAGCTTTTCCTGAAGATAAACGGCGCTTCGATAGATGTTGCCAAATACTAGCGAGCCATTGCCATTTTTATGACTTGTTACCATCACAAATATAATCAGCTGGCACGCACTTTATCAAAGTTCTCCCGCTGATCGAGGAAACAGGTGTTGACTGGCAAATAAGCTCGTCTTCCGCACAGTTCGGACTTTCTTGAAAAAAAAACAACACTGGGTTAACTTGAAAAAAGATGTGCTTTTGTCAGCTTTTATGTAAAAAAGTTCTCGTACGGTGCCATTCGTACTGTGAAAACCGATTTGGAAGCCTTTAGATGTCTGACTGCCATCCGACACAAAAAGCATTAACTGCAAGAATAAGCGGTGAGCCACCTATAAAGTACCACTCAGTTACAAGTTGCACTGCGCAAGCTTACTACGGAATCGCTATACGATTTAAACTTAAAGTTTCCACTTCCACAAAACATCTGCAAGATTTGATAGGGATCTGAAAGCAAAAGCGTGATAGTTTTGCACGATAATTCGATGATTTACTGCATTGGACGAATTAATACATTTTAAGTCCCAGAATACAACGTAATCCCTCATGCAAGTTCCATTCGGCTCTGCCGGTTGGAGGTCAAACGATCCTGAAATAATCTAGAACGAAGCATAGGAAATCGATTTGCTACATTGTGGCAGTAGCACACTCGTAAAAGCAACAGGTATTTTGAATCATTTATTGGCGCGTACTTCCAGTGGACGCCCCATTCCACGAAACCAGTAAGTCACGTTGGTATTTATGGGATAATTGTCAGGGAAATTTGCTGAATTAATAATGTGGTTATCGACATCGTCTCTCAGTTTAAGAACATTTGAGGTTAGCACTTCTTGTGGAAGTGTAACATTTGGTCGAAAGATGGGATCGGACTTGATCAGTGATGGTATGAACCACAAAATGCAACAGCATAAAACCGGAGACCGCGAACTGCTTAACTGCATAATATTATTGAAATTCCAACATCGTAAAGGCAAATCTAGCACATTTTGCAACACAGGCTCAGTAGTTTATCAGAAATTTAAAACTGTCCCATAATGTTGCAAAGATAATTTACACAACGTACAAGCACTTCATAGCTCTTTTTAAGCATTGTAAATTGTTGCTGTACAAGCGCAACAGTCACCCTCCGGTGAACTGCCAACATCAAGCGTCCTGTCACACATATTATGTGAGTGTTTACTGTTGTTGCCACAGATACAAGCACAGCAGTCCCTCTTAAAACAGCTGTACATCCTCTTTAAACATTGCCAGTAAAGTAACCGCCGTTCAAGGGAGCAACGAGTGGTAGAAAAATTAAATAATAACAGGTAAGAGAAAAATAGATGGCTGACACCATTTTTAATAACTTGACCTCTGTGGTAAACTTTCCACTACCGCTGCGGTCAAATGTAGCATCCCCGTCTTCCACAAGCCAGTCAATGGTTTGGAGCCTTTCTGACAAATTAGCCACAACTTTTGGTGTATACGGCGGCCGCGGATAACGCCTATGATTGAGCAGCGGGACAACGGTGTCAGCATGCCATCCCCAAAAGTTGTGCTCGTATAGTACTCTGATCAGAAAGGGTAGCGCGCGGACAGGATTAGAAAAGACACCAGGTCGACCTGATGCACAACCACTACAAAGTGCCGCAAGTCAAACGGTATTGTCAAAAATGGTAAATGTCGGCTCAAAACAACATACTGTCCAAAGGACGTTATTCCCGACAGCTGGTATTGAGGTGGATCCGCGGAATCAGGCACTTTGCAGCAGAATGGACCTCCGCTATCGCCACGACATCTGTAAATTTGCAGCGGATGATTTTTTAAGTACTTGACATTATGGAACTAAATTTGACCGCATTTACGGTTTTTACGTTTTCTTACGTGTCCCTGGCTAATTTAGAAGCGCCACACACCATTTCCGGTGCAATTCTCGGGAAATATCTGGCGCACTGTGAATTGTTCATTATTGCCAGGTTGACTGCCATAAGGCTGACGGGCACTCGAGCAGCTGGCTGAGTCCCTGATCCACTCCATTGTACCATATTGCCACAACCCGTGGCGGTGCAGTTTTGGTTCCTCAGCGGCCCCGAGTAGGGCCGAGGCAGGCATACAGGCTGAATTTTGTTGGTGAATGAAATCATCTGGAAAACGTATGGAATTTAATATACACATAAAAATTCGCATTTATATGTCCACTCACTTTCACCAACTTAATAATGCAAAAGTCGTAATTGACACCCCAACCGCGGGCACTATAATCTGCGGGGACAAACAGTCTCTCCGCATGAATCGTCAATCCGTCAGCCGGATCGTGGCAGCGGTGAAAGCCAACTTTCATTTGTAACTGACTGGGTGCAAAATCGCTGCAAGGTTTGGTTTACGAAACTGGGTCACACTGACCGCGGTGCTGTATTAAGTCAAGTACAGACCTACACGCCATTCAGTTGACAGCAATGCCCGGCAGTCAGAATCCATCCAGCAGCTATCTAAGCGCATAGAATCTGTGAGATGATTAACTGAATATACATAAACGCGAGCCCGTACTGCATACCACGGATCCGCCGCAGGTGTATATGTCCTTCCCGGATTCCATTTTCATGTTAACCTGCCACGGCCAAGCATTGGGAAAAGCTTCGATGCCCCCGACGATACGCGTTTGCGATTGTGTTTGCACATCCGGTGCAGAGTACTTCTTGCCACACTGCGTAGTGCAAATCTCGTCTTCGCCGTTTGGGCAGTCCTTCTGTCCTTGAATAAATTAACGAAATCACGGTGTGAAATGGAGTTTTACACAGGTGTGGTGTTGCTGTATAATTTTCTAACCGACGCAGTTGTAACTGTTGGTTGTTAGAGCATCAGCATGCAGAAATAAGCATTTTATTGAAGGTTGCAAATTCGGTCCTGCTCACCGTCACAAATACGTTCTGGTCGGAGACATTTGTAATTGTAAATTAGCTTAAAATTTCCCTTCGGCAACTGAGCGTCTCTTTTTGGCTCGCAACGCAGTTCGTCTGCTCCACAGTATTGCCTGCTTCCTGGAAAGCCGACATTAAAAGTCATGATGGACTCTATTTATCAACACCGTAGGGTGAAAGGTCCGATAAAAAAGGCTTACTCTCTATTTTCAGAATGAAACCGTTGAATGCATAGCGGTCATCCGACACGAAAAGAATTATCTGATGTGAACAGTAACGCAGGTGTTAAAATAAGATACAAACGTAAAATTTGCGGTGAAAAAATCAACAGTATCCTTACTAATGAATCGCTGTAGGACACAAGATCCAAATCCGCTCTGCCACAGGCTACTTTTAATTGATAATATTCATCTTCAAAAATACACCATTGAAAGTATGAAAACTGGCTAACTATGTAACTATACTAATAACACTATCACTTGCATTTTAGATCCCATACAGCAACGTAATCCTTTAAGCAAGTTCCATTCATCTCGGGTTGCTGCAGACTCATGGACAATGTTGTTATCTGCAACATTCAAAGCTTAGTCACCTTTTCGCCAATGTTATTATGATATTTAAAAGGTGCTAAACCACAACAAATATGTTGCTCCTTACTTCGATGGGGCGTCCGTTACCCTGTATCCAATAAGCAATGTTGGAGTTGTCTGGATATTTGTTAGGATATCCCGGCGACCTTAGGTAAAAACTATCGGAATCATCGTTGATTTTATACACGTTGGAAAAGAGTACTTCACTGGGAACGCGAACATTTGGATAGTATTGGAGAATCTGGGTTGTTACCAACTGGATTAGGTGCAACACAATACTAATTGGCAAAACCCAGCGATATGCATTTAACATTGCCTAATCCCACATTGGCATGCGAATGATTTCCTCCATGCAAGGACCATTAAGTCATTGAGCATTGACTAACTGATTTACCGAATTTCACATAGTCAGAAACATTCTGAAACACTACTATCAAAACGGAGAGCCTTTAATTTGTCTAAAATAATTCAATGATTCCAGCAGGCTGCTGAAGAGAGTTGCGCCCGGGTAGATTAGCAACCCAAATAACGTTTAGGTTTAAAAGTATTGTAAATAAATATATGGGCCACGTTCTTTTGTTAAAATACCTCAACTAACACAAACGGATACAGGATACTCAAAAATCGTTTTTTGATACTCATGCACCTTTGCGTATTCAATAAATCTTAATAATATTATTAGGACGTTTTTTATTTCCGCCGGTGCAATTTTGTATCGCGGTACTCAACGCTTCTAATAACTGGATGTCTGCTACATTGTCTTAAGTGTTATTACCAACTTCGAATAACAACGCATGGGGGAAATATAAACATTTTCAGTGTTATAATAATGTCAAAAGTGAAACCAACTCAAGCCTGCCGTAAACGTATGCATGACCAGGTGTGAATCAGCACTCGAAGCAATCTCGGACGAGTTCTCATGGTCCAAATTTTCTTTGCACATTGCGGCTATTCGAGAATTTTTAGACCCACAGGTGCGTGATATTTACCATTTGCAAATATCAAAAACGTGTGAATTTGGAACCTGTATTTTTTGAAATGCTAGAATAGGTTTTACGGTTTTACCACTTAGCTGTTGGTTGCAGTTGCTTACGTAAGTCAGTTTAACTGTGATCATATTTAGTGGAAGTGCTGTCATTCGTCCTACCCATTTAAAGTTTGGAAAGGATTCCTAGCAGTGTACTTTACCGTATGGCTTCTGCTTGACTTAGCTTATCTTCCACGTGACTTTACAATCAAGCCCGACAGGAAGTACCTCATCTATTTAACCAACTGGACTTATCTGCTCTTCACGTTGTATACTATTGTCGCTGCTGTTAACTGTTGTACATACAGGGAACCAAAACATTCTGAAGGTATTAAAATTTTATTAAAAAAATCTCTTTTGTTTGTTTAGGATTATCGTTCTGTTTCTAGCTAGAAAACCCGACAGGCTGTTATGGCCCCTGCGGCTCCAGTGGATGCTGTGGAATGTTGGCGCTATTTCAACTGTCGGTGTAATGATTTTATACTGGACACTGCTCGGAGAAAACTTGAGTGTTTTTAGCGTTCACAAGCACATGCTCAACGGCATCGTTATTGTGATTGACCATTGCTTCATTGCCATGCCCGTGCACTTACTCCACGTCTACCAATCCATGGTTTACGGTGTCTTCTACTCTGTCTTTACCGCTGTTTACTTCCTTAGCGACAGAACAATAGTACCTATTTACAAATTCCTTGATTTCAAAAATAATCTAGGCTTAGCTGTGGGAACGGAAGCCGCCGTTGTGTTTGTGCTGTTACCGCTGCTGCATTTCTGCTTCTGGATGTTGTTTAAATTACGATTGTACATTGCTCAAAATGCCGGAACGCCGCGTCCTGATGGCCCAGACCCGACCTACAGGATACCGGCACCCATTACTTTGGCTAAACCGCCGACGGGTCCGCGACCAATCTTTGTTTTTACGGTTGAAGATGTCGACGCGGATAAAGAAGATAACAAATAATATTAATTTCGGTTAAAACAAAGAATCAACAGTAGAAGATCAGAAAAACATGATCTACCCTTAAGACTTCGCTAAAACGCCTTAGAGACATTTCAAATAACACCTACAAAAAGCATGCATCTGCAACCAGTACATTATTATCATCTAAAAGATCACCAAAATCAAAGCACGATAATCTTCAAAATTAATCATTATCATTATCAAAAAGAGGTTTACCGTTTACGAGCATCGGTGCCGAAAACCATGAACGAGAAGGATCCTCCTTCCACTGGTCCACAACGCACATCCTCGAGGGTATACGGAAGATTCGAGTTAACCCCATACTTTTAACACCGCGAACAATTATCGAAAATTATCATGGTATCGAAAACTACCAGGCCTGCTGCCGTAAGACGAAGCCGACTGGCACCGGTTATTAGGCCCGACTCCCATCTTTGCAGTTTCCCGTGAGAGGAAATCATCGTAACTGCGCTGCTCCATTTGCCTCTTTGCTTGTTCTTCGGTAGCAGACTGGCGATCTCGAGCTTGCTTTTCCTCCAGCTCACGCATCTATAATATCAAAACGCAGTTTTTTATGTGACAATTTTTTATTTACAACAGGCACAACAACTCCACTTGATCTTTACTTGAGCGTCAAGATCATGTCGCCGGATCGACTGAGCACGCGTCATATCATCCAGCTGACGCTGCTGTTCCATTTCCGCTAACTTCTTCTGTGACGTTAGCTCTTCTCGCTCACTCTCCAACTGACACTGAGTTTGGCGATTGACATCCATCTTGAACCGAATCTGCCTCTTCAGATCTCCGATAACTTCATTCACAAGGCCCTTCCGGGCGTTTTCCTCAGCAGCCCACTCTTCTTCGCGCTTTTCCCAGTACTGCTTAGCCTCTTCCCTTAAAGAATAAATTTCATCACACACTAGGCAGTGCTAATGCCTATTGTGTAGCAATAAACGTACCTGTCCAGGCGATCAATTTCGCTTTCCCGTTCCTTTTCCCTGCGGATCCTGTCCTCCATAGCTTCCCTCATCTGCGCGGCGACGGATCGCTCGTGCTCTTTCTTCAACTGGTCTCTTCCAACGGCTTCCTCCTCCATATGTTGTACGGATTCCAGGATTTGTCGATCAAGTTTCAGACTGTCTTGGACTTGGCGATTGCGACGACGAAGAAAAGCGGCATGCTGCTTCATCAGGTTTGCCCTACACAGGCACAGAAAGCATAGAAAAAACAAAAGTGCAAGTAAACGAAAAATTGTGAACTTTATTTTTACCCAAAGTCCTTTTTCTGCTCGGACTCTTCCAGCTTTTTCCGCTGATCCTCCAGGCGCGCTAATTCACCTAGCTGCGCCAGGAGTTCACGCTCCTGTTGCTTAAGGGCAGTCAGCTAAATAAAAACGGTATTCCATTAGACGACTGTACTGTGTTGACAAGTTAACGCAGAACGATTCGGAATGCATCACGAAATGGGGCGATGTACAAGGCTAACTCAGAAAATTAATTTCTATTTGATACTTACCAAATCTAATGCTCAAAAACAAATACGCCTTTACCTGGCTTTCACGTGTGCGTAGGTCGTCAACTTGTTCTTGCCATACTTCAGTAAGGTCATGCATACGAGATCGTTCAATCGAACGTTTCTCCTGATCTCGTTCTTCAGCCAACTGGATTTCGCGGCGCATATTCTCCAGCATCTGACTTTCCATGCGCTTCTCCTCCTCGGCATTCTGCAAAGTTGCTTATAATGGACACGATGTACAACAATGCTAATTCTCAAGTACAAATCACAATAGAAATTACTATTATTAACCGTATTTTAACCGATTCACTGATTTAACCGATTTTAACGGACGATTTTAACCGATTCAATTACAACCGATTTTAACCGATTCACAAAAATGAAAAACGTTTCAAGGGTGACTACAAATACCCAAGAAACCCGAACTCTTTAAATGTTAATGTTTTACATCCTCCTGGGTTATAACTTGCGGATATCCTTCTGTTAAAAATCGCACTGCATTCGTAAAAATTGTACTTAATTTTCCTACAATAAGCTCAAACGTTACCTGCAGATTAGCAGTTGCTTATTAACAAATTAATACCTGCTGTTTGATGCCAATTTGGTCACCCCACGCTTTACTCGTTTCCAAATCAATTTGTTTGGTTACAGCCTGCAATGAAGTCGAAATTCGCATTAAAGGCCATCGATCAACATTTTCGCAGTCATCAATCAACATTTTGCACCATCACCTGCCATCTCTTGCACACAGATCATTTATGCCAAAAATAAGTTTCGGAGAAGGCTAGGTAATTATTTACCTCCCGAAGTTCAGGGCAGTTCTTTTTCCAAGCTTCATGAAGTTTTTCGGCTACAAGCTTCATGACAAAGAAAGTGTTACTTATTGATACTGTCGTTAAATCATGAATTCATAGATATTTTTACGGTAATACCATATTTCGCACACCTGTTCCTGTTGTCTCGTACGGGACTGCCGAAGCTGTTCTGCCCGTTCTTTCAGCTCTCTCACACGATCGTCACCCGCGTTCTTCAACTGTTCCATTATTTCCGTCTAAAGAGAGTACACCGGACTTCCAAATAATGTTTAACCATGCCCATCCATGCGCACAGCGCTACATGTACATATCGACTGTGGGTACACCTTTAGAAGTCCGCTGTCATTGTGCGCTTAATTCTGACAGAAGCTTAGAAAAAATTGTCCTTCCAACCTGATAATCCACTTCTTCTTTGTACAGCAACGCTGCCAATTCTGCGCGTCGAATCTTCATATCAGCATCTTTCTGTTGTTCAATACGCTGTCGCATGAAGTTGTCTACGCTGAACACAGTCGTTGTGCTTCCTGCCATAACGTCATTACTCCAAACACTAAAGACGCCTCACCCTACCTGGCTTTGAAAGTACGATCGGATGTCAGCTTAGAATAGCCGGCTGCATCCGTTTCCGCCTTCTGGATATGCTGCAGATTCTTTTCCAGTGTATTATGTCGCTGCTCCTCCAGATTGCGTCGCTGCAACATAAGCTCGTGCTGCGCTCGCAGGCTCCCTGGCGTCCATCGTGAAGTTGTTGACTTCGCTGACATGATCAATTACGAGAGCCAAATCCGCAATCATGTTCTAGATAAAATAACAAACCCATGAGGCCGAGAGAAATTATCGTCCAGCGGAACATCTTATCCAGCGCGCGACAATAGTGAAAACAATTACAGTACGTGAATGCATTTCTATTCTTCTCTGTATCTTCCTTTATAAATTTCACGATAGTTTCAACTTTCAAGAGTCCCGTTTAGGTCAACTGCAGACAGCACCGCAGACTCGTGCGGTTGCAGCGCACACATGAATTCCTGCTTCCGGATGGCTGGCGGCTGACACGCACTCTGCGCAGCACAGGAAACTCAGCACTCCTGCAGTGCAGATTGCAGAGCATAGATATGTCCCTTTAGGCTTTAGCTAACCATAAGTCATAAGTACTCGCAAGTAGTAAGTACTCGTCTAAATTGGATTGCTAATCTCTTTGCTGCTGTGGTTTGTACTGTCAGCTCTTTTAACATGTTACTTCTTACTGCAATTTCTAAACCCTAAAGTCTTATGAATACCAAGGTACAACGGCACAAATGATTCTCCGTACAGCGGGATGCTCTAACCGACTCAGTTAATGGTACCTTGGAGTTCGTGCTTTTTTTCTTGGATTGCCGAAATCCGAAATTAAGGGTGCTCCATAGCGCAATCGCATTAGATAAGTACAACTGCTGTGACCTCTCGAATTAAAAACGATTTAAGCGAGTTTTTTTTATTACTTGAAGTTCAACTTAATAACAAAAATATTCATATTAGGTGAGCAGAAACTTTAATAACAGAGTTGATAAACTCACGGCACATCAAAGTTACTGCTGCACTGGCACCTAATAAAATTTCAAAGACAATCATGGAGTCTAGAATTTCCAAGTGCTTTCACAATTCCATCACAAGGGATTAAGCTTTTTATTGCGAAACACGCAAAAAAGTGCTCTGTACCGTACCAGTTACGACAATACCAGAGACAAAATCCACCATAACACAACTAATAATATACACTGCGGACTGTAGTACAACCACAGCCACTCAGCCAGCAAAATGTGGACAAATAAAAACAAAATTTCGTGGTCAATAAATCAATGAGAGGACAAAAGTTTCTGATCTTCAAACTGAAGCTTATCAGTAGCCAACCAGCTTCGCACATTCTGACAAAATGACAAGCATCGCGGCAACGCCGGTCGTCTAATGGGACACGAAAATCGCGCTGGCAACTTGGAATCTGGTGTATTCCTTTCGAAATAACTGATTATGCCGAAAAACCACAATCGAGAAAGGTAGTTTGGAGTGTTGTTAGTCGATTCGACCTAAAATTCAATGAGTCGATGGTTACCTGTTGGCTGCTGTTTCGCCTCAAAGCGAATTCTTAATGCGTACTTATACTTTTCATAGAAAAGAGAACGGGAAATAGGAACAGTATTGGCAAAAACTTGAATGCCTGACCTTTAACTGAGAATTGGACGATATTGTGTGGTAAACACGGAATAAAACGGTAGTAACGCAGTACGCAATTAACACATCAATAGTATAGTGGGTTCTGGATACTGTCACGAAGAAGATGCCCAGTGTGGCGAATCCGTAGATGATCCATTTGGCTATGCGCCAAAACAGGTGTGACTGAGGAGTATCTAAAAAATCAATGTTACGCGTTAAAATTGTAATGATACGATGTGACTGATGTCAAGTAAACAAGTTGTAAATGGTATTACCTACTCTAGTATCTACAATAATATATTATTAGCCATCCGCCCTGACCAGGGGAATGTTATCCACTCGTATAAGTCTTGCAAAGTGTGCCTCGGATATAATCCAAAAAATTAACTATTTGGTAAAATTGGTAAAATTAACTATTTGGTTATTTATGTATTCAAAATAAATTTATCATTAAAAATGCAACTCAAGCATTTGAAAAATTTTTATTTTCTTTGCATACCCGTATCAAACATGTGTAAAGCGATTCAGGTCAAATGGTATCTCGCGCTTATGCGTTGCAGATGCTGTTGCATGAGTATTACTCAACAGTACGATACATAGTCGCATGTTCTGCACCCCGTGTTAATTGTGACAGTTGACAGCATACCAGTGTGCGCTAATATTATAGAAGTACTTTTATTAAAAAATATTTCATGGCGCTTAACCTTACATTCCGCGAACACCAATGAACAAAGCACAAGTGAGCACGTATGGCCGCTGTAAATGAAGTCCCCACAATAAACGAGTTTTCCGTTGATTGACAATCCAAGCCCGCTCAGCAGCGATACAGCACGACGAGCTATGAGCAACGGATTGGTATTATTCATCTAGAAGTAATGTAATGCAATCATGCTAAAATTGCTGTATAACGGTGATAATCAAATACTCAATTCGTTAGTCTTCACAAACCTTTGCAGCACATGGATAGTAGAGATTTGCTTGCGGCAATACGGTAACGAACATCGTCACCCCTCGGCCTAGGTAAAGCAGACCAGCGACCACAAATACTCTTCGGAAAATTATCCATCTGATAAAAAAAATTTAATATACTACAATGTCATGTTACTGAAATGTCTTGGCAGTATTGATTGCCTAATAATGAAAATTGCGGATGCCCAGAACGTCCAGTGTACTGTATACACATAAATATGCAGTGGGCAAACTACCGTTGCTTGAATTTGCTAGATGTTTTTCTCCCTTTATTTAAAACGTATTGTTTTAATTTTTGGCTCTATTAAAAGCTAGGTCTATTGCATTAAAGTTTGATACCGTTCCAATCGTCGAGATTGCGCTGTTCTAAGTTCAAAACAGTTGTGCTAGCGCCTCGTTAATATGCAAGAACGGTAACTGGAAGCTTGCCAAAATTAATATTATTACGAGTATTATAGCGAAAGAGGATGTCGCAACATATATTTTCTAAAAAAGAGTTTCTCGATTTTTACTTTTATCCCTCTATCCGTAAAGTCAACAGTACTTAAAAGTTAACACAGTGCTTAAAAATCCCGTGTGAGTGCGTCCACATTTTTTAACTGAAAACTCGGAAATCGAGGCTAACTGGTTTCTGTCTCGGCTGCCAAGAGTGCGAGCCTTTCTGCTGACAGTTAAACATAGAATTTGTCGTGCGACTACGTCTTACAGACTGCTTCTTCAGACTGCCAGTCAATGAATACTACACAGTTGTAAAAAAACGTAATAATAATAGTAGCCACAGAATCGACAAGGTGAAGCGAGTTATCTCTAAAGGTTACAAATAATAAATTAACCCACAGACTTGATTAACTGATTGACTGCTGCAGAATTGATTAATTATAAGTTGATCCGCAGAAGTGACAAGACCAAGTGATGCTTTATCTGGTGAATGCTTTATCTGGCGAATATAGCAGCTGTTATTTTTGCTCGTTGAGATTTTATAGACAGATGTGAAACAAAGTTAACGAAGCAGCTAGTTTTCACCGTTTTGTTCTGTTATGTTTTGTAATATTTGTACATAGAGTATTGGATTCTACGCGTATGTATACTGCGGAGATTTAAAAAGCAGTTCTACACTATATAAGTACTAGCATTACTCGTATTGTGTATCTGTAGCCTGTACTTGGAGGCTCGGAACACCAACCTGTGATGATGAAACAGCATGGTCGTGAAAGTGGAGTATGTAACCAGCAAAATCAAATATTCGGACATCTCGAGTCCGTTGTCCACTTGGTTGAAATACGTAAAGACAATGTCCGGCAAGGGCGACGTGATTGGCTGCCTATCGTGAACGCCGGCCAATGCCAGTGCTGAAACGGACAACCCTGCCAATAGGAATAGAAATGCCTGTACCGTCTTCCATTTTTCATCGGAAAAGGTGACGGGAAGTCCGACTGCAGATCCATCATAATCTTCGTTTTCAACACTGATAAAGCAGCATTCTTCAGGCTTTTGTAGCAGCTCCTCGAGACTGCTCGACTTGATAACGGCAGGTGATTGTTGAAAGAAGTAGACTGTTTCTTCGCCCGGCCTCGACTGTTGCTCTAGCGGCATGGTCCACTTTGAGTAATAAACGAATCCTAAACTTCAGTTCATGTTAGACGGCAGCAAAACCGAACAGGAGTTCCGATCAAAATATGCGGAATAAATACTTCTTGCTTTTAAGCCGATAAGTACAGTGGAACAACCCGGCTACGTCAACCGCTGTCGTACGCGTGATGTAGATACTAGTATGGAACATCTTCCAGAGCGGTTAACGGCGCTGATAGGAAAATAATTGCCGGGGTGCAGTGTACGGTGTAGCTCGTGGGATTAATAAGTGGAATCTAGTGCAGACTGTGCGGAAATCGAATGTTGATAAAGGAGAGATGAAAATATTTAAAATGACGCCGACAATAAATGACAAAATTGTTAATCATTTGTAGCTCATAAGTATACATTATATGGTTTGCCGTGAGTTGTGCTTACAAATTCCATAACCTGTTTGTTATGGTACGGGTAATAAAATATCAATAATAATCTTGGAAAGTCCACGCATCCATGCAGGCTGACTAACAATCCATTGTTAAATTCATCAGTCACACTATTTACCAGGCGGCACTGCTACATAGGCCCGATCGCATTCCGCATTAAGCCGTTACTCGATAATCTCTCCTGCATCCAACGCGCTCGTTTACGTGCTCCGGCAGCTCGGGGACTGCGCTGCGTTTATTGGGTATAAGAACCTATATTCTATGCACCTTTGTTGCTAGGCATCATTGCGTCATGCCTTCCGGATCGTAAAATCTGAACACATTCGTCAATAATAAAAAAAAATACATTTAATACGTAATAAGTGAAACGAAATCTCTCGATTATCTATTACTTCATAATTATTTGTGCCGAGGTATGGCTTACTGTCAGGCTAGCGCATGTACGTAACTGAATTCCGAACAGTCCTTGCGGCTTGCGCTTTGCAAAGTTCTTGCTTAACGAAATTCAGGTATAAAACTTTGAAGCAGCGGAGTTCTAAGAGATGTCAAAGGAGCCAACAATTAAGTAGTGCTGGGGGCCTAGGGGATTCACGGTCCTTAATATCGTGTAATACAGTACGAGTATTGCACAATGTATTGTAATAGTATGCAGTGTGCACATGCATAAGCGAGTAACACTCTTGTTTTTGTTTTTATCGGTTTCTTAGTCGTATGTTCAAATATCGAGATTTGGTGCGTGGAGCGATTGCGTTGCTCAAATACTAAAATAGCTACCTGCGTCTGCATCTACAGTATTTTAGTTATCCCCGATTTCCTTATGAATCAGATAGTAATATGGCGCTTTTGCAATAAAACGGTTGAACTAAAACGGTCAACTACAGCCCTGCCGGGCCAAGTTGGGGCAGTTTTTCTCAAAAATTTCCGTGAGTTATCCGTCACCAAATCAAAACTTACCAAATCTTTACATGATGCCTATGTGTGTCCAACATCTGCTGCACTTAAGGTTTCCATGCTGAAAGCGTGCTGCGAATTACAGCGGGATAAAAATTAGAGCGGACCAGCTGGAGAAACTGGTTCGACCCATCCTACTTGTTAGGCACTGTCCGATTTAGAATTCGTTTATAAATTGGGTGTGTGTCGTAGTGTAAAATCAGTAACTTCACGCTGTTCCCCTTTTCGTGCTCTTCCAAATTATGCAATATACCAGCTACTTTCAACCATGCCTGTGTGACCTTAGCAGTCTGACTGGAGGAACCGGAGAACTGGAGGATGACCTCCTCTGCATGCTCGCCGTACAGGCACAGGGTGCCCTACGGAAATCTTTTTAGACAAATCTCGTTTATGAAGTTCTGAGGGTCAATTTAAATCTCGCTATCCTCGTAATAGACCCGTATTCCGCTCCAGTGCGTTCAAACAGCGACAACATCTTTTTTTATCTTCCGCTTTGTCGGTTTTTTATTCCACTTATACGGCCCAGCCTTCTGCCCGTCTGTGCAAAAGATGCCAATCTGGACATCAAATTCGTATGATGTTATCCATGTGTCATCAATGGAAAATATCAATTCGAGATTAGCACACCAGACGCGCTAGGCAACCCTCTTCTTTCGAAGGCTCATTATATCATAGCAGTCTATGGGAACAACACCTTATTCCCCCGTGACCGCAAGCAGACGTGGAGCACGATTCTCCTCCCAACTTGTAACAGACACCTTTTGGGTCTCTCAATAGTTTTCAAAAACATCCACGAAAAAATATCTGCAGGTGACATTTTCAGAAGCGCACGTATAAGCGCCCTAAAACAGACCACTATCCCATCCCCTAAATCACCGAGCGGCTCGCTACTGGCACACCGATAAGTACCGAATTTAACAGTTCTAGATTTGCGACGAAAAGTTACATTAACTATGCTAAAAGATAACAGCAAAACAATGAATACAGTTATTTTATAATTTATTTTTTACAACTGCCCCAACTTGGCCCGGCAGGGCTGTAAAACGGTTGAACAAACCTCTGAAAACATTAATTTTTTCTGCTTTATGGCAAACATGATCGTAAACTGTAACAAAAAGTACAATATTGTACCGATAGGCGCTGAACCATGAAACGCAGCCAAATGGTAATGGGTTTCCCCTTGGTTTATTTCCCACCGATTCTGTACCTTCCGTTACAACTGTCTTCTAAACAAATCTCTGAAATGAAAATTTCTATCGTAAGTAGAATGACCCAATTACCGAAGCACCGCTTCGTAGCTTTACCTCCTGCTAAAGCGCATAGTAGAGGGTGGCGCCGTCACCGGTTCATTCTCAGAGGGCTTCGATACCATGTTGCGGATTTCTTGAACATTCTGCTCTAAGGCAATAATTCTTTCCCGCAGTCGGTACCAGTTACTACGATGCCGGTTTAGCTCTTCTTCGATTCCCAGAGTTCTGCAAAGAAAAGCGAAGTGATGAATCTAAACGATTTTTTTCGGTAAATAATCTTTGCTATTTTATCGCTGCATCGTGGAAAGAGCGACCGCACATAGTGTGCAGCTTCAATAGATCTTCTTTGCAATTTTTGCAAGATGCCGTTTGCAATTTGCGTCTACTAACTTTTTGAAATGGTCTTTGGCCATTTTTTTCTCTTTGACTTCCATGTCCACGTTTCGACAATACTCTTTCACCATTGTCTTCCAGTATTTGAAAAAATCTGCCTTGCGTACAATAATGGGAGGCAAATCCGACGTCTGATTACCGATAAAAGCCATAGATAAAATGCATAAAGTTGCCTTGATAGTACAACCAACAATTTTACCTTTCTTTTCAACGCTCGCTGCACCGTATGATTGACAAATCCACAAGACAACATGGTAAGCAGCACGAAATACGATAAGAGCGAGAAAGGAGCCGGCCAAGCGCTGCGCGTCGAGAAATCAAGGACCATTTGATAACGCTGAAATTTCCAAATGGAATCCGCCTCTCTGTCAACCCCGCTGTACGTATTGCTGCAACCATTAGCGAATGACAGTAATATACGCGTCACTGACTGAACAAAGCACATTCAGTGCCCCACTTACTAAAACATTGCAGCCAGAAGTGTAACAAGGATCATTTTCAGGATGATAGCGTATTGGATAACAATCATGTACGACGATACACCCACTACCGGGCAGTCCGGCACGGAGTGCGTTCCCGCCCAGCAGGTATCCGGCAAGCTACTGTCATTGGTTACGCGGTAATGCGCACATTTGCCAAATGATTCCAGTTGCAAATCCGTAGATGGGGTGAGGAATAAGGCGAAGAATGCGCGGTAGAAAGTGACACGGAAGCTGTCCCATCCAAACGGAAGATCCGGGAAGAGGGCGGCCTGCATTGCGATGGCACTGGCCACCATGAACGGCATTACCATTTTCAGAAACACCATGAAATCCACAGAAACCATCAGTTTGATCTTCTCTAGCATTGGACCCAGCTTGCGGCTGATTGGGAAAAAGAGGAAGACCATGCGGTAGTAAAAGAAGAGCAGAGCTGTCTTCCAAAAAATGCACAATGAGCACCATTCATGTCAGCCTTAATACAGCACGCATTTAATAATAATATTATGATTTGAGTTTTCTTACCAGTGCATAATAAAATCCTTGTGGAATACCGATCGATCGGCAGTCCCACATCGACTAGGCGGGAAAACATGAAGAACAAAAGAAAGTTTCCAATCAGAAACATCTCGGATAATCGAACTCTCAGCGATATCAGTCGACGGCGCGCATACTCAAAATAAGTCCTTGAAAATACATGAATATGTACATGAATATGTACATATGAATATGTACATGAATATGTACATGAATATGTACATGAATATGTCTGCTGACGAGCTTGCACTACTCAGTAGCTAGAGATTTGACTGTACCGGCACATGTATTCCAGTAAATTTACTGTTGTCCAAATCCACAGCGTCCAATCGAGCGTTTGGTTCCCGCAACCATGCATGAAGGTCACATAACTCAAGAGAAGCAAGTAACACCAGTAATTCACCTGAACAAGATGAGCAGGATATCACTTATCGAAATGTATCTGAAAGAAGACTTTTTGACTACCTGATACATCCAGAACTTTGTCACGGGAGCGTTCCATATGCAGAACATTTTTTGTGTAACGCTGACATCGCTGTTTATCGTTCCTGATAGTCTTTTTCTGGGATTACCGAATAATTTCCAGAAAATATACCGCAGTCCTCTGCTGTCACTCCAATCCGGCTCCTCGCGAGTCGAATCTCCTAAAAATACGGGATAATTCGATGACCTCAGAAGCCAAGGCGGTTGTTTCAAAAGTGTACTTGGGTTGTACTGTAGCGGAGTTTCCGATCCTTCCATAGCCCGTGTCCAACTGGGCATATGCACGGTACTGATGTGCGAGTAGTCCGTGAAACCGGACGCTCTGCTTACGAAATCCACAACATCTCCTCCCACTCTCACTTCATCCATCGGCACCGGCACGGGACATGCAATGGTAGACACTAAGTGGTTATGACGAGATAGGGTGAAGATTGTTAGTCTTCGGCGTTTCTCCTTTGCATCTCTGGCTTTGGCTTCCAAACGAGGAAAAGCGATCCATAAATACATGGGAAACACCAGTAAAGCAGACAGGATGATTTTAATGAAATCGGGTATACTGAAGGCGGACTGAGATTTGACGACGCGGATGCCACCATTGAAGACTTCGTTCAAATAACGTTGGCTGCATGGATGAGCGATGAAGTGCCTGTTTGAAGTCAGAAGAGCGACACAGTACAAATTTAAAGATCGTATTTGATACAACGGATATCATTCAAAGGGAAAAACCGCTGTGGACATTGCAGCACCACATAAAACTGAAACAGCAGCCAGGATAAAAACATTGTGCCTACCTACTTGTTGCCCACTCGGTAAGAAATTTCCATTGGAGTCATATGTTCAAAATCGATAAACGGCTCGGCTAGTATCTCGAAAGCTCGATTGGTGGTATCTTGATAACTAAGATGTAGAACGTCCACAGCCATGGTTCCGAACAATTTTCCGTTTTCTATGGCTTTTTTCTCCATTTCACTGGTTGGACAATAATGCGACAGATTGCTATACAACGAACTGATGAAAAGCGCCATGGGAATGGGCTGCTCGCAGAATTTCCACAGAACTTTAACAAGCTCGGACCGGTTCATCAAAACGCTCCATACAATAAGGGCGTTAATTGCCTGCAAAAGATCGCAGACTTATTGCCTTTAAGTAACTGACAACTTCTATTTAATTCACCGCCTGTAAATCAAGTCTTTTCTTGTCCGCCCAAAGAATCTAGGTAAATCCATTTACCTGTCGTTCAGCAGTCGGATAATCAATGATTAACTGCCCCTGTGATCCTTGAGCCAGATCGTTCACCTTAACGAAGTTCTTGATTCCGGTTAAGTATTCGATAATGGCATTCATTTTGATGTAAACAAATTTATCCCGCATTGGAGTAGCTGTCAGTAGATTTACCAATAATTCTATAAAAGTCTCCAGATGAGTCAAAAGACATCCCTTACCTGGGCTCTTTTCAAGAATACCTTCCCAAACAACAGTAATGAAAAATTCACGATCTTCTGCTCTGGTGAACAAGAGCTTTAGTTGACTGGCAGTAACGAACGAACTGACTGCAAAATTCTGCTCCAAGAACAAATCCACAAATTCTTCTCGATCCCGCAACAAAAGAGCTTGTTCAAAAATATCGGGATCTATCTAAGCAAACATTAACTGTACTGTACATATAGCGCAGTTTACAAACTGAACTCGTACCCTGAGATTGGCGATGGAAAAATCGCGCTGGAAGATCTCACTCCGCGCTAAATCCGGGCGATTCCACATTACGGTTAGCAATAAGTTTTTCCTTATGGCTTTTCGCTGGTTGATAGCTGTAATGAAAACGAGATTTAAATGTACCGAAGTTTAAGAGAATGCCCATAATCACGCTAGTTTTACCGTACTGTGGTTGACAAGCAAAGAGTGCTTTCAAGATGAACCAGTCGAGATCGGCAAGATCGGAATCAGTCAGTGCCAAGTCAAATATGGTGATATATTTCCGGTCATACTTGTGGGACACTTCCACACACTTGAGGATTTTCTCCATGTACGCTTTCCTTTCAGATTCGTTCTCTTTAAAATATCCCGGAAAATAGCGTGTCATTTTATTTTCGATTTCGGGCTTCAAATGGTTCATTTCAATATCGATGCCGCCTCTGTACAAATCAGAAGCGACGTACGGTAATTATGACAGTCTCTGGACTCTGGTTCAATTACCTCTCCATGATCTCTTCATAGGCAAATGCCAAAAGGTCAGCCATCAGTCCGGTGCCTTTGATAACCATCACTGGAATGTTGTCATTTAAGTAGTAAAGAACCTGGTCGATCTCGGCTGGTCCGCCTTGAATTAAGATGCAGATTAGCGGAATGCTGTACGTGACAGGGTCGTAGTACTCCATGACGGTGCTGGACTGCTCTTGGCCATCATCTTCCATTCTCACTGACAAGGTTTGGTTGATTAGTTAAACTGTTCTTTTCCGGAATACCGGTTACCGTGGACGGCACACACTTGTTGTAGCATTTTAAATGCGCAGTGTACCGTGCACAGGGTCTTAAACTTTAATCTCGAAAACTCTACTTACGTACTTGAATGCGTAGCCGCGGCTCGAGCATTATCTTTTCGCATGCTGACTTCCTTTTGTAGGGCTCTTTCCAGTTCTCCACGAAAGACCGCCGTGGTGGTGTATGACGTGTTGTTTACCAAAACGAAGACATTATGATTGGAATTCATTTCGTATTTTGTGGTGGCTCGCTCGGTTTCGGCGGCGTGTATCTCCACCCGGCCCGGTCCATGTCGGTATTGATCAGAATTATTAAGCAACGCGTCAGGCACAACACCGATTAAACGCGGATGGATAATGCGTTGATTGAATGCACTCAGTGACATGAGATCCCAGTTGCCGCGGACGGAACGACGATCTTGGTCTTCGCGCACTGCATCGCCTATCAGTTTGGCTAGACCATAATTCAGTCCATGGGTGAAAATCCAGGTCTGAGAAGTGTTTGTGAGCTACCGAAATTTACAGATACATACCAAGTCTTCTTAAGTGGCTGGACATTACGGTAATGCCTTCTGTGCTTGCTAGTTTGTACCACTACCTTGACGATGCCCTTTTGAAGCTTTGTGCCATGTTCCGGCTTCTTCCACGCTTTTGATTGATGAACTCCAGATATCATCGTAATCATGACATCGGGAATGCCCAAATCCCAGTTGGAAGTCATAAATTCAGCCAAGGTTGGCAGGGATACATCATAGTTAACGCGAATGTAACGCCGTTCCTAATGACGAAGTCGAGAATTTGGTATCTGGCCAACGCTTTTCAAGGCATGAAAATTTTAATTTTACTAACATGATTTGCTGCTGCAATACTTTTGTACCTCGGTTATAGCACAATCCAACGTTCTGCTGTCATTTGTGTTGAAATGCACGCGTCCACATAAGGATTCCATCACATGCTCTCAGCTCGGTAACCCAGTCCGTTTTCAAAAAATGTAGACACCAGAGTGCGCTTAGCAATCCTGAGCAATTCCGATTAAGACATTTCCCTGAAGAGATTTCTTAATCGCTCAACTTGATAATGGGCCCGATTAAAAAAGTTTGCGATTTTCGAAAATCGAAAATTTCGTAATCGGTAGTTGTGAAGCTTCTCTAGGAAGTGGCTTAAAATGGGCCAATAATAGCGCTCTGTGGGTCGAGTCGCTTTCGGTGACTCGGTAAAACTCTTGATAACTGATCGTGATCTTAATCGGATTCTTAATTGGTTCTGGTGCTCAGCGCACGGGCCCCAGAAACTATGCCGTGAATACCAATGGCTACTGCGTACGAAATGCATGTATGTATTAAAGTGCAAGCACGAGTAAACTCGATACAAGTACTTACATACTCCGAAAAATGAGCACGTAACCGATCTACACACCAGTAAAAATTTACAGAAAACTAGTAAATTTTATGTCCAGAGCAACACATGTCTGATAAAAAATATTAGCGTATCCTTGCAGGGACTGCGGTGCCTCTCCAGTTTCATGAGTGAACTCTTATTCTAATCCAATTTTGGGGCTTCCAAACGCAATAGGATCCCGGTAGAGTTGTCACTGGTTTAACAACTGGGCTTCTGTTTTTTATCTTGCTATGACCAGCTGTCAATCATGTGCTTGTTACCATCGTTACGTTCGAAAATACATAAGGTTCGTTTCCTAATTTTTGGGACTGTAATAGCAGACTATAACACAGATGTTTTGGACTGTAACACAGATTATACCTTCTAATATTTGGCCATTTTGGACCGTCTAAATTTTGCGTCTGTCGATGTTATTGTAGAAGTAACCATTACTAATAGACCCCGCGCAAACTGCGCGGAATAAATCAGCGGTGGAATACTTAAAAAAACTGTGAACTCATTACTGCAAAACTTCAGAATTAATATTGTTGCAAAAATATGAAGCGTAACGTAATTCAATTTCACCGGCAAATACAGTAATGACAAAAGGACAACTAATCCGAGCTTCGTTTATAGCTCACTGATTACTGACTACTCTCAGCTATCCATAATTTCACAATTTTCGTGTGTGCATTCAAATGTTTCCGATGCACAGACTGAAAAGAACCTTGGACTTTAAAAATGTGAAATTTTACTCCGAAAACGTTTTGTTTTTCAGCAGTTTTCTAAGAAATTCTTTTAGTTTTTACCTGAACAGCCACCAATCGAACATCGGTCGGATCTATCCTCAAAAATTATTTCTGCTCGTTCCATTCTGCGCATTTTAAATTTCATTTCACCGCTAATAACAGTCAACTGATTCGCAACCGCTATTGTCCTTGATTCCACTTTCTGATTACAGTACTTCCCAGTTAATAATCACAATGTCTTCAACCATAATTATTTTCAATGCGTAGTTGCTGTTGCTTTGATAGTTTATACGCAGCATTAAAATTATTTTAAAGTTTTATTGCAATTGTTGTGACATGCGATAGTTTATCCAAGGCCCAAATTAAACCGTTAAGGAAATCTCATTGTCTTTTATACTGTGTAGATATAATGCATAAGTGCATACCTAATTATTTCATAACCAAGCGTCACGTACAATGCTTTTCTAAAAAAATGTTGTATGCCAAAGATTTCGAAAAATTTTCTCCCAGAAAGGTTCAGATGGGATCCGGTAGGACTGGCCCAATCCGTATCAAAATTGGGTTTCGTCGCGGTCGCGTCGCATATACAGCGACAATAACGGCAATGTTAAAGTCAGCCTCAGATCGAAAACAGTGTATGTGGCAATCTTGCAGATCAATAAACACGGCGCGACGACAGCGACACGGTATTTAAGCGCGACAGTGTCGCTACAGCCGCGACCGTGCTAGTGCTATGCCCTGGCATGGCCCGAAACACGGCGCGACGGCAGCGACACGGTATATTAGCGCGACAGTGTCGCTGTCGTCGCGCCGTGTTTCTGGCTATGTTGGGGCATAGCACTAGCACGGTCGCGGCTGTAGCGGAACTGTCGCGCTAATATACCGTGTCGCTTTTCTCGCATCGTATTATTGGCGGCCACTTAGCAATTTCTTTTTAAGCAGTCGCGAAGTTTGGTCCGCAACGAGACAGTGACAACAGACGCGAAGTTTGGTACAGATTGAGCCACTTCTGGGATCCGGCAACAAAGACAATCACACCCGCCCGTGGGTTCACTAAATTCAAAACTGATCAAACCGCCTTGGCAGGCAGCTACTGTTTGGATGAGCGCGCCGCGTTCACGCGTACGGCTAAGTGCTACGAAACCGGCCGCTGCTGCTTTAAAAAAGCCGTGGATCTGCCGGTATCCTCCCATTTCGCCAACGGAACATTTCGCCAACCGTAGTTCTTTTTATTTTCTTAATTTATCTTAGACTTCTTAGGTTTTTAGGTTTCCTTAGACTTCAAGTTATCCTTATGTTTCTTATAGGCTTCTTAGGTTTTCTTTGGCATCTGTGATGTTCTTAGATTTCTTACCCGGGTAGGTTTTCTTAGGTTTTTTAGACTTTTTAGTTTTTCTTACTCTAGGTTTCTTTGAATTTTTAGGTTTCTTAGATTTCTTGCGCTTTTTAATTTCTCATGTTTCTTAGGTCATATCATCTTATTTTTTCGTGGTTTAATTTCGATTCGAAGTGATGCGAAATGTTACATAGCGAATTGTCCAGTTGCCGAAATGTCCAATTGGCGAAATGGATGGTAGCCGATCTGCCTTCTCCGGATCTCTCCTTGATTTTCCGACCAAAAACGCTGACCATTTCGCTGGCTGCTTCGCCGAGCACTCCGAGCGTTTCCACGGCAAAAGGATAAAACCAGTACTCGTACTGTTTGCCCAGACCCCGATAATTGTATCGTTTCCGGTTTTCTGCTTGTTGTGCCGCTGCGCGCGCAGCCTTTGCTGACCGTTCAAGGTACGATTGTGCTAACGTGTCCGCAAAGGTGGTGTCTCATACAAGCTGTTTTCCTTCTCGAATGGCACCAATGTCAATCCGTCTGGACGCTTTCCATTGTTTCTGGATAAACCTATGGATTCCAACTCGTAGGGGAACCTACTACTTAAACAGTTAAACTGCGAGGCCGCCTTCAAGTGCTCGCTACAAGTGCATAGTGCAACTGGCTTCCCCTCACTTGAAATAATGATGACAATTTTAATGACAGTACTTCTCATTCAGTACGCGCATGTAGCCGGCAGGAATGTTGACGAGTTGATGGTTGACGCTCAATGAAGGTTATCAACCTTTCTGCCAGAGGCCATCAACCTTTCTCTAACGGTCATTAAACCTTTCCGCCAGAGGTCATCAACCTTTCTCCTGAATGTTTACCTGCCTTTTGAAGTGTTGATCTGGAGCTTTTACCCAGATATGGACGAGAAAAAATGATTCTGTGAAGACAGTTGGCTGGCTAGCTAGTTGGCATAAATGGCACGCTCCTCGTCCAACACTACATTCCAAGTTAAATTTTATAAATCAAAAATTTAATCAAAAAATGAAAAAAAGTCGGCTAACATGCAGGCAGAGTGGTATACATACTAGTACGTGCATGCATAACTGCACCCACCTTTCTGCCGGAGCAGTGACGACATGCACTGACTCTCACAATGGACTCGAATGCATTCTATGGTTTTATGAGCGCAGGCAGTACTTTCGTACACCTCGCCTCTAATTGGCTGATCGGCATAGCCGATATTGTTCGCGGCTCTACTGAACACGCCTCTGGTACGTGCAGCGCACATGGCGCGCACTTTAGCACGGCAGTCAATGGGACTTGCCAGTGCTCATTTTCTAGCATTCTTCAGTTGCGTTTATAAAGTTCTCGCAATCGCGTCGTATCTCGCTTTCCATAGCGTAGCGCTATTTAGCATTGCTAGATCTGTTTGGCAGACAGAATTCCGTCAATTCTGTGCTGCGCGTGAACCTTCACTGGTCCACGCTTTCATGGTAGCAGAGCGTGGTTCGAAAGTATGCTGAGAATTGCGTTCTGCTACTTTCCGAGCAGGCTCTGCTACCATGAAAGGAGCTGTATTTCTCCAGGATAATCTCTGAAGTTTTCCCGTCCATCTGACGAGGAGCGGAGTAAGTCTCCCGCGAGAAATGGCTCGCGTACGGTCCAGTGGCGAAGGGTGTTTGGATCTCGACAGCAGATCAGACAACGGCGCATCTCTACTGCAGTAGAGTGCACTGTATCTGTTCTGACGCGGCCGGATTACGGCAGTAGCTTTGGCTGGAGGGGCACAAGCGCCGAAAAAGATCGCCGCAAGAGGCAGAAGCTTGATGGGGGGCACGAGTGGGCAAGCCACTTTTGGACTGCGGGTGTAGAGTTTTAGGTGCTACTCTACGGCAGTAGAGCGCACACACAATACGCGCTCTCCCAAAAGGGTGATCGAGCGCCCCTGCCGTTTGCCAACGTCAAGGCTCGGCAGAAGACCCGCAGCCAGCCAGTTCTTTGGTCGAGGCACCGTTGCGTCCTGCTGATACGAAGCAGAAGGGCTTAGCGGCTGGCCCAGGAGAAGTCAGCTTAATCGCTGGAGGATCGCTGGAGGACGCGGAAAAACGCGGAGTATCTCCATCCGGATTCTGGAATCGGAAATGTCAGAAATCCGTTATTAATTTTGCTATTGGTAGATAGGTAGAACTCCCATTTTTCATTGGTCGGTTCTGAGCTGAGCAGAAAAGTAGGCGGTACTTTTGCGCTCGGCCCACTAGCAAAAATTTCCGATTTCGGTCGTGACGTCACTCTGCCTTATAATTTGAAAAACAACTCTTCTAATTGGTCGGTTATCTGCACTGTGATTGGCGCAGTAGCGCAGCTAAAGTTAGCTAAGGAATCAGCCAATAAGAAACTGAGATTTTGACAGGAGGCGGAGTTTTTGCGCACGGCAAAAACTAAGAAAATTTTCTGAACCGACTAACGAGACTTCGACCTTTACTAAAAATTTTCGACAAAAATGATGAACTTTACCGAAGATGGCTAGTTGATGATTTGAGCACGTTTTAAGCGGTTTAATAAAATCATGAATAAAATCGAAAAATTTTTTGAAGTTATCGTTTTTGAGCAAAGTTGCATGCGACCTTTAAACAGGATAAAAGTCTGAAGAAAAAAGTGACCTCTAACGAAGTCGGAAAAAGCTTTAAAGCTGAAACAGCGGATAATTAGCGAAGTTTTGTTAAAGGATGTGACCTTTAAAAGGGATTTAGTCAAATTTCTTCAAGGAAAAAGTGACCTTTAGAAAAGACTTGAATCTTTTTGAGGCAGAGTGACGTTTAACAAAGTTGAGCTGATACAGAGGTGGTGACCTTTAGGACAGCGCTTGTTTCTGTTTACGTGTAAACGGGCTTACGTAGCTTAAACTAACATACGTGTCAGAAACATTATTAGCATCGTCCAAGTTATCCGATCATCAACGGAATCCAAAAGACATGGATAAAGATACAGACGGTAACGAGCCGGTCTCGTCGGGTAGTCAGAGAGAACGGTCTCAGGGGTTAGAAAACCCTTACGAAGTGAAACTGAAGCCGTACACACGGCCGGTGACCCATGAATGAGCAACTCGAGCTCAACTGGCCTTTGGGAGGAAGGACACCACAGGCTCAGGCGCCACATATCAAACGGCTCTGAGGGAAACCCAGATTGAGAGCTCGAGCGACGGAAACTAAGATGATTCCGGGCGACATGCCGGAATCAGCACGGTAGACCAGCCAAAGGTCACCGATGAAAGAATGGCTGCAGATGGAAAGAATGAAGATGGTCCGAAGGCCAAGACCGAAGGAATGGCACGGTCGGCCGAAAAGGTCAAGGAGGAAAATGAGGAACAGGAAGAGAAGGGAAATGACGAAGTCAGTCAAAAGGTCACCGAAGGGGGTGATGAGAACGCATTGTCAAAAGAAGGAAAGGTCTACACTGACGACCTTTAAGGAAAAACTGGAAGAGAATGGTACCAGCCCGGCGTCAAGCGAAGAAAAGTACTACATGGACGATGAAGACGAAGCGACGGTACAAATGTCTTTCCATACCGCAATGAGACAAGCTGACCTGACGGATGGAATGATCAAAATGACCTTTAAAGATAAGCTGGAAGAGACTATTGAAGGAACGGCGTCAGGAAGGGCTGACGGCCGGAGCCAAAGGTCACCATCACCCCAAACTTCCGAATCAAATGCAGTGACGCAACGGGTCAGAGAGCTAGAACGGATGCTCGACGAAAAAGAAGAGCAAGCATTTGCTCTGGTTCAGGAACAACGTAACAAAACTATTGAAATCGAAGCTAGATTGTTCGTGAGAGATCAAGAAAAGGTCACCCTCAAAGAGGAAGCGCAGCAGTGAAAGGTCGGATTCGAAGCTCAAAGAAAAGCTGCGGAAGAGTTGAAGAAAGTGGTCGACGATAAAGAAATGGAAGGAATGCTGACTGCAGAAGACCTCAATAACAGTTTTTCTGAGGAATCAGCAGAAAGGTCACGGGAGATAGCGGAACTGAAGAGTGAGCGTGACCTCTTGCAGTCAAAAGTCAAAAAATCTCAAAAGAAGCATGACGAATATTTGTCGAACGCGACAAAATTCACAGGGAAAGTTTCCAGCCTACAAGCGGATATGTCGAAATTGAAGGAGGAAAATAGTCGCGCGAGGAAAATATTAAGACGTTACAAACGGAACTGCAAGAGAGTAAGAAGAAGCAAAACGAAGCGGAAAGCCAGAGAGACCAGGCAGCACAGAGGCTTCTGGAACTGGCAAAAACCACGAAAACTGAAATCAAACGACTCAATAACGAAGTCGAAAGTCAAAAGAAAGAAGTTAAGAAGTGGTCAACCTCGGCACAACAGAGTGTGACGAACGGGTCACTGTGCTAGAGGCTCAGAATAGAGAAGGGCAATCGAAAATTGAGAATCAAAAAGAGGAAATCGCTAAATTAAGCAATGAACTGGTGGAAATGGCCACCTCAGTGATGGAAAAGGATGATAAAATTAATGAGCTGGAAGTCCAACTGAAGACAGTCGAAGAATAATAACAAGCGAGAGGAAGATCCATCATACACCGAGCAGATCGCATCACACGACTGGAAACGGAAGGTGAAATCCTCAGAGAGGCAAAGAAAGACCTCGACAAGACACTAGATCAAAGGGCAAACACAATTATCGACCAGATGAGAAGAGTCACCGAAGCAAATTCACAATATGAGAAGTTAAGAAAGGACCCAAACGATCTGATGAAAGAATACCGACAGATGGAATCACTGAACAAAACGCTTCAAAAAGAAATCAAAGCACAGTAAAGTTCAGCAAAAGCAAAAGAAGAAGAAACAGCTGAACAGTGCCTTAAGGAGCCGAAACGGATAGAGTCTCCGCCCCTAGGATATGGTGAGGTCCACTCGACTGAAGGTAGCTTTCATTTCAGAGCTCCCTTAAAGACGGGGACCGGCCGAAGTGACGGCCAGGATGAAGAAAAGGTTAAAACCGAAAAGATCACCGACGACACTGAGTTGGCGAAGGGGCACTCAGGACCGATCGGCGGGATTAACCCTCGACCACATGAAACAGTACCGAGTGAAACAATTGTCTATAAATCCGACCATCAGCCAGTTAATCGGGAAGACCCACGGGTTTGCCAAAACGAGCAGGAAAGGGTAGCTCGTGAAGAAGAAAGGCGAGAAAGGGAATACGGTGCTGAATATCACGCTGAAGCACAGCGATTACGCCGAGAAGAACGAAAGTTCAGAGGAATCATGAGGGCAATGTCTCGGAAATCTGCACTGACCGATTTTGACGGCAACCGAGACGCTTTACTTGGTTGGATCCGTCAGGTCGAGAAAACTCAAAAGACGTATGACCTTTCGGATGCAGCAATGATGCTGAAAGTCGCCAACGCAGTCAAAGGTGACGCGAAGGCGTGGTTTGACGCGGAAAGAGAAATTGACGATGAAGAAGAGGCGGAAGAACTAACCGTCGATGAATGGATGACGAAGTTCAAAGAACATTTTGGCGATCGCGACGAAGGAGCCAACGCCTTGAGGGAAGCTATGACAAGATAGTTCGAGGCCGGCAAAGAAACGCTTGATCAATTCTATCAGGCGATCATACGCTTCAAATCGAAGCGGATCATTACAGAGAAGCAGGCCATCGGATTCCTAATCCAAGGATGTAAGAACGATAGTGACCTTTATAAGGCACTTCGAGCGCTGAAATTTCATAACCCAATGGACATCGAAGAATTCGTCCCCACATGGTCAACTGGCGAAGAAAAGTAAAAGGTCACGAGAGGCAACCGGACTCAAGACGACTGCGTCATCATTCGATCCGGTCAGATCGAAGAAGTCGCGAATAGGCGACAAAACCAGTCGTGTTCGGCACAGATGCCAAGAAATATTTAGGAATTTCCGCCTTTAGGCACTCAAGAGGTGATCTTTGGCAACGAGCGAAATGAAGGTCAGATATCGTACGCGACGATCGCGGCGATACAAACAGCGGTCCAGGAAGCGACCAAGTTTGCGATCTCAGCCCTTCAAGCGACAGCTCAACAGGCGGCTAGGGTAGCGCAGAACTCCCAAAGGAATGTCCAAGGGAATGCCCTGAATGGAGGGTTTGGCGGTCAGAGAATGGCTCAGGGGAATCCGGGCTTTGCTGGCCAGGGATTTAATGGTGGCGGAGTAGGCCAAGGAAATTTTAGGCCGAACCGCGGACAAGGGAATCAATGACCACGATATGGGTCGCGAATGAAGCGCTATTCACCATGATTGATGTATGGGTGGTCAATATATGCGCTGACATGCCAGAACTGCATGTACGGCAATCACCACACGCAGGCGTGTCCGTTTGCGGTAACACCGTGGAACCAAAACCCTAACCGAGTTGTATACCAAGAATGGCTGATGCTGCGCAACAATCATGGTGGATGGCGCAACGGGATGGCAAATGGATATGTGCCACAGTCACGCCAAGGCGAACGGTATGCTGGTCAAGGGGGCCAGTGGAACAACGGAGGTCAAGGTGGCCAGGGTAATTTCGGCGGCCAAGGAAACTTCGGCGGTGGTCAAGGTGGCCAAGGAAACTTCGCCGGAGGCCAAGGTAACTTTGCTGGTCAAGGTGGCCAAGGCGGAGGAAACGGCGGATATGGCTCATCTACAGGAGGCTTCCGAGGAAGAGGAAGAGGCCGTGGCGGCAACCGCGGCAATAACGGCGGCGGCCAATGGAACAACGGTGGCCAATGGAACAACGGCGGTGGTCAAGGAGGCCAGTGGAATAACTGTGGTCAAGGTGGCCAATGGAACGGTGGTGGTCAAGGTGGCCAGAATTTTGCCGGTCAAGGTGGCCAGGGCAACTTCGCCGGTCAAGGTGGCCAGGGCGACTTCGGCGGTCAGCAAGGCGGCTTTGCCGGGGGAAACCGGAACGGTTTCGGTCAGCAAGGCGGAGGCTTTAACTTCGCCCCAGCGAATGGTGCCGGTCAGGCGCGAGGAGCGCCGGTTCAGGGAATGGTCCAGGGAAACGTACAAGGTCAGTAGGCGCCGGTGAGCCTGCTGGTCGTCCCAGGATTCAAGAAAGTAACTCGAAATCGAGCAAAGGGGCGCGCAAAGGTCAAGAAAAGGGTATAAAAAGATTGCCGCAAGGACGGAAGAATCTGACCGAAAGGTCACCGCAGAAAGCAACTGCGGGAAGTCAAGAAAGTAGCTTGACTCAGCCGGGGATGACCGAAAGGTCACCGCAGAAAGTAACTGCGGGAAACAGGGTTGAAGGAAGGGCCTCAACTCTGCATCCGGATCAGCAGAAAGTAACTGCATCGAATGGTCACGAAAGAACTTGACGCTGCAACAAGTGCAGCCGGGGCCGACCAAAAGGTAACCGCAGAAAGTAACTGCGGGGAACAGGGTTGACGGAAGGGCCTCAACTCTGCATCCGGGACAGCAGAAAGTAACTGCAAATCAAGAAAGTCACGAAAGTAACCTTGACGCTGCAAGGACAGCATACCGTCGAAAGAAAAAAAGCCGTCGAAAGACGTGCGTAATGAAAGGTCATAATATGAAGTTATTGCGCAAGTGATAAAAGGTCACGAGAACGCACAAGAGAAGGGGCAAATGTGCGAAGTGGCAAAGCTCACGGGCAACGAGATCGCTGCGAATGAGCAGACGAAAGCCTTACCGAAAACGGATTGAAAAGTTCTCAGACATGCGACCCAACGTACCGAAACGGATAGATCGTTGGAGCTCGAAAGGTCTGATAGAGAGCAAGCACCATGCACCGATTCCAGTCAAGTGCCGAATAAGAGTGTTGAAACTGGAAGATGGAAATTTAACGAAACGGATCGAAGCTTACACGCACGAAGTCAAAGTGGGAAATAAAATGTCATGGCGATGCTTGACACTGGCGCAGAGACGTCTTTGATCTGTCAACAGTTTTGTGAAAGGAACGGCCTTCACATCTTACCGCTTCCGCCGAGAAGGACGGTGATGATCAAAGGTATCAGCGGAACGTCAGGCTTTCAAGTCACGCATTGCTGCGTAGGACCGGTGACCTTAAGAAAGAAAACGAGTCAGCACTCGTTCTACGTCAGACCAGAGTCAGACGATGTTCAAGTCCTACTGGGATTCGACTCCCTTGCAAAGAAATTCGTCCTGATAGACGAGGACGACGAGGAAGAAAGAGAAACCGAAGCTGAAGATGATGAGCCGAAATCCTATGCAAAAGTTAATGCAGGAAAGGTCACCGAACTTCAACCAAGAAATGATTCGGGGCAAACGGTTATCCCAGTACCAGAGGCACAGGGATCGAAGATTATAAGCAAAATGAGAATGGTGAAGAGCTAATCCCAGTATCAGAGGCACAGGGATTAGAAAATGCTAAAAGAAGCAAAAGGTCACCGAAGTCGAAAGGGACACAAAGGTCACCAACGATGGAACAAATTAGGATTATGCCAGCAGAAGCGCTGATTGCAAAGAAACAGTCGCTAGTGTCAGGAATGGAGTGGTCCAGGCTAATCCCAGTACCAGAGGCACTGGGCACGAGAATGGTAGGGCCCAGAAAAGAGCCGGGACTGATGACTAGCGACGAAAGAGCACTATTCTCGGAAATACGAGATCAAGCCAGAAAGCAACTGGACACAAGGAAAACAGAGCATGGTTCTCAGCATACCTTCGAACCACGCACTGCTGACGAAACATGCAACAAAGCAAGGGAGCGGGCGAAAGGTCGAAACACGCGCTCGCGCAACGATGCAGCAAAGCGTAGTTGTCGTCGTACTTCCGAACCACGCTCTGCAGATAAAGATATCGAAGTTATCGAAGTACCTTCAGGAGATAGTGTAATCGAAATTGAATGGGATGACGAATGGACAGATACCGACTCAGTTGAAAAAAAATAACTGCGTTATCACCCGTCCAAAACCAAAAGAACGGATGCCAGAAGGGGATAATCGAGTCGTCTGCCGTAAACCAAGAGAATGGACGGCGGAGGAGAGAGCAACCTCTTGTCATCATGACTGGCACGACAGCGATGACCTTTCGACAGCGAGACCTCAAGAAAAGAGTGCAAAGTGCATGCAAGAAATGACGCAAGATGACCTTTCGGAATGGCCGAAATGCAATGAAGCAATCGCACGTCAATCATGAGAAAACTTCCCATGCCAGACTTGCCAAAAGCAAGTCACTTCTGGCAATGCTATCGAGAATGGTTATCAGTAGTAAAGAACTACATCATCTTCAGAGAAAAGTGGCTCCACCATTGGCAGCAAGAAGCTGATAACTTCATTCCCGAAAAGGCGGAGAAAAGCGACCCATGTTATACACAAACCCGATCACAAAGCTCGACAGAGAAAGGCGACGAGCATTTGAAGAGAACGAAATATGAGAAAAAGCTAGGATCGACTTATTCTATGAACTCAGAGTAAATTATCCATGGAAAGGTGAAGGAAGAACGTCGTTTTTCCAATTGGACTGGGCACACCGGTGTACGAGCTATTTGACCTTTACCAGGCCTGCCGCAAGAAAGGAAATTTAGGGCCATGGAATAGACAATGGGGAAAAATCCTTGAAGAGGTACCGATATTCACGGGAGATGTGCCATAGCCAAAGGTCACGAGAAAAAGACACGAACTTGGATTATTCGGTTATCCAAGAAAGAAATAGGTGACCTTTGCACCAGATCCAGATGGAGTGGAGTATCCCGGACGAGGCGGAGATACTTGGTGCATGTACTAAACCATACCGAGCGACGACTAGATCACAGAAGAGCTGAAGCCTAATTGCGTCTTTATCAGTGATAAGAGACCTAAAGGTCACGGCACAAGCGCTGAAAAAGAAAAAAACAAAGAGAACGGTACAAGTGCCGAAGAAATTAAAGAAACAGAACTAGAAGTCAGCACAAGCGCTGTTCACGAAAACGGCACAGGCGCCAAAGAAGAGCAAACTACGCACACAGCGTATGAGCTGGCTCAGATGATCAAGGAACTGAACCAGGCGATTCGGGATAAGGAAAACGGAATCCCAGTAACAGAAGCAAAAAGGGCTCAGATGTCTCCGAAAGTGAAGAAAGCAGCGTCGTTAGTAGCATCACTGCAAAGGTCACTCGGTAATGGTGAGGAAGGGCCACCACCCGAGAAGAACGAAAGATCACTAAACGCGATGCTGGAAGAAAAAGAGCCAGAAAGGTCAGTTCCAAAAATTGATGAAAGGTCACCCGAAACTGGTGAGGAAGGGCCGCCAGTTGAAAAATCAGAAAGGTCACGGAATACCGCTCAAGCAAATGATTGCTTGGAAGACGAAGAAAGGGATAGGTCACGAGCAAGGATTCGCGCAACACGAACAAATCCAAGGACAGCTGCACGAAACGGACGAAAGTCCAAGGAAAAGAACAAACCTCTGCCCGAAAAACGAAAAGCGAAAAAACTTAGCGCTTGTAAGGACGAAGGCGATGACGTTTCAACAGAAATTGAAGACGAAGGCGTCGATGAGCGACCGATCGAGAAAAAGAGCAAAGGTCAAGCGCTCGAAGCAAATAATAGCAGCGAATCCGACTCGGAATTCTCGAGTAAGAGCGACAACTCGACCACTTCTGAAGATTCTGGAGTGAGTGACCTTTCAGATCAAGAAGATCTGCGTGACCTTGACGAAGACGTTGAAAAGAACGAAGAACAAGAGAAAGAGATCATTGTTCGAGGTGTTAAAGTGCAGAGAGCAAGAATCCCAGAACGAGCAAGCAAAGTCTACAGCGACCAGCGAGTCAAGTTAAGACCAAACTTGGCGACGCGCGTAAAGGTCAAAATGGGAGGTCATGTACCGCGTGCACAGAAGCTGATGTACACAGTGACGCCACAGAAAGATAATGAAGTCCGACCGAGAACGGGAGTAACGGACCATAACGGCACTCGATTTGAAATCGTCATAGAAAACCGGAGCAAAAGCCGAAAGACCGTAAGGAAGGGCCAATTTCTCGGTTACGTAGAACATTACGAACACCTTGAGAATGTAAAGGTCAACTCGGCTGGCGTTGTGAGAAACGTTTTCGAAGATCCGGAAGTGGATGCAAAGACGAAAAAAGAATTGAATGACATCATTGAAAGATTAAAGTTAGAATCAGACCTAACTGAAGAACAAAAGAATGACGTGCGAAATGCATTTTGGGAGTTTTGGAAAGTTCTCCCCACGTCAAAGAAACCGTACGGCGAAGTCAAAGGGGTAACGCACACTATTGACACAGCCGATGCAAAACCGGTTAAATGCAATCCGGCAAGAACAAGCTGGAAAGTTCGTGAATTCATCACGAGCACATCGAAGAGATGTTGCAGCAAGATGTCATCGAGCCGTCCGACGCGGAATGGAGTTTCCCGGTCGTATTGGCCGCAAAGAAAAATGGCGACGGAACTATAGGGACAAGATTCTGTGTCCATTACATTCTTCTGAAAAAGTTGACGAAAAAGAATATCTATCCACTGCCGAACCCGGATGAACTGCTTGACGCATGCGCGGGAAACAAATACTACGGCAAGATGGAATTACAAAGTGGCTTCTGGCAGATCCCAATGGATCCAGCCTCGAAAGACAAGACGACTTTCGTCAGGCAGGACGGAATGTTCCGTTTCAAAAGAATGCCTTTTGGAGTCTGTAATTGACCTGCGACCTTTCAACTTTGCATGGATAAAGTCTTGTCGAACGCAAAGCGAATGGGTTGCGTTTTCGGCTACAATGATGACGTGATCTTTGCAGGGAAGACCTGGGAGATCTTCATGCAGAACTTAAGGAACGTCCTTCAAAGTTTGGTTGACGCAGGCTTCACAATTAAGCCGACGAAATGCTAATTCGGCATGCGCGAAATGGGATTCCTGGGGCACATCCTCAGTGAGAATGGTATCAGAATGGATCCCGAAAAGCTCATGGCAGTAAACGGCCAAAAGAAACCGACAACTGAACGGCAATTGAGGTCATTCCTAGGATTAGCGAATTATTACAGAAAGTTCATCCTTTGGATACGCGCAAAATACGGCGCATCTTTACGAATTGCTGAGACACGAGAAGAACATCAAAAGAGATTGGTCAGCGATCCATGATCAAGAATTCAATGACCTTAAGAAAGCGTTGTGTAAGGATCCAGTACTGAAGAAGTTCGATCCAACAAAGCCGACAGTGATCGACTGCGACGCATCGAAGGAAGGGCTAGGTGCGATCTTGTCCCAAGATGGACATCCCATTGCATAAGCAAATCGCGTTTTGAATGGAGGAGAAAAGAATTACGGAGTAACGGAATGGGAAAGCTTGGCGGTAGTCTTCGCCGTTAGAAAGTTTAAGTCGTATATCGACTACTCCGAATTCACGGTGAGAACTGACCATAAAACCTTGACGAATATTCTAAGTTCGGAGTCAAACAAGTCATGCATGAATCCCCGACTGACAAGATGGGCATTGGCACTTCAAGGTCACCGCTTCAAGATTGAATGCAAGCCGGGTAAATACTGCGACACCGCAGATGCCCTTTCAAGAGCGCCAATAGAAGGTCCCACTTGCAATGAAGAACAGCATGACGAAATCCCAGACTTCGAAGATTACAAGAACGAACTTACAGAGAAGAACCTCCGGTTGAAGTTTGGCAACTCTTCGTGCAACTGGCCGAAGAAAGGGAAGAAGGGCTAAAAGCCGACATGAGAAGGGTTATGTCGGAAGAAAAAGAATTTGGAGACATGCGCTCGAGCATAAACGAGGCAGAGCGTAGTCGTCGTCTTACTTTCAAACCCCGCTCTGCTACCAGGATGAAGGTCAACAGAGTGAGAAAAGAAGCTTCGGAACGAAAAGACGGAGAGGTCATGAAAGATGGTCAGAAAAGAGTAGACCAGAATGACCGTCGCGAAGCAGAAATCCTCTCTGAATACATTCCGGAAGAGTGTCTCATGAGATTGCTGAGATTCCCAAAAAAAATTGAGAAAGGTCACAAACCTCTCCCGAGATGCAAGGTAATCACAGACTGGAACGAACTCAGCACCGCGGTAGTCCGCATCGTGAATCGCCAGGGTGACGAAGAAGAAGATGATGATACGAACTTGCAATTGCGGATCAAGCAGCTAAAAGATGCGCACCTGGCAATGATCATCGATGAGTTTGAGCACCTGCAAGATGAAGACAAAAGGTCAAAGTTTGAGACGCATTACCAGTTATGGAATGGCATACTGTATCGCGTCAAAGACCAGAAAGGAAGACTTGAAAGGACATATGTTGTACCGCTGCAAATGAGAAGGGCTATCATCCATGCACCGCATAATGAAAAAGCAGCAGGTCACCTTGGCTTCGAAAAGACGCTAACCGCGATCCGGCTCAGATAATACTGGGACCGTATGAGCACGGATGTCAAGAATTACATCCTTGCATGCCGAGGATGTCAGTTTATAAAGACGCCAAGAAAATGTCCACGTGGAAAGATCCAAGAAATCTAAGTCGGACATCCATTCTTCAGAGTCTATGCAGACCTGAAAGGACCATTACTTCCAACGAAGAAACGAGGATATAAATACATCGCGGTCTTCATCGACCAGCTGACGAAGTACGTCATAGCGGAGCCAATGAAAACAGCTACCGCAAAGGAATTCGCAAAAGTCTTTGTGAAGCATATAATTCTGGTACACGGAGCGCCACATATTCTCCACACGGATCGCGGAAGGCATTTCACCGCAGAAGTTTTGAAAAAGGTTACCAACGTGTTTAAAATCAAACCACGTTTGGAACAGCGTACCAACCTGAAGGCCAAGGACAAGTTGAAAGACAGATGCAGACTTTCAGCGATGGATGGTCGCAATACCTAAAAGCGGGAAATGAAAGGAAGTTCAACAAGTATCTTCCTTACGTCATATCGGCGATGTACCGCGCAGTACACGCAACGACGGGTACTCAGCATACTACATGCTTCACGGAAGAGAGATGACCATGCCAGAAGACGTAGTGACGAAGACAAACATTCCGGACGATTACGGTGCCCCAGACAAATGGGTAGAAACTAGAACTTGACCTTTTCAGAAGAAGTGGCGAAGTGCAACTTAGCCGAATCCGATTTTAGCCGAAAAGTTGGAAGATAAAAGTCATCAGACTTTATCCGGAAAAGCTGGCAACTAAAGGTCACCAGAAATTGCAGCGGGGGGAAGGTCACCCGAGCCCAAGCGAGAAGAAGCGCCTATTTTGGAAGACCGTGATGGAAAAAGAGTCAGCACTCATCCAGATGCGAAGGACTAAAAGGTCGTGGTGTTGATGAAGCAGAGAAAGGTCATCATACATCAGCAAGATGCAAAGTGTGGGAGGAAGGACCACCACACGAGAAAAAGCAATCAGAAGGAGAAGCAAATGAGCAGACCGTAGTTCTCAGATTACTTTCGAACCACACTCTGCAAGAAGAGTAGAATTAGCGAAGGGGCTAAAGCGCTTAGCGAATGGGCTAAGATGAGAAAGGTCACCAATACAGTTGAAATAGTTCAGTCAAAGAATGATGACAAAGGTCATCGTGAAAGAGCAGCGGAAAGTTTCAGCTCAGCGCTGAATAGCCTTGTTATTATAGGCGTAAAGACAGACGTTGAAAAATGAAATCAGTGACTTTAGCACGCACTTTAGCACGGCAGTCAATGGGACTTGCCAGTGCTCATTTTGTAGCATTCTTCAGTTGTGTTTATAAAGTTCTCGCAATCGCGTCGTTTCTCTCTTTCCATAGCGTAGGCGCTATTTAGCATTGCTAGATCTGTTTGGCAGACAGAATTCCGTCAATTCTGTGCTGCGCGTGAACCTTCATTGGGCCCACGCTTTCAGTTTCATTGTTATATCAATCGACACCGACGGGTTGACTAGGTAGATTGGTGGATACAGTCGTCCATCTTACTGGAAAGTAGATTGCCGCCAGTGCACTGAGACGGCTCACTGCACTCATTGTAATCCATTTAGCTTATCGTTTCTTTTCGCTCATTTATAAGTTAAATAATATTGGTTTACTTAAACCCTGGGCCTACATGTTGAATAAGCAAGCAAACTGCTTCACTGATACACCCTTGAATTAATCATCAGTGTGGTCATTGGATCCGAGAAACCATTTTTCATACTCACATAAACAAGCAGACAGTAGGGTTAACGTTGTTAGAGCCGCGAGCGTGTGCTCCAGGGATGTGGGTGTGGTTTCGTGGATACAGCTTACGCTGAATCGTCGATCGTGTCTGCCTTTGGCAGAGGCGTACAGCCAGTCTCCGTCGAGCAGTTGTCGTGTGCGCATATTTTGCCTCGGAAGAATCCTCGTCATCGATAGAGGGGAGTTAGCGTGCTGTTTTGTTCTTTTTTCTCTCATGATTGTCATCCCGATAGATTTTGTGTTGTCATGTGCAATTATTATTAAAATTGTGCCAATTTTATTCGTTTTTGGTGTGTGCTTTCCGCCACGTTCCTGCGTAGCGCAGGCACAGCTCCAACAACGTTTAAGAAATATAAATCATTCAGACAGCCGAGAACAGTCAGATTCACAATAAGACAATAAAATGAATACAATGGCGTCATGCTCATCAATGGATGTCGCCATCAGATTGGTGGATGACCTTTACAGAAAGGTTGATGACCTTTTAGAAAGGTTGATGACATTAAAAAGAAGGTTGACGAGTTTTTTGAGACAAGCCAGTCTCACATCTCAGCTCCGCCGTTGTGTTTTTTTCTGTTATCTTTGGTTTTGTGTTGTAATTCGACGGTACAATGCGCCTGCATTAGAGGCTTTGGGCAAAGGATGTCATAACCATCTCTTATCACTTAATGGTTGACCGCCAATAAGGTGGCAGTAAGAAAACGAAAAACGTCGGACGGCATTCAGGCAGAGTGGTAAACATATCTGGACAACTGCATCCACCTTTCTGTCGGAGCATTGATGGCGTGTATTGACTATCACACTGTGCCTGAATGCACTCAATGGTGTCATTGTTACGAGTAGATCAATCGACACCGACGGGTTGGCTCGGCCAAAGCCAGTAGACTAATCATAATGCAAGTCAAGAAGCAGGCATATCACGCGGTCACGAAGCCACGCCAGCTCCGCTGATTAGAATAGAGCTAAGACCAGCTTCCTTTGATAGTTTTTGAAATTTATTCTATGAGTAATGAGCAATACCCGCGTGCATGCGGGCTTTGTAGTGCACTGTGCACAGAATATTTCAGACGAGAGAAAGCATGGGGCTCTATGGGAGAAATCAGCGTTTCTTTTATTTTAAAGTTTTTCAGGAGAGATTGGACTTTCAGGTACAAAATAAAACAGAGATTTTTTTTCTCTACATCTAGATGCAGAATCTGTCAAGCAAAACTTTCTGAAATAGTTTCAGAAAGCATTAAACGAAATAGGCTTGTACTGCATTGTTGCACTGAACTGCCAAACGAGGGTGTTTGCAATGTGGTTCAACAGTTGGAATTTAGAGATTTTCGGTAAAACTCTTTTTGCATTGCTCAGCTTATATTTTCCTGGACAAGTTATATATTGAATTGTAGAGAATTAAATTCTCCACAGTTTGGTATGCAGCTAATGGCTGAAATAGCTCAAGAAAACGTAATATAAGCGTAAAAGACGTGCGCTCCTGTATGTGCCTATGTACAACTCTCTTCTGAAATTTCACCTGCGCAAGCGCTGTACAGGGAAATAGTGGGGTGGTCGTGCACACGGTTAAGGCTCATTCCTCGTGCAAGACAGGTGGAGGCGCTTGCTGTACGAGCTGTACAGAATAATGTGGCAAAACGGATGCAGCCTTTTAAAAAAATCACTCTAGAACAAGGAACTGAATATAGGAGATTCGGGAAACGTTCTGTTCTTTCCATTCACTCCGGTCATTTTATTTTTGAATCAGGTCATGCGCGTACAGATCGTAATGAATGGAATTTCGGCACAGATTCTTTTAAAAATTTGAGTGCAAAAAATTATGAGTCGGTCAAGGAACCGGATAGTCGACCACATTATGCTCTAGGTGGTCACCGTGGAAATCGTTTGACTATCTTCCACACATGAATTGTTATGAATTTTCAAACGAATTTTTCAGCCATTCCTCCGCAGACTGGTATGCTAAGTCAGCGGAGTAGGCTTAACTGATCTTATCTGCTTCCTGGCTTGTATTAGTCTACTGGCTTTGGCTCGGCAGATTGGTGGTTGAGTCGTCCCTCATTCTGCCCACTGCGGCAGATAGGTGGATGCAGTCCGGCAGAAAGGTAAGCGACTCATCCACCAATCTGCTGCATTTTGACGAGAAAAAGAATGCGATTTCATTGTACTCTGTGCATCCACCATCCACCAAACACCTTTTTGCCGGTCACATGTAAATACATTCCGAGGTAATGCTTATCGGAATTGGTCGGAATGCATGCGAGGTAGCATGCATTCCGAGGTACAGTGAAACTGCTCTACAACATACACCCTCCGTTCCAGGCTTTCTGAATGTTAAAGAGGGGTGTATGTTATACAGAAGCACTGCCCCCAGGGGCACTGCCCTCAGGGGCACAGCCCTCTCGGGGGTTACTTAACCAAAAAATTAACAAAATATCAGAGTATTGACATTATTCGGTCTGAATGTTGGTTTCGCTGCTCTTTTGTATGCTTGGAGTGGAGGATCCGGTACCAAACAGGTTAAAAACAGAAGCCGGAACTTTGTTTTAGAGACATCGAAATGGTTTTTTTCACCATCCTAGCCAACCGTATGTTACGCAGGGGTTGCATAAGCTGGTAATAACGTTACCGGTTCCATAAAAGGTGTATGTTAATAATGTTATAGCTGTAAAGGGGTGAATGTTATACAGAGAACTGCCCCTGTGTTGTAGTCTACCGGACGGTTTGGTTCCCAGCCTCATGCATGCAGTAAAGGGGTGAATGTTATAGGAAGGTGAATGTTAACAGGAGTTTCACTGTAGCATGCGTGTTTTTTTCCACCTTTAAATAGTTCCTAAAAATTGTATGTACTGGTCCAACTTCAAATCGCACCTACCTGGCGCTCAGCAGCGCACTGGATTGTTCTACCAGTTGTTACTAATGCCATGGGCCAGAACCGGCTCCGGAACTTTTTTTCCATAAGAACTTTGAGACACTAATCACTAATATTGAACAATCTGGGTGAACGGTGTGCACGAATTCTTACCGCTAACACGCTGAATGAAACAATAAATTACAACCTAGACATTATTTGTATGTCTAATCGTCATCAGGAATTCTGAGACAGACAAAAACGTGGTTGAGGTCAGAGGGGGGACAAAAAGCATGGTGTTCACTACAGAAATATGGATTGCTTTTGCCGGAACGGTGGATGACAGTTGTCGAACGGTTGATGACCATCAGCAAAAAGGTTGATGACCTTTTGAGAAAGGTTAATGACCCTGGCAGAAAGGTTGATGACCTTCATTGAACGTCAACCAACAACCCGTCAACCTTCCTGCCGGCTACACGCGCATTATTGTTATAATTTTTGAAGTTACTGTAATTAAGAATTAATATTATTTATTACAAGAAACCACGCAGTTTGTTCGGTTCATCACCTGAACGGCAAGAAATGTGATAGATTGCCTAAAGCAGTGCTAATCAAAATGGTAATGCAGAATGGTTATACATGGTATTAAGCTAAGCCACATGAGAGAAAGGGGATTTTCAATTAGCCGGCCTCCCGTGGAAGAATTAACGTTTCCAACTCGCAAACCTTGTATGGCAATGGCAGGAATTTCGCGTTCCATTTTGTAAGTGGACCATGCACAACTTTGAGTTTTGCCGGAGTTGGAAGGATACCGCAAGCACAGGTGTCCATCTGGCTGGAAGTACAACTCGCGTCCTGTAAAACATTCAAAACGAACGTTGGGAATAGTGATCATGGAAAAATTAATCCAAATGCCAATCTAGGCCAATCTTCGTTAACCGGTCTAATGTCATGTTCTACTCCGTAACTTTGCTGCTAAAACTAAAACGCAGCAGAATCCTTATAGTGCGTGAAGTGCTCAGCAACTGCTGACCTATTGTAGCTTTAATTTTGTGAAGCCCAGTTATCAAAAAGCTTGTTGCCACGTACGCCCTGGGGCTAACATGGGCTGGCTAAAGCCTGGTTTGTTACCACGGACTAATAATGTGTGCACTGTTAGGTGACAGTGGCAAAACATTTGCGTCACCACTACCGTATACACCGACATACTAGTCCCTCCGCCCTGCTGTATGGCTTTCTCCGTTTCTCAGAATTATTAATACTATCCAGATTTGAATTGATAAGAAGCGAGTGCATCGTTCAGCAGCCTTAAGCGAAAGCGATTTTGGCATTCGAAAAAGGTAGCACACTCAGACTGATAAAAATATACTTACCTGATGTAGATACAAAAGTGTTCCCTTGCTTTTCACCGGCAACACCACCAACTCATACCAAGGCACCTCTGATGTATAGACCCACAGCTCCATCTCCTTGCACCGTTAGATCTGAATCACAAAAATATCCAAGAACTATTCTTGAGTTCCATATGACCCTGTAGGTCTTGGTGTCGTAAAGTACTAAGTTCCCGGAGTTTTGAAGATGCAAGCAAAATTTGCCGGTTTCCGAACAGAACTTTTCGTCAGAGTAAAGGTGGCTGTCCACCTTCATGATTCCAACTACAAAGTAACAAAAAATACTTAACCAAGCTAATGTGCTTTGATAGACGAAATTTTAATGTGCACATTAAGGTACTTCGACTTCGTTTGGAAACCCAAGACTTATTATTTTAATGGTGTGTACGAGGCAGGAACATTCTGAGCGCGATTATGACAGGGCACTTTTAACTAAGTGTTGCAGCATTTCGTAAATCGTGGTCGCTGGTCAGAGGAAAGTGCCTGGCTTGAAAATATTCTGAAAAGCGGCAGGTCGGGTCGAGAATTCAACAGAAACTGGGTGGGCAAAAGTAAGGGCGAACATTTTGTTGCCCCCGGACGATTTGATAGGTTTACTAATAAAAACGTCGCTGAATATTTGAGGTCCATAAACGTTTTGGTTGCTTTCAGCCGGTAGTTCACTTAGCTTTTTAAGCTGCAGTCGTTGCTATCGGAATCGGTCCGTGGATCACAAGAAACAGCTTCGGCTTCGCCTCCGCGTTTCTTGTGATCCACGACCCGAATCAACGAATAGCTCGGTTACTCACTCCCGTGGCGTTTTGAGCTCTGGATAGTGGTGGTAGCTTGATCACTCCCTGATTACAATTAGCGATTTTGCTCACTAGACAGTAGTGGTAGCTTGGTAACTCACTCACTCAGTTATTGATTTTGCTCACTGGACAATGGTGATAGCTCTAGATCTTCACTGACTCAGTCAATCAGCGATTGTGCTCGCTGGTCAATGAAGGTATCTCGGTAATTCAATTACCTTAAACTAATATAAATGCTGCCCTTTGCTTTAGCAATTGTTTAGAAAGGTGGTCCTGCCAAAATCTAGCAGCCTGATGTCCGTATGGTGAAGACCTACCATTATATTACAAATTTGCCGATAACGAAAATCGATAGGTTACCTTGTGATTACTTAATTTCGTGGTTGGTGTGGTACAAAAATAAGTTCAATTTATTCTGTTTAATTTGCATATTTAATAATTTATGTTGCATATATTGTATCCAGGCAAAATTTTTCCAAGTTCCAGGGTCACCTTGAATTTTTGAAACTGGGTTTGGAACTGGATCGTTTGCGGCATCGTGCCGGCACGATTCTGACCGGACGTATTCAGAAACAAAAGTCATGTGATGCAGTTCTGGACCACGAGAGATCTCCAGATATATATATATATATATATATATATATATATATATATATATATATATATATATATATATATATATATATATATATATATATATATATATATATATATATATATATATATATATATATATATATATATATATATATATATATATATATATATATATATATATATATATATATATATATATATATATATATATATATATATATTATTATCGATGCAGTCGGGAAGTACATAATAATGCGACACATGCGTGGGGGGTTAGGTTTATTCAATAAAGCTAAACCATGGGCAGAAAGCTTCTACCAGTGGGGCTGAGGCTCTGACCAAAGTGAGCACAATATGCTAACAGAACACGGCGCAACCCAATAAGACGGGCCGAAAGGTCATCTCCCTTATCCTAAAACAGCATGTTTTACTAAAAACATAAAGCTAGCACAACAGCGCAAGGAAAATTCTGAAAAGACTAAAAACGCAGACATCCATCATCCACAATGGTCCGAAGACGGGAGGGTGGGAGGAAACAACTTTCCGGCGAGTAAAATGATGGCCAGACTGCAGTGGTGGTGCTTATATAGGCATCCGGGTAGAAGTGGATCCTGGTTGTTGAATGGCATCGAAACAATCGTAGGCAGCGACAGCCGGTTGGCCGCTGACATTCTCAAAATAATAAACAGATTCCAAAGGAATCTTCCACATCTATATCTATATATATATCTATATATATATATATCTATATATATCTAGATATATATATATATATATATATATATATATATATATATATATATATATATATATATATATATATATATATATATATATATATATATATATATATATATATATATATATATATATATATATATATATATCCCAATTTCTGAGTTTCCCATCCCCACTTCCCTTTCCAATTTTTCTCTCCCATTTGCCCATTTTTCGCCCATTTTTTATCAGCTGTTACCATTTCTGCTTTGAAACATACAGAAAGCCCATTCCCATTTCCGTTTTACTATTTTTGCAACTGCACACCAGAAACGTAAATAGAAATTGCGGTAGTTATTTTTCGCGCGAAGCGCGAAGCTGACAAATGTTTTTCTCTTACAAACTTCAGAAATTCCATTAAAAATATATTGTAATTAGAATATTCCTTTAAATTTTATTTTCGACAGACTGTTTCCGTCAATTAAAATATTCCGCAATTAGAAAATTTTATTTGTACGGCTTCCCATTTCCGCCCATTTGGCCTTTTCCTATTTTTGCCCATTTTGCAAATTTTCTTATCTTGCCCATTTTGCAATTTTTCCCATCCATTTCCATCAATAAATTAAAAATTCCCACCCATACCATTCATTCAAAATAAATGGGAAAAGGAGAAAAAATGGGACCCTTCTCCATTCGAAAATGGAAATGGGGCAACTCTGAATTAACCGCACAGTACGCACATTATACATAGAACAAAAAAGGGTTTTCGGTTTGCAAAACAGTGTGAAAAATTGCCAATAGAAAGTAAGTGGTGCCTGACTGCCTGTGTTCACCACACTTCGTAGAGTAATAATGACTTCCCATTCCCATGACAGTACGTACTGCGCCAGCCCATGGTTGGGTTGTTACGTTCACATTGAGCATCCCGGTTCGGGAGCCAGCTACGTAACCCGCAGCTAGTTGTGAAATGATTTCTCTTTTCTCTGATTGGTTGCCGCAGTGTTCCGTAGACTTTGCATATTAATGTTTTCCAAATTTTCTTCGGAAACTTATTTGTTTTTCCAAATTAAATGCATATGTATTGTACAATTCTACCAAATAAGGGCTATTAAACGATATATAGAGAGCAGGGATTGGCCCAGTACATCGTTCGTAGTAGGAGCGCAAACACACTGGCCACACCCCCTCTTAATCTTTTATTATTAAGGATATAATTTGTTATATAAATATAAAAAGTTTTACTAACCGGGCCACTCCGAGGAGCCTCTTTTTGGGGCGCATTTCAGCACGCTTAGTTTAACAGCGTCTAGTCCTGTTTACACTTCGCGAATGCTTGAATTCAAGCTTAATAAATTCAAAGTCAGGTTTTCAGTCATGTATTTCTTCATCAACTGGATCTCCTTCGCCAGTTCCGAAGACTGGTTAGAAGATGAGTTTCCTTCTCCAGCACTGGCTGAAGACGTGTTGGAAATCTGCTGTCGAGCTGATTCGGGTGCTTTCAGGACGTTGTTATTGTCATTTGAAGCCGGATTCGGTGCTGCTCGGACACTGGAAACTATTTAAAACACAAAACCATATAGTCCTATACCAGGAAAGTAAGGAAACCAGAACCACATTACCACACGCAATCATAATTATTGAAGAAGAATAAGATATACATACATCTTTTATTTTTTTTAGATTTACATCTCATTTATATTAATGGCCGTTTAACGGATCCATTGTTTTGCCTGGTCTGCTTCGTCTCCTGAGAGAATTAGGCTCTAAGATGTTCCTCGCTGCTCGGGAATTTTGGTGTTTGGTTGAAATCCTTTTTACAGTTAGGCCTGTGAATTTCTCCCTCCCGCCATTTCCCCTTGCATTGTTTTGTTTGTCATTGTATTAATTTTGTTGCAATCTTCCAGTTCTGGCAACATCATGCTTACGGATGCTTATTATTTTGCTGACAGAATTAGTTGGGGAAAGCGGCAATTGCAAAGCACCAGGTGCGAGAAGTTGCAGGGCAGCCCAGCTGGATGAACTGTTATTATAGCATATGCAATTACGGACAAGGCCAATTGTGAAATTGTTAGCTTTCTACATGTACAGTAACCGAAACGATCTTTAAAATTCTGTGATTCCAGCGTTGATGTTACAATGTGTACATACCCTTTTGAGTTACAACATCCTACAAATTCTTCTTTCTGTTAAAGACTGGCATTACGTACTGTTAAGTTATACCACAGCCCAATGAAATAGCCCTCCGACTCTCCAAATGTGCCATTGCATGCTCCATTTGATGATGGCCGGCAATCTTAATGAGTAAGTAAACAAAGTGCCCCGATTTTGCAACAGCGATTTGTGCACCTATGGACAAACTGTGCGCAGCGTCAAGCGGCTGCCCACGGGCGCCAAAGCACAGCTCGCTTAAAAAAAACTTTCAGCCGCAGCCGGGCTTTGTCCACTGCCAGTGGTTTGTTTGTCCATAGGTGCACAAATCGCTGTTGCAGAATCGGGGCACTTTGTTTGCTTACTCATTAAGATTGCCGGCCATTATTTTCGGCCTGCTCATTGAGCACGACGGCTACTACGTAGTAGTATTATTGGGCTGTGGTAGTACTTTGTGACTTACTAATTGTGGCATGATGACAGTACAGCGACACAATCACAATTATTGCTAAAATCCAGGTTGTCATCTCGAAAATTATGTTAAGTGGTACGCAGATTGTTGAAATATCACAAAACTTTAAGTTGTTGGACAGTTAGAGGAATTTAGTGCAACAAAGAACATTAACTTTCAAAAATCAAGATGTGTTTAAATCTATTTATATTTCATGGGCGTTGTCAGAAAACAAATATATTACAGTATTTATACTACACTATTATTAGTCTATTTACTGTTACTAGAGGGAATTGACCAATTCACATATAGGACGGACTAGCATTCTATTGGTCGATTGTCATGTGGTTCGTTTGCCTAATATCGTCCAGCAGGTGTAGATTGTACAGACTGCTGCAGCATTTCTTGTGTATTTCACTGCTTTTCACTTATTTCTTTTTGATCTTATAAAGTGGTGTGAAATTTTTTAATTGGCTAAAGGCCCTGATACAGTAGCTGGATATTTTTTTGAAATTGCGTCCTCCACTCGGGACCACTCCTCCTCATATACAGACCGTTTGTAGAGAAACGCAGGCCTGATTCTTCCACAGCTGAGTCTCGTCGCGCAATGCAGCTTGCATATGGTGGATTTGTTTTCCTGAATGCAGCAGATTGCGAAACGCAGGATGCCAGTTTAGCTGTGTTATCGTTATCTCTGAGATATAAGCCCCAAGATAAATCTAGAAAAATGTACGCGTATGTGGACGATTTTCTATGAACAGTAGGGAAGCAAGGGAGCGAACACCTGCATACAGTGGAATGAGTGGATTTTTCTCTGGCCTTGCACATCGCCACACTGCACACCGAACCATACACATAACGGCTTTTCTAAGAGCAAATAAAAAATGGAAGCAAGTTTTGCGTCTGTTGTTTTATTGTAACGATGTTTTTTTAATTCGTAAATATATTTGCGGTCAGCTAACTAACTTGAAGCAATTTGAAAGACTGATCGTAGTTTTTTTGTTGACAGATGTGTGGGAGGTGGTGTGCTCACCATCAGCACGATCCGTGTTGGTAGACGACTTAAATCTTCGTCTCGCGACTGGTCTGGTTGACGGACTCAACCACTCATATTTTTAGTTGCAGCGCAATAGAATAATAAACAGCGCAAAAAAAACTATTTTGTTATGAAATAATATTCAGAATCGTACGATTTTCAGCTAGCCAGTTAGTGTCGAAAGCAATGCTGCCACTGCATACTACACAGCGATCTACACCTGCTGCAAATGCGAGACGGAAACCACGTGACCAGCTTACCACGTGGTTTAATATGTGAATTGGTCAATTAGCTGCAGCTTTTATTTATTGTTACTAGGCCAACAGATATGTTTTGTATCGGTATATCTTTGCACACGTGATAAAAGCTGCATCGGTAAATACCGTACAAGAATTACAATCGGTTATAGCCCTATTACAAATTGAGGGTGCATAGGTACAAGTCAATAACCGCAATGTTGTCACTTCAAACGGTTGCCGTTTAACTACAATTTTCGCATTGACGGTTTAATTTATTAAGGCTAACATTCAGGCCTTTGGACTTCGCCTTTTGGCCTTCCCAAACAACAGTAATAAAAAAAGCACGACTCTGGTAAAAAAAGCTTCAGTTGACTGGCAGTAACAGTTAGAACGAACCGACTGCAAAATTCTGCTCGTAGAACAAATCCACAAATTCTTCTCGATCCCGCAGCAAAAGAGCTTGTTGAAAAAATGTCGGGATCTATCTAAGCAAACATTAACTGCGAATATAGCGCAGTTTAGAAACTGAACTCGTACCCTGAGATTGGCGATGAAAATCGCGCTGGAAGATAGGTATCACTGTCGCGCCAAATCCGGGCGATTCGATTCGGTATCTGGTCAGTGGTCAGCTCTTTCCAAAAGACAATAAAGTTCGAGCTTTACTAAATTTCTTACTGTTTCAATACTTTCGTACAACGGTTTAACACAGTCCAATATTCTGCGGTCATTCGTGTTAAAATGCACGAGTCCGTACAGGGATTGCCGTTTTCAAACACGATATCGAGAAATTATAGTATTGCATAGTCCTTAGAAGGATCTTAGTCATATATCATAAAAGATAGATCTTGTTTTAAATGTGTTCTGTCATGGGTTTTTTAAAATAATAATGCAGTGCAGCACTACTAATAATCAGCGCTATCTCGAGAAAGTTGTAAGTCAAGCTGTAAATGTGATGCTCCTTCCCTTTCAAACCGCCCCGTCCATGTCAAACCATCGCTAGTTACAAGTCGTCCAAATCCATAAAATCTGAAATAAGCTTACACTCAAACACGATGTATATGCTGGACTGACGTACATATTCTTTTCGATAAGAATTATTACACTGATTTCCAACGGTAAAGAGTGTAAACTATGTAGTTAAAGCTTGTAGGTGTCAGCGTGTTATTAGTACTTATTACCGTAGATTTCGAGGAGAAAGACAAGAAATACGAGTGGCCGGCTGTTCGTGTTGAAATTCAGTCTTTGTTAAGTTTATGTTCTGCAGGATTTGTCCTGGTATTCTTTTAATAGATCATTAATTTTGCACGCACTTGTCGTCAGAGAATCCACCTTGATATAAGCCGCTGCGACCACGGTATATCCCGAATCCTTCAAAGTTTCCTTTACGCATTATCCCCTTGAACTTCGTAGTTTCGGGTACTAAATTTATGAAACAATCTGCCCCAGACAATTTGTCTTCGTTCCAAGTGCCCTCAAAAACCGATTGATCCTTGCATGTATATCTTCCCCACCCGTTTCGTTCGGGACCAAATAAGCCTTGCCCGTCAAACTGCCCTTCTGCAGTGTATACGTCAAGTAAACAAATAAATATGCCAAGTAAATAATTTACAAAGTGCGTTTAGTCGTCGCCATGATTATATTCCTACCGTTTGCATTAATTCGCCGGGACCTCTGGTTTTCCTTTAATACATTAAGGGGAACCTTGCTTCCCCCCGTACAGCCGCTGAGTCGCTTAGACGAAACAGTTTAATGACTGTTAAAGTTGACTACAGTTCAAGACCAGATTCTGGCCAACTCGGCATATCCGCTTGCGCAGCTGGACGAGAGAGCGGAGAGATTTCGGCAGACGTTTTATCGCAGCGCATGTGGTGTTAACTGTGTCAACTTTAAGCTGTTTCGTGTAAGCGACTACCCGGCAGCTGTGGAGAAACCAAGGTTTACCTTAACTGTATGAAGGGAAAACTGGAAGTCCCCAACGGATTACTGCATCTCACATACCATATTCATCTCCATTCGCAAATTCAAATTCCTCATAACTTCCTGCGTTTGCTTCCGCTGATTGTGCTGGTAGTGAGTGACTTTTAGCTTTCGGTATATAACTGGATGTACCGTTCAGGTATTCGTAGTCCAGTTCTAACCCAGGCTAATTAAATTTGACAATCTATTTAAGTATTATTATTACGACTATTGTTATGTCATATTTCATCCAATCATGTCAAAATTAATTACATATACTCAGTCTTACGCTGAGCAACTTTGTTCGAATATTTGGACCAGACAGCAACGTATCACGTAGTTCAACCCGAGAACTTTGAATGTACTCATTTCGAACTTCAGTTTCGCTGATATTAGTGCCGGATTTTAAATAAGGATTCCAGGCTGCAGTCACCCGTTTCATTTTTGTGCCAGACTAATCCATGATAAGAGATACGTAGTTTGGGCAAACCCTCTAGTTGCTTTTGTGACACTGGTAATTGAGCTGACCGGAATGCAAGTTTAAATACAGAACTGTAACATAAACTGAAAATTGTCGTAAATTAGCAAAATGTTTGATTTCCAGTAGTTCCAGTTTTCAGGAAGATCCAACTGCAGTGCATGGTGAATAATGAATAAAAAAACCGATTGATATGTAGATAAGGTCATAGCACCATTTAATCTTGGTTACTCATCAGCGAACGTCAATACCACCGAACTTGCACTTTCATTTTCTGCCTAAATTTTTTTCTGATACTGCAGAAAATAGCAACGTAAGAATTGCATTGTAAGTGTCTTACTACATGTAGATCAAATTCAAGCCATCAGGCTGAATAGACGCAGCACAGCGCTAGAAAAAAACAAGCTCCACCTCGCCAGGAACGCTCAGGAATCCTGAAGTGGTGTTTTAAAGAGAACTGAAACGCGTGAATTCTACAACCTTACCCAAAGTGAAACAAAGCTGCTAACTGCGAACCAATTCCCCGTACGTTTCATAGATACATCGACCTCCGAAAGCTGCTAATGACGAAATTTGGGGTTTGAACCGGTAAGTGACATCCAGCATCGTTTTCAGAAGTTTTTTTTCTGGTTTTAATGATCTAGAATCATGCAGTGTTACTGAATAGCTTATACTCATGCGATTTGCATTCTGCATACATGGTTTGCACAATGATGCCATGTATCCAAAAGGCCGTGATACTTCGGAGAATTTTAAGGGTTTTGAATTAGCTTGCGTCATTGAAGTAGACCAATTTCTCAACTTGGAAGTTGAATTCAGCTGAACACCACCAAGTAGCTGTAAGGATTATTGGGCCAAATGACTTTCCATGCTGGGAAATTGGAAACCGGTTGATGATAGTGGCTTATTGATCATCTTTTGGAATGCTTCTTGCAGAGCGCCTCGATTATGCTCATATTTCTATCGCATAAGTTCAACTTATTCACTGGCAGCGATTAATATTAATATAAGCACAGCCGCTGGTAGAGCTGATGTGCAAGCGGTTGTGAATGAAAATTATGATGCTGTATATAGATGGTGGATTTACTTTTCGGAATCAGAATAAAAATTACGTAATACAGTGCACGTAAGTGCCAAAGTTATTGAAGTATTATTGTCTACCTAATTGCAAAGGGCAACGTGCAGGCTGACTTTTTTACGTGATACAGTTTTTATTAAACAAAATTAGTGGTCGACGAAAGTGGAAAACACAACAAACCTGCGGCAAAATATTTCAAATTTTGAAGAAAATGCGAAAAATGGCTAACAATGAAGGTATTTTACTGATCAGAGGTTGAAGTAAAAAAGCTACATTTGATAAGATTCCACCGTTGCTAAAGTTAAATCTCTAAACTATGGAACGAAATAGGCCGTATATATCACCTTTCCTAATTTATTGAAAGGTCGTGTAGAATATTGCAGTTTACATGTCATTATTAAAGTTCCTCAACTGAATAACATTTCCTTTCACAAGGTTACAGTCCTGTGTCTGCTTTTATTCTTACCTGCTGGATATCGTTGCCCCTCTTTCTAAGATGTTCAATTTCTTCCGTTTGGTATTTAAATATTTCACTGATCCTTTGGTCGCGCGCTTTACGAACATCTTGATCCAAAGGAGACTGTGCGTTCATGATCAGCTTTGCTATTTCATATTTTACCGCTTCCTCGTTCAGTAAATTCCGGGTGCGTTCGTGGATTAGACATGCCACACCAGCTTTTCTCGATGCTTCCATTAAAGTCAAGATGTACGCTTTCTCTATTTCGGCGTGTTGTTTTTGTGCCTGAATTTTGCAAGAAGCTGAGAAGATAGACCATTACAATTGGATGTCACAACAAAAGAAATACCTTCTGCAGTTTAACAATTTCCACTTCCTTTCTCCATTGCAATCGACGCACAACTTCTTCTAGATTTTTAGAATGTTTCCATGTCTTTTTATGCTCCGTACGGACCGATACGGCGTCGTTAAGCTCGGTTTCACAGTGTTTTATTTCAACGTCATTTGTCTGAATTGGAGCGACAAATCGTGCGTATTCTTCCAATGTTTTGAAAACATCCTTTTCCACTTGATCCAGCTTGGCTCGGCGGTTATTAAGAGTGTTCTTTAACTGAATTATCACACCAGAATTCGCCAGGTTAACGCCTTGAAAATATTTTCTCATTTCACTAATGGCGCGTTCCTGACTTTGCAACATGTTGGAAAAGGTGGAAAGACGTTGCCGGTCGGAGTGGTCGTAATGCCGCTTGATCGCAGCTTCGGCACCGGACTGGGTGTCCGTGAAGAAATTCTCGAATGCATCGGCTTGCGCTTGTAAATTGTTCAGGAAATCTTCTTTGGCCGACTGAACATTCTGCATTCCTTGCTGTCAAGGGTACAACACCTTATGTACAGTATCGTTTTTACAAAGTATTAACAGAAATAGAGGCTTGAACCAGCGCATTTTTTTAAGATATTCCTACAAGCTTAACATCTTCTCCCAGTCGCTGCAGCAGATGAACGGTGTACTGCGTTGCTTCCTCCTGATTGTTCAGTACTCCCACGTACCTCTTTTCTTGCTGGTAGAGTTTCTCCTGGTTGGTTAGATAACGAGCTAGGTGGTTTGTCCGGCTTTCGAAGGCTTTACTATGGAACTCGCTAACCGCGTGCTTGGTTTTCTGTTTGTACACCTAATTAAGGGCCAAAGAAAACCGATGCCATGCAGAGTCAGTCAGAGTCTGACTGTCAGACAATCTCCGCAACTAGAATATAGAAACTATGTATATACAGTAGGAATACTTCTGTAACTTTACCATTGTGGTATTTCGCATCTTAGACTGCAGTTCATCGGTTTCGCTGATTAACGCTTCGCACTGCTGCTGCATTCTCTCGGCTTTGGCTTGTACAAGATTCAACTGGTCCTGAAGAAAGAGTTTCTCTTGTGCTGCCATTCCTGCTGCCATGGCCATCTTCTGCTTATGCTTGTGGATACGGATGGCCATCTTTTGAAGCTACTAAAATTCCAGGTCACTGCTTTACCGCTCTGAAGTCTCTTCAGCCAAATACAGGTTTTGTAAGCCAAATTATAGGAGTCAAATTACGAGTATAAGTACTTTGTACCTCAGTCATTGGCAGCGTATTGAGCCGTACAGAATCTGTAATCTTCCCTTTCCCTTTGGTCTCCCACTCTAACCCTGGAGGGGGCAGCTTCGTGTCGGGATGATAAACCTCTTCATGAGCCGCCACAATGAATTCCTCCACCAACACCACATCTGGAGCAGTGTCATCGATCGCGTCAAAACCATCATGTTCTCCGACAAATGGCTGATTTTGAACGATTGCTCTAAACAATGCCAATTTCTCCTGCTCGCTACGTCGAATATCATTTTGGAAAGGATGCAAAATTTCCTCGGGAGGCAAAATAGGAAATACTGGCAGTTTTCCCTTCTTCTTAGCCTTGCCTCCTTTCCCCATCCTGTAGCACTAAAAATTGATATACATACAGTCAGCGAACGTTCGTAACTCAGAACTGGTGAAATCGCCATTGTTATTGAATATGTCCATTGACCATTGACACTTAGCAACAGCAAAATATGCCGCTGAATTAAAAAAAAAGTAGAAAAATATTTGCTTTTCACGTATTAAGCAATCCGAACTTAATGTTGATTACTGTGCTGGGCAACGGCGGACTTGAGGAAGAAATATTTCAGCGCCGAATGTTGAAATTTTATTAGCAGCTGTGTTGTACCAACGTTACCATCCCTCACTCTCCGGGTTTTGCCTTCGTAACTGCAGTTTCTTTTCTGAAAAAAACGTGCTGCTAAAGATAAGGAATACAGAAATTTAATAGCAAAGATGTTGGTACGACAGTATTCCTACCTGTGGTAATGGGTCAAAACTGGTACACCGGGATATCTGTCGTCTACCTGCTCGAAACCTGACCCATTGATGATCTCTTGAACACCGGCCCGATAGCGGCTTTTGCGTTTGGATGGAACTGATGCCGTATTCTTTGACCAAACATCAAAACTGTCTTTTTCATCAGAATCTACACTGATTGCTGTTCCTGTGACAGTTGTTCCAGACGTTCGGGTTGTAGCTGGTGAATGAGGGCGCGAAGGGATGCCAAAACTTCCTTCGCTACTTCGCCCTTTGTACCTCTTTCTTAAGCAGCACATCAAGCAAAAGAGAATCAATATCCCCTAAACAAAAAAAAACTACTCTGAAATGGGATTTAAAACTCCGACTGAAAAGAATCAACGGTCTTATTCCTAAAATATCCAAGTTGTCGTACCGTCATTTTGGCATATGGAAACTTTGACCAAACATTTCGGCGTAGCCGCATGTAGTCATTTCGGCATACGGACACTGCGGCATACATACAATAATTTCTTGATACTAAAAGAATCCAACAAGATCTACAAAATTTAAACAATCCAAAACCAAAAAAACTTAGAACCGCCTTAAGAAATTCAACAAAATCTAGAAGCATAAGAGGAGAAGAACAGTGCTTAAAAACACGGTGCGATAAAACGCGCACAGGCGATTTCATGCTTTGCAGAATTGCGGCATGCCGAAATGTCTGGATGGCGAAATGTCTATATGCCGAAATGTCGTTTTGCCGAAATGTCTCTATGCCGAAATGTATGTGAAGCATGCCATTATAGTCGTGCCGTGCCATGGCATTTTACTGGATTGCAGTGCACCCACCAAAACGGATCGGGTAACGTCAAAGAGCGGAACAGCTAACCGTAGTAATCCGAGAACTTATAACAAAAAAAACTCACCAGTATGCCAGCGCATATTGCCAGAAGTCTTGAAACGCTCCAAACTGTAATACATTGTACTAAATCTTTATGTCCTTACAAAACTGTCTATAATCGTACGGTCAACCTTAAATACGAATCGGACCTTATGTTCGTGATAATTCTACCGTAATTATAAATTACGTGGGTCTTAAGTCTTATTAAGTGATAATTCTACCCTGATTTATAAATTAATTGCCGGAAAGTGACACGGTACTGTACATGTACAAAATAAGTGTTCATACACAAAACTCTCACTTTCGCGCACTCCCAACGCTTTTCGTAACAGTTTTATTGCATTCCTTAGCCAAAACATTTGTATACATTGGTGCGAAAACCGTTCGTACCACAATATACGATTGGGGAGTTACGGCTTTGAGGAAACTTTAAAAACTTTAAACGCATTTAGGTGTACCAACGTCTCATTATGGACAGATCTTAATTTTGCACAAAACGGCATATAAGCATGAAAATTGTTTCTACACGAAAGCGGGTTTCTATCATGTTTTTCGAATTTTAAAATGGTAAATTTTAAAAGTTTTAGAATTTATTTTAAAATTGAAAAATTGCCAGAATTCCAGTTAGCTTTCCTAGTTTCTTATTTGGTTCAGGTTTTATGTCTATTTTAATGAGCCTAATAAAAATTTGCCCGATAAAGGGAATGCCTCTTCGTCGAAACTGTTTAGGAGAGCGCGAACCCCATGCCCTGCACGAACCTGGCATCATGTACCGGCGAACTTACACTGCGATAAACATAATAATGTTATCTCTCACAGAATTTGACTGTTTGTTTAGTACATACAGCTTGATACTGGGTCGACTCCGCGAAGGCAGCAAGCGTTCGGCCAGCAAGCGTCGGCTTCGATGAGCACCAGTGTAGTATCTAACCAAGTTCCGTCCAGCCAAACCTTTCCGCCTGTTGCATCGCCAATTTTTGATGAAGTTAAGTAACCTTTGTGGCTTTGTCCATCCCTGTTGTATTCGATGGCATAGCATTTACATAGAAGCGTATTGGCGATAGCTGAACTGCTGTCTGAGTTGTTGAATTCTCGATGGACAGCGCATATTGAATTGGGCTTTCCGGGAGTTCCGATTACCCGAAGGCGGAAATCTATGATGGTTTTCGAAGAATGTACATAGTTAAATTTAATCAGCTCACTTTTGTTTCTTTCACATTAAGCGACTTATGATTGTGTACCTCGCCTTCCCGCGGTGAAAATCTGAATGGTATTCGGATCGAAAACGCTGCTTAGAAAATAAGATGGAACCCCAGCGGCTAAAGCCGCCTCGCGCGATGCACTTGGGTCGTTGGCTGCTAAGGTTCGTATTGCTAACAGAAAAATCAGCCATATCCGCAGGAAGCAACCCGAAAACGGCTCTAAAATGGTACCGTATGTGGCAAATCGCAAAATCAACAAAGATTTGCGACATGTGGGCATTCTCAGATGTCCAAAACTTCTGTACGAGCCACATTTTCAATCAAAGCGTGATCTGACACTCTGTTGCGTAATAAGTAAGAAATGAGCAAGATTGGTCGGCCGGAATCAAGAGGTCTAAGGGCAAGTCAGTATTTCTTTTATCCAAAAAAATTTAGAAATTCATGTTTCAAGCGATTTCTAGTTCAACTTAAGATCTGTCCAGATTCGATAGGGCATTCGTTGTTGTGCCATGCCGCTGCATAGCGCTCTTGAGCCGGAAACGATTGAATTCTATATACTGAAGGACATATATCAGGAAAAGATAAAAACAAACTGCAGTTTATGGTGCGGAAATGAGCCTTTCTTTCATCATGATATTGTTCGGTACCTACAAGATTTAAATGGCAAGAAGTACTTATTTTCTGAGAAATCGTACGCAAAGCACTATCACAACACTGCAGGCACAATCGTGTCCGACCATTTCGGCAGAGGGACATTTCAGCACAGGATATTATTTACATTTACTGTACGCGACGTTGATACGGTTGTTGTTGTTGTTGCATAAACATACAGCGTTGATACGGTATGATTACTTCAATTGGTTTCTTAGCAATATGGTCGTGCAGTGACAGATGCCTGTCTAAATCCGTCTGGTTCCGAAGTAAAGCACACAAAAAATTACGTGACAAAATAATTTCGTGAGCCGCATTCAATTTTAGCATACTGATTTTCCACAGTTAGATTGCCTTTAAAAGCTTATTCTTTCAAAAACCAGTGGAATACGTGTCTAATGTCAAACAACCTCATGATATACAAACTCCATGCCCGAAATGAGTTTTATGAAATGCAGAAATGATTCAGCCGCACAAGTTATTGAAACTACTGGACGTTCTGACTAAAATATACTTACCACATTTTGATTAATCTGGGAACGTTACCGAAGACATGAGCAGTAGAGAAGAATGCGGCAAAGCTTTTTCCTGCTTCCGGAATGAAAGGCATTTGCCGGGGCTTTGTTCCAAAAGCGACTGGGCGACTATCACGCTTGAACTACTAAATTATAGCCAAGCGTCCATGTGTTGGTCGTAACACACTGCACGCTATATAAGAATCGACCACCAGCACGGAATCCGTTGGACACTGCTTGTAGCATCACTTGCATCAGTTGCATGTGATCAAATAATGGAAAACTGCAACTAAAGTAGACGTTAATCAGCATCCTGGGGTCATGGTACCCGTTCGAACTTTGCAACCACGCGACACATTATGCCGGGTCGTTATCATAGCCATCGTCACTGCATTCTCCTTGACTACTTTCTCCTATATTTTGTTTGGGAACATCGACGGTCGGGTCGGCTGTCCTACTTGGCTCATTTTTATGACAAATTATAGCAAACCAATGTGCAGTGTCAGCGGGTATTATGATTCCAAAACGCAGCACGCCCGCCGTTTGCTGATCTTCTACGATATGGAGCAACGCCTAAACGGCTCCAGTGCGCGACCGTTGTGCGGTGCACAGCCGGCCACGCTGATTGGTCGGCGCAACATTTCGCTGGTGGTACGGTCAGATCAAAATATTTTAGCGGACAACCCTCTTGTGCAGAACGGAGGAGCGTATCGGCCCAGCAGATGCGAGCCACGGCACAGTTTTCGCTTGGCGGTGATTGTTGCGTTTCGGGACCGCCAGCAGCATCTGCGTAAGTTATGTTTGGTGGTTGTGTTGGTAGCAGAAATTTTCGCTTGAATTATTTCAACATGAGTAATACTAGTTGCATTGCGACTTCAAAAATTTTAAAATGTGAAATGCCGAAATGTGACACGCCTTCAGACATGCTTGAAGAAGAACGATTTCCCCTCCCCCTCAAACACGGAATCTTTGTGTGACAAACAAATGTTTGTCACAGAGTTTTCGATTTCTCACATACTTTTTTGGACGTGAATGGCACTCATTGAGTTATGGTTTCAACACACACTTGCGTCAAACATTGCTGGACACTCACTTCAAACGTGATTTACGTGTGTCAAGATCAAGTCTGCGGGTACCGCGACGGTAGCACGTCAGTTTACTGACCTACGTTACCTGGAAGTGCAACATCCGGTCGATAGTTGTGGTGAGCGAAATTCCAAAACGTATAAACGCATTCACATGAAACCATTAATGATAATAGTGAATTTATTGTGTTTCGTGCGAAAGTGCAGCGGACAGTGAACGGAAATTTAAAAAAATGGAAGGCAATGTGGAAAGGTCACAGTAGTGAACAACTTGACATTACGTGCAACAACTTGACATTACGTCTTCGCTGAATGAGCCGGGAACAGCTGTGGCGGTTACGCCATAAGCAGTCGTTGGTATGGGGTAGAGAGGGAGACAATGAAGTTCCAGCTGGGACGAAGACTGCGTGTGTTGCCTGAAACAAAATCAAACGACACGGCAAACACGAGATTTGTGTGTTTGTCCCTCCCCTCGGAGACGAGCGTACTGTGACGTTTGCTCGAATTTGAATATTCAAGGATGATGCTGACGCTATTTGTCTTGCTATCTACATGTATCTGTGAAACTTCTTGTTTCTGTATTACCAGCCTACCTTGAAGGCTTCATACGACTTTTTACGATTGTGATACCTCGAAAAGTTGCTGCCAGTTTTTGTGACAGCTAACCTTGAACGCTTGACTACAGCCTCATGCAGGTGTTATTCCTGATTCTTGTATACGTTAAGTCGGCTGAACAAACATAAAACAATAACACTTCGTGCGAAGCGCGATGTTGACTAAGGAATTCGCTTCAAAACCTAAAAGTAGTTGTAGAAAATTACTGAAACGTTTTATTCGATAGACCCTTCTACGCTTGTTTTAACGGATATCAGGTTTTTTATTCTGGCAAATTTGGTTAAACTTCAAAATGCTCTAAACACATAAGTACGTAACTACATTTTTTATAATGCACGTTTACCGACATTGATATGATCTGTGTATTGATAATAATTTACTATTTTATTTGGCCAAGCTGTTTTATAAATAGTTTTACTGTACTGTATTGTTTGTGCTGAGGGAAAGCAGCCTGTAGAGCGGGACGAAACAACAACACACAGATTGTAACGTTTGTGTTACGCATCCCGCGTCATGAAAATTACGTACTCGCAGTGTGAGTGTCAAATCGTGGCAGTTCTTAATTTTACTTCGAAATCTACAAGCAGCATGGCTCACTCAAAAATGCCTGTGATATCGGCCGCCTTCTTCTTACTTAATTGACCTGATACGCGAATTATCATGAATGTATGTAACGCTAGAAAAAATTATGCTATGGCCCTGGCAGTTGGGCACTTCTGTCGAGTGCTGATGTGGCAGTATCTTTATAGAAATCCTCTTGAACAATCTTCATCCATTCCTGCAGCGTCAGCAGTTAGAGTATACCATATTCGTCGTGGAACAGGCTGGAAATGCAACGTTTAATAGAGGTACGATAGGCGATTTTTTTCATTGAGAACCCTGATCAGCAACAAATCTGCATATTTTTAATTCAGTGTAATAGTCGCCCGGAGCGCAGCGAAATTTATTTTTATCTGAAACCAAAAATTGTCTGTCTGTTACGGAAGTGAGCGGATAACATGATTATCACTTAATGGATTACTCGCAAGCATGTGTATTTACGACGATTCATGTCGACGCAAACATGCATTATCGCATGCATGCATTATCGACTTTCATATCTTCATAATATTATCGACCTGTCATCATATTATCTTCATATTTTTGCTAAAAACGGTTTTCGCGCCAATGAAAACAAAACAGTTGAATTCACAATGTCATAAGATAACGGAAAAAAGTGGTTTTGGGCGTCACAAAGTGTGTAAAAACGCGTTCTCGTACACGAATTTTATGTGAGCCTTGTGAGGTACCGGGATAACTGCCATAAAACAGCGATGATAAGTAAGCATCATTGATCGATGGTTTTAATAGTGAGTCGTGATAGAAATTTTTAAGCATAAGTAAAGAGAATTAGTTGGTGGTTGCAACTACTTCGATTAACCTTTAGGCCGAAGATGAAAAAGTACAACTTGTAAAAAAAGTACAAGTACAAAGAAGATAAAAAAGTACAATTACTGTACTCGTATTAATTTTAGAAGATAGATGACTTCTCTCCACAGCGTTCCTGAAACACTTGGGTCATGGCCCACGGGGGAAGCTAGCTATACTCTTAGTGAAAGAAATCGGCAGAGGACTTCAGCTGCACACGGTTGAACCACGCTTCTATGAATTTCTCCGCCAACGGTTGTCAGCGGGGTAACGCCGATCAGTACTCGGAACAGTGGATGGACCGGCAGCTTTGAATGAAATTTTGGAAATTTTGGTGTTGTGATTTTCTGTTTCTTTTCAGTCTGCAATGTGTACGCGTTTATGAAATAAAAATCTGACCTTTAGGTAATTCTACTTATACCGCTTGCTGAAGACCAGATTATAAACCAGTTTCACGTTCCTTTGTCGTAATCCCAAAAACTGCAGGTAGAGATCATTACAAGGGATCGTTAAGTAACAGACAGTAATTAAAAATTAAGACTTGAAACGATACGCTTCGGCAGCAGACTTTCAGAGCCTGCACGCCAACTAATTTTGTGCCGTGTATATTAAGTCGCTTCCTTTAAATAAGAGCTGCGCTCCGGTCTGCCAGTTGCACAATTGCAGTCTGCTGATTCCTACCTAGTCAGTAACATGGTCTCCAAATTTCAATGGGGAAAAGTGCAGTACAATAGTTATTCCACAGAGTACAAAGAGTTTTATGTTTACAATGGACTCAGTTATAATAACGGCAGTAAAAAATTACCCATTTTCTACATCGTGAAATCGTAAATAAATTTGTCATATTTATATTCATAAAACTGATTCATATGTAAATAAATTGTCTTTCGATTTTCGAAGGTAAATTGTTTAACGTGGGGTTCCGCGAGGCCGAAAAATTCTTCGCGTATTCTTGTTTGGTTTTCCACGATGTCGACCTCTTACCCGAGAACGACGGCAACTCTTATTCCTGTCCGCAAGAGCCAACTCTGCTTTGCAGCGCTATAGAGAAATTCAAATACCTGCCACTGCCTGATCATCATTTAGGCGGTGTGGTGTCCTTTAGCAGTCAGCATTTTCGTCAAGTCAATGGTTTTCCTAATCTCTACTGGGGCTGGGGTAAGTTTGTGTTATGATAGCTTTCTCAGTACAAACACCATTAGCGAGAACAAGTAAAATCATGCGAAGTGGCTATTTTGCCAGTCTTTGTGTCAAAATAAGCTCGTTGATTATTTGCCGCACACTGCCCTTCTTTTTCTTGCTGGCGGCCGATTGCTTTCGCCGTTTGCATTTCACCCGAAGTTTTCGGCCGGCATCCACTTTGGCGGCCGTTCGTTTCGGCCACGTTATTAATTTTATTATTATTTCGGCCAGCATTTTCTTCGGCTACCGTACAATGCGGCTGTAGATCTATCGGAATTAAACTTGCCCAACTAACCCCAGAAACTTAAGGAAGCCTAACGAAATCTAGGAGAATCTAAGGAAACCTTAGCAAGCTGGAAAAAACCTAGGATACAGTACTCGTAACTTAAGAATAAGAAACATAAGAAATTCACCTAACATATTCTTACCGCGGCAAAAAAAAATGGATGACCAGCCGACAAACCCACAGTCTGCGCCTCTGCGGCAGCTACTCTGTAAATGGCCGCAGATGCTGCCGCAACATAGCAAAAGGCTGTTCTGCCACAAAAGTTGCGGCAAACTAGCCACTCCGTTTTCGGCTCGTTATGGGCAGCCGATCATAACATACTCTGTAGATCGATTTTCTTTATAACCACTTACGATCCCGCCTGCAAATTTCTCTGATACGGTGTACTGGAGCATTTAGTCTGAGAAAGGATTATTCTTGAATGATATTATTGAAAGGACTGTATTATATTATTTATTCTGTGCTTTAATTTTGTGTGAATATTACGAGCTGTATAATTTAGCGGCAGGTGTTGTAATTTCTTTTGCGAAGAGAGATGATTGAGAACATATATAAATGGTCTCATTATTGGTTTCAGGTCGCAGTGTGAAATCCTGGTTAACTGAACATGAAACCAAAATAAAAAATTAAGCTAAGAAATTAACAGATTAAATGCGTCATTTGGAAAGCTATTTAGGTGGGGAAGATGATGATCTGAGCCAGCGGGTGCGCGCGCGTATCGGCAAGCTTCGAAGAGCACCGCTGGATGTCGGCCAGTACACAATGATTAAGCACGCAAGAGATACCGGGAATCCGATAAATCCGCAGCGATTTACTATGGTAGGAACCGCCGCGAAGCGTTTCGCCACGGATGGCCTGTCCAGTCTATCATATACCGTCATTAAGTTGCAGCTGAAGCCATTGTACACCTGGATTCTGGTTGACATTGGTCAGCCCATTTAACATTATTGTGAAGAGCTTTTGTGCCAAAGCGGAACATGCGCAAGAATTGAATGACCACCCTTTTCATAGAAGCGTTGTGCCTGCTTCTATCAGCAACATGGACTTGCCGACTGCTTCAATCAAGCTAGTGTCTGTACGCTTGAAACTGTTTCACAGGCAGTTTTGATGCATTTTCCCAAGGCAGTTTTAGCGCAGCCAGGAATGTGAAGTTGCTTGTTTGTATGCGACAATCTGGTATATCTTGCACGAGTAGGATGTAGACTAACAATAAAAAAAGGCTTTCGCTTCGGGAAGGCCTAGAAACGCAGAATATAAATTTGAACAGTATTTCACAGCAAAATGCAATCAAGGACAACCTACAGAAAACACTTAGTTCACTTCAAATCCGTCCAGTATAATTATGGAATCCAGACAGAAGATAAAACGGTCGACGCGGGTATACGTTTCTTTATTCTTAGTGGTATTACTGGTGGTCGTTGATCTATGCTTGACGTCTTCCCAGTCTTCAAGCATGGGTCGGCAAAGTTACCTTTGCCTCCCCTTTGCTTTTGCTTTCTCACTTTGCCTTTTTCAGCTTCACCTTTACCTTTGCCGCCGTCAATACCTTACCTTCTCATTTTACCTTCCCAAAAGAATAACCTTTGCCGTCGATTATCACCGTTGCGTAACACATCACCGTCAAACACTTTATTATTTTCGGAATTTATCGTCCGTATCCACCTTTGTGAAATTATTGCTCAAATTGTTAATACAAACACCAAACGATAACATCGCCCTTAATCTAAATTTGATAACTGTGGTGATCAGGACACGTACGAACCAGGTCACTTTAATGGTTGCATCGTGTTGGAGAGAGGGACTAGGAACTGCAATACTGAACCTGCATTAAAACGTTTACGTTGCACAGAGATGCTACGATAATAAATGAGCGTCAAGAGCATAAATTTGTCTGATGCCACGAAGAGCGTCACGGTCCACTTTTTTAATTCCACAAATCAAATACCATTACCCAGTGGTCTTGGAGATCGCGCTTGTGCAATGATGTGGTGGTTAGCAACCACCGCTAGTATAAATGAAAAAAGTCGGCATCCTGAATATGGTCCTGCAACAGGACATAGTGCCCTCCCTGCCGGTGTTTGTAAAAATGGTCCAAAGCGTTACTAACACTTCAGATGCTGTAATCATAGACCACAGGCTACTCTAGCGTACATTCAGGATATTACATAGAATTCAGAAGCTAAGACCATTTATAGCTGGTACCGTGTGAAAGCGGTGATTCTCCAGAGGCTTCCTGGGAGCGTCAATTCTCGCACAGGATCCGAAAATCCTAAATCTTCTATAGGCACTTATTACGCCAAAATGCCGCAATTCGGTACAGTATATCATCACTTAGAAGTGTTTGACGGTGATGTGTCACGTTACGGTGATAATCGACGGCAAAGGTTATTTAAAACGGCTTTTGGGAAGGTAAAATGAGACGGTAAGGTTTTGACGGCGGCAAAGGTAAAGGTAAAGTTAAAAAAGGCAAAGTGAAAAGGCAAAGTCAAAGGGGAGGCAAAGGTAATCTTGACCCCCTTAAGCATCGACGTAACTCAAACATCCATGCCACCGCCCGTTAGGGTGTCATTTTCACTGAACCAACGGCAGGGTCAGACGTATTGTATTCAGTTTAACCCAGATGTTATTCACCTGCAAATTTTTTAGGCGTACCAGTGGCAGTGATACGCAGAAAAGTGTTCGTACTTGGTGATTTGTACCGGCATAATATAAGTTCGCACCGCGTATACGTACCACTACCAACCTGACCGCAGTCAGCAGAGAAGGAACACTGAAGATTTGTGTTGCCCTGACCCCTGTTGCATACTTCCGTAGACAACAGTATACAAACACACAGGATTTCACTACACACACTATCACAACAGAAATACCAACACAGTAACTTCCGCCTAGGTACACAGTGGCACTAAACACTATTGCTTTCCCTAAACGAAGGTCACTCACAGCATAAACACCAACAGGATTAACATGACTTTATGACAGGATTCACTTTAATCTTACGGATGTTCACTCGAACCAAGTCACACCGTAACTCTCGCAAAAGTTGAACACAACTGCAACTCGCCGATGCTAGCCTACGATGAAACGCAGCTTCAGATCGGAGGCTGCCGATAAGAACACGGTTGGAATACGTCATCGCTAATGCAACAGGGTACACGCGACTCACGTACATACGCACCGTAAACTCGACAACACAATACCAATAATGTAAGTACCGGGTAGCTGAAAAAATTGGCGGTCTCATGACTCTCATGTAAACTGTCGCACTGGATCCGTCCAATGTTCGATTGCCATAATCTTAATTTCGTTCGAAAGAGCAATGTTTACCGCATATAAAAATTAAACTCGGAGTACATTATGCAGAGGTTTGATTTTATCTTAAATTGTTTGTAAAAATTTGGTAGGTTTTGATGATGTCCTCAAAATGGAAATCTGAAATTACCTTATTATAAATCAAAAATTGATGTTGTTCGGCAGGTTGGTTTCTATTTTTTCTAAGGTTTCTCGGGTTTGTGTGGGTTTTCTTGGGTTTTCTAGCCTTCGCCCTCGTGACGGTTGCCTTGATGCGATCGTCCATGTTTTCTCAGTCTTCTTAAGGTGATGCGGATTATTTGTCTTCTTAAGCTTTTTTAGAAGTTTTCGCATTGTGTCTGCTATATTGGTTAGTGTATTAAATGCTAGTGATAAAGTTTTCTCAATTTTGTTTGATTTTTAAAAGTTGCACCATGGGATGGTAAATTGTTAATGCGATGTCATAATGTCATTTGCTAACCTTTTTTTGGATTTAAGTTTCCGACAAATTTTATATCGAAAGTAACGTTTTCCCGTAAATCTATCCAAAATTAGTTACGGCCGAAATGTACTGAGGCCGAAGTGATTGGCGGCCGAACTGAATGACGGCCGAAGTGATTCGCGGCCTAAGTGAGTGGCGGCCGATAAACTTTGGCCGAAATGAACGCGGCGGAAATGAAAACGGCCGAAGTGATCGGTAGCCCACGGGACAATTTTCATGAAATTCGTAAGCAGGGATATTCATAGAAATTTCTGGCCAGCCCTTCAGAAGTTTATCTGGTTCAACACTGCCTCTGCAAGTCCAATACATAAGCTTCGTTAAAAAGATAAAACCGGCATTTTTTGGTGCAGTCCGTAATGCGGCCAAAAATTAGATCAAAAATATTCATAAAAATTAATTTAAAAAACCAGCATTTTTTCGGAAAGTTACAAACTGTCCTGATTGCATTAACTCTTTCTGTGAATGCACGATGTCTACAACTTTTTTCATAATCAAAGTAGACGTCATGCTCTAGATAAACACTGGAGATTTTCCAAATAGTACGTACGGGAAGGCAGTGCTACGAGATTCTGGGTTTTGATACCTGGGACACGGAAAATTTTCACCCGATTTCAAGTGGCTCCAGTGCAAACGAGCATGACTAAACATTTTTAAGAACGGTTTGCTGATTTTGGTAGTTGAATGCATTTTCTGTCAAATGAGCTTAAACAGTTTGCGGTGCGACAACGGATCTCCAAGAAACAAACGAAAATCCGAGACCGCCATTGTGTTCAGCCACCCGGTACTTATTGCTGTTTTTAGGTTCCTGTAAGAGGAGGAATTTATAGATATGTGTCGATTGTCAGCAGACTGGAAAAGGCGCTCACGATTGCGTTCACTCAGGAATCAATAAAGGGGAAACAGTTCAAACAAAAACACGCAAGAGCCAATCTGGCTTTGGATAATGTAGCACGACGCAGTTCGAAGACGATAAGTTAACGTGCTGATCCAGCTGCTCTGTCAGAACCTTAATTTTAGTTACATCACCCGAGCGGGTTTTATCAGGAAAATTACCGGTATGCAGGCATTTTTCCTCCGTAAAAGACCGCCGATTCGTCTCCTGTCATCTATTTGAGCGGCAGGATACGGTTGATTCCGGGTAAGGTTGGGTATTAGCAAACCGTGGTTGGGCGATCTGCACCGCATTCATTCTGCTCTGAAGGATAGCGGTGCAGCGGTCCTTCTCCTTCCTTATCCCTTGGCAAAGCTGTTCGAGCGCAGTAAGTTGTTCAGTTAATCGTTGGTGGTTTACCAAGTGCTCGAACGCGCTTAAGTTCTAGCGGTAACTCTGACGTTCAGGGTCTTTATAGCTTGGCCGCTCCGTCGTGCTCGTCCATCCTGTGCCGGTTGCATCGTTATAGAACAGTAGATTCAGCAAGCAGTTTGGACCCGTTCTATTGTTCTCTACAACAATGTACCCTATAATTAAGTAATTATCTATTGTTCGCGTGCGTTCGAGCGTAACGTGCGTGCGTAAAGTAATTATCTAGTGTAGTGGCGCGTAACCGTACACTAATTACAGGTGTACACTAATTAGGGCTAATTATACCTTACGTAATACTGTACACTAATTACAGGTATACTCGAAAAACAATTACAAATTTAATTTTGTTTTTTAATTAGTTTTTTGTGTTTTTTATACGTTTTTTGTATGTGTAAAGTTGTTTTTTGTTGTTCTACAGTGCACCGCTCTTTAGAATTTCAAACTGCAGATGCCATGGTATTTTATTAAACTCATCGCATTTGTAGTTTGAAAGTGTAAAAACGACGGTACAAAGTATACAGTGTACTACAAAATAACAGAGGTTTACGTAATACTCACCCAGTACCACAGTGACAATATCTACCCGATTCCAGAAACAGAACAACAAAAAGACATTCCTATTCCACAAAGAAAAAACCAACAACAAACGTACACTTAGGCACGAAAACAGAACTGCGCTACAAAATCAACAGTGCAGTACTACTGATGTCGGTACGTCCACGCTGCCCGCGCTTGCCACGTCGAGCACCAAGGAAGGAGCCGCGAGTGCTGGCCAAAGTATCCCGCTGCTGCAAACGCGAGCTGCCCAGGTCTTGAACATGCTGGGGTGCCAATGACGGTGGTACGGTACCAACAGGAAAGAAGATGGATTGGGCCACAGAACCAGACGAGCTCGGTTCCACAGGTGCTGCAGACGGTTGAGCGGAACCAGAAACGACAGCCGGCGGCAAGACGGACGGTGCAGCAGGCGGAGGAACAGGCGCTAATGGTGCTGCGTTATAATTCATGCTACCGCCAGTGGTTCGTGGCTTAAAATCCTGCAGATCGTTTACAAGCTGTACATCGGCAGGCTTCAAGGTGACACGTTTGGCATGGATGGCTGCCTTGTTGGAGTCTTCGAACAGCTGAACCAAGAACATTTCTGTGGATTCCTGGAGGGCCATCAGGGCAGGGACTTGCCAGCGTAATTCAGGATTGATGCCAGCACAGATCTCACGCACGAAACGCTGAAACGGAAGCTTTCGGCAGAGTAGTCGTGCGTTGCAAATGCTTGATGTCCTGCAGGGCTTTCTCGCCGGGGCGCGCACGCTTGCGAAGCCTTTTGCCTTTCTTCGTGCGCTTGGTCGGCTGTTCTGGAGGCTGCAAAACTGGGTGTCCCGGATCATCGCCTTGGTCGTCGTCATCATCAGAACCACTAGCTGGTAGCTCCAGTACGTCCAGGGCGGAGTCAACGCTCAGACGCGCAGCGTGGAACTCAGCGGTCTTCTGACGGATTCGTTCCACGTTGACGGGGTTAGGAGCCGCTAATCCACCTTCCGCTTCCTCATCGGAATCCGGCTGAGGCGCTCTGAATAAAATTTCGAAAAAGTTGAGTAAGTGACACACATGCTGCATGTATACGTTTTACCGGGCAATTTCGAAAAATGCTTATAATGATATTTTACGTACTGTGAGGACCCAGGGGCAAAACCAGACCGGTTGGACGCTGCAGAACTCAGACCCCGTTCTCGACTGGCTGATCCAATCGGACTGGAACTGAAATTTCGAAAACCATAAGTAAACGAGCAACGTTCATAATTCTAGTGCAGGATACTGGACAAAATCGAAAATTCTCACCTAGGCAAGCCGTTGCTGTACGTAGTGCCGTCCATCGTCTTCCTGGCTCGCCCAGTTCCACGACCGGAGGTTGTCGGTTGAGGATCCCTAGAAAAAGTACGCATGTGTATAACAGAAGATCAAAGTTGCAGTAAAAGTTTTCCCATGGTACCCGTATGAACTAGCGTAGGTGGTGTAGTCCATGGTCTTTCGCGGAGCAGGCTCTCGGTGAACAGACTTGGAAGTGCGCTCCGGTACCCCTTCATCCGATCAACCTGAAGACGAAGCCCCATCTTCCTCCTCTGTATTGTAAGGAGGATCTTTCTCTGGGTCGTCCTGCGCTTCTTCCTCCAGATCACGCGCGTACTCTGTGCGGTTGTCGGTCTCATCTTCTCCGCCGTCGACATCCTCGACATCAGACTGGGGGCTCAGCGGACGTTTCAGCCCAACAGAAGAAGGTATTTCTGGAGATGCGGAGTGACCTAAAATGTACACGTTAACGAAAATAAAATTTGTATTTTTTATAAAGGAAATTGTGTTACCGCTGTGATACGTGAGGCATCTGCATTGCCTCAGGGACACCGATGACTCTGTCCAGAGGAATGACGGGATTAGCGTCAACTCCATCGGCCTCAACATGTTCCTGGACATTCATGCTACCGTTGTCCTCAGCGCCTGGACCGTCTGAACTACGCTCCGGGACGTCCCCGTTCGCAGCTGCATTTTCAGATACCAGCTGAGGCACACGACTGAGGACGTTGTTCATCAGCGAGACTACGTCATCAAGTACAGACATCCTACAACGTACGCAGGGTTTAATATTAATAAATGCACGTGCATGTATGCTACCTAATATATGTACGAAATTTCGATTTTGTTAAGTAGTCGATACAATTTTTTCTCTGGACTTAGGTTTGCAACGAAATTTCGAAAAACAGTCTGCAACTTACTTTTTTTTATTTACAAGGACAATAGCAAATTTTGAGACAGCGTGTCATGTCCGCACAAAATAAGAAGAAGTACAAAGATCATTTTTAGGACCATCGCAAACGTACATAAACGAGCGTAACAGAACAAGTTTGTGCGTCATATCACAAAGTGTGAACTTCAAATTGCACGCTAAAATCACAAAAGCAATACCGGGAGATATTTCAAACTAATCAGTGCGAGGGCTATCTTCAACACTTTCGTTTAAAACGGACATTTCGAAGCTGTTGTTTGTACCTCCAGAACTCTGCTTGATACAGCGGCGTTTAACAAACACAACAGCACTGGCCACAACAATACAAAAAACGGTTATGCCGATGATCGAGTAAATAATATTAGGGACGGTAAAATCAGAGTCCGGATCCTGTACAGATGGAACGATCGTCGAGGTAGAAGCAACAGTCTGAGTGGCTGTAGTTCGCGTGGAGTTAAGCACTGAAACCGATGTCGAATCCGCTGGTACAGTTGTGGTCAGCGGAGCACAGTCAGTTAGCACGATGAAGTCCACAGGGATGGTTCAGTACAGTTGACCAGGGGTTGTCACGGGCGTCTAGATACACCAATCGTGGAAAGGTAGTCCTGAGACCGGCGTAGGGCACTGCATACAGCCGATTTCCGCTCAAAAGTACATGTTTCACCCAAGTCTTTGGCGCAGTCGGTAGTGGGACGGCAGTCAGTCGGCGATTAGCGCAATTAACCACGCCTTCCTGGTAGTCGCAGAGGCAGTGTTTGTAGCAGGGAATCCAGCCTCCTGCGTGACAACCAACCAGAAGAGTCATACCCACGATGAAGTACATCAGCATCATCTAGAACATTGCAAGCATCTATCAGTGCAATTTTATTTAGCGCTCATTTGAAGATTTTCAGTGTCCTAACTCCAGCAATATTTCTCAAGTCTAACTGCAATATTTCCGCAATCATGTCCATGGAAAAGATTGCACATGCTCTGTTTCCTATTGGACCTGGTCCACGCACTTTGAAAAACGGAATAGTCTACTACCCGCAGCTAGATGCTAAAGATCTCAACGTCTTGCAGACCGTTTACAACCACCTTAAAGACCGTTTTATGGCAGCGCAGAAATTGTATCCGGATATTACAATTGGAGTGCGTTTGCAGTTTACAAGAGATGACTGGTTCCATCAAAGCCCTATGGGCGAAGTTGCGTTCGCTTTGTATCCGCTGGAACCAGCAAAGGGTGGTCTCCAGGCCGGAGGCCAGCTGTCATGCAGAATTACAAACGAAGACGAATGGCGCCGTGTCATACGAGATTTGGCTCATGGCAGGCTCCGCAATTATCTGAAGTATTACGTGAAAAAATGGAGAAACGACCACCCAAATTATGGATACAAGATTCAACAAGTCATCACAGTGGAGTGCCCTGACAGTACTGGTGTGAAGGTCTGGAGCGAGTGCGTGATGGGAGTTGGATTGGAGGAAGGGAATGAAATGCCGAAATTTGACTACTATTATCAACGTGTTGACAAGTTTGAGAAAATGAAGTTGCTGAAGCCTGGACACGGACCTCCAGCTACGCAACCGGAGGATCTACAAGAAGAGGACGAAGGATTTCAGGATGGTGCGTTCGGGCCGCCATGCAACCCAGACTGGGGCGACGAAATGAGTGGAATTCCACCGGATATGAAGATCACGGACAGCGATTGCGAATAAGGTACCCTGATTGTACAGCTTCTTTCCAGTCAGTCGACAATAAATTTCGGTACATTTTGGATAATAAGTTTGTTTTAAAGTTTTAGTTGGAATGGATCCGGAAACACCGCCTCCCATTCCCGTCGTCGAGCGGAACTCGAAGGGGATTCTATTCTGGGCTTTATTTTACGCAATACCGTTCATTTTTTCGCATGTTATACGAATTATTACTGTCCTTGCGCTCAAGGTTACTGACAGATTTCCTGTCCACAATATTATTATGCCTTTAATTTCATTCATGTTCAATGAAACTCGACGTATGCTGACTGGTGGAAATGGAAGTACAACTCAGTGACAATTTCATGCACCCGACTTCTATTCTTATTAGTGGCAATTCTGGCTGCGGTAAAACAACCTTTGTGGCTAATATTTTACGTTACAATAAACTCGAAATCCCCGGAGCGAATATTTTGGTTTTACAAACAATACCAGCCGCTGTACGATACGCTTATCAGAGAAGGATTTCCTGTCACTTTTATCGAGGGACTGCCAGACGAAATCTCAAAACCAAAATTTTTTGACAAATCGTACCTAAATCTGTGTGTAATCGATGATCTGCACTTGGAAGATTCTACCAGCAAGCACGTGGCCCAACTATTTTGTAACGGCGGAAGGCATTCAAACACCACAGTAATATATCTTACGCAGAACTTGTTTTTTAAACAAAGCTTCGGCCGCGACATTAGACTGAACGCCAAAATAATTATCTGTTTCCAAAAATCCACAAGACCGACAACAACTACAAATTCTCGGACGACAACTTTTCCCTCATAAGTTGAATTATTTTCTTGAATCAGTTAATGCTGCTTTTGAACGACCATATGGATATATAGTCATCGATCTACAGCATACGACTAGCGACCGTTTTCGTTTAAAGACTGCAATTTTTGGTGAGAATTCTAACCGCTGCACCGAAGTATTTATTCCTGCATGATGGAGCGTAGCAAAACGGTATCAAACATCGACCTACTGTCGTCAATTGCAAAAAGCAGGCCAAAGCTTGCAAAAGCAATCATAAAAAACGCAGAGGATACTCTCATTGACGCAATTTCTGAATGTGCGCTACAAATTGTGGAAGGACAGTTCCTGTCGCTGAGTCTTCTAAAGCACTGCGAGTAAAGCGAGTCCTGCCGTATTTGAAACTTTTATCAAAAAAATCGGTTTCTCGGCGTAAGAAACGAAATTTTGTTGGCTAAAGGCTACGCGCTGTTGTCTCTCATTCTACCACCAGTCTTAAGTTTTATTCTTGGGAAAGTGTAAAATGGCAAAACGCATGTTTTTGGTAAACAAGGATCAACTGCGAACTCGCAGTAGATCGATTAGTCCAAGCGCAAATGTCCCGCCAACAGCGACTCATATGGATTATTTTGCACGGCCTTTACATCGATCGTATCAGGATATGGGGGCATTCTTGCACGACCGCAATTTGACCACACGAGAAAAACTCAATGCACACGAAGATGCGATGGCTCGATATGAAAATTATTTAAAACAAGCGTATGCCCCAGCAGCCCATTTAAGACCTCCTGACGATGTTGACAAGCCAACCCAGGGTACTCCAGGAATCCAAGACGACGTGTTGCGTGTAATGGAGCTACTGCCTGAAAAACAACGAAGCGCTGCACATAGTTTGCTCAACCATCTTCTAACTTATGGTGGAATACGGGTCGGGCGGAATCTGCAGCTGATAACGCAAGGCATTCAACGCGAGGGTACCAACGTCGTTGATTTACTACGCTGGATAACGGCACCTACGAACCCTACTTCAAAACAGAGTCTCCCTGAAGGACTGCACGACATCTTTTCTGCCATGAAGCACAGCAACGCGCCGGTATCTTTGATAACAAACGCAAATAGGCGCAATACTTACCGTGTTTTCCAGCCATCCGATGATGATGAAGACGAGTATCATACGCCAACGAATAGTCGAAACCGAACACCGGAACTCCTCGGGACCACGGTCGTGGGTGCGGTACTAGCTTAAGATCATAATGCTGTGCTGTTGTTGTTTGACGGCAGTGTTTCTTGTAATTTTTTCTTTATTTGTGCTTTTACTTGACAACTTTTGCGTGTTTGCACGTCAGTTTTTCTTCTTGACCATAAAAATAATAAAAAAATGCGAGAAAGTTCCTTGTTTTTGATTTCAATATAGCAGCAACACTTTATACATAGGGAGAGAGTATTGCTTATTAGATACATTTTTCAAACATACTTCAGGACGTTTGCACACACGAAGATGTTTTTTGGCAAACAGTTTTAACAAAACATCATTTCGCTTCCAGTTTTATGATATTCAAGTTTATCAATGATTCGACGAAGACTCAACCCACGACAAGAATAATACAAGAAAAAATACAGAACAGTCCACACAAACTAGAATTAGGATGCTGCAATTGAGTATGGTTTTCTTGGTAATGACCATGAGCGTCTGGAAAATTTTCCACAATGAATTTATCAAATTCGATTCCATAAAACAATGCTGATTTTCCAAAGGAATCGAAAACGTGATAGTTTTGGGTTCTTGGCAAAAACTGCTAGCCAGTGCTGCCCTGGCAAGGCTTTCTTATCGCTGTTGACAATAAGAGCGACAGGATATTTTATCTTTTTCAGCTTTGGAAGTGCGTCTCTTGCGAATACTCCGACAAAAATGCCTCTAAGACAGGGGTCGTGCCGCACTATATCCAGCAGTTGTAGATTATTCATTTTCAAGCACGCTTGTATGGACAATAGACATTCCTCCGCGAGTCTATCTCAACCAATGCATTTTTGTTGTAA